TTGTATACCGTATATATATGGAAATATCACACGCTCGTTACCTATTATGTATAGATTCTCTCACATGTTCTATTCTTGTGTTCTTCCTTGCGATCTTCTATCTTTCCTGATTGATATTACCGCTTTAGGCACATTCTTTTGTTCCCTTTATGGAAATGCTTCCCTCGAGCTCCCTCACATATACCAGGAGCTCTCCCTCCGCATCTCCTCAGTCTTTTCCCTTATACTTGACTGAGGAGTGAGTCTGCCATGTCCCTTCATGTCCCTTATGTCCTAACGTACTTATGATGCCTCTGTAGTCATATATTAGGTACTACATGCGTAACTCAGTCTTTTCCCTTATACTTGACTGAGGATCATATATTAGGGAATTATCGCTCTTGCCTTCAGATCCAGAAGTTCATCAGGGCTTATCCACGCTTGCCTATATGAGACACGCCAGCGTGACCGTGATCAAACATTGTGAATGTGTTCGGAACATTGTTTCGTTCCTAAGTTTGTCAAAAGTGACAAAGTTCGGAACTTTGTCAGTCACGTGACTAACATAACAAAGTGACATTGTCATTTTCGTCGGATATTCCGATGTCCCCGACCTCTGAGGGAGATTTCCAGGGTCCTCCGCTCTATCGCGTTGTGCACCTGGTTTCCGCGTCAAAAAAAGGAAGGTATGTGAATCTTTCATAAGCAAGAAGCATCAAGAAGCTTTCCCATATTTAGCATTGTCCCCTATTACAGCCTCGAGCGGTGGTTTAGGAGCCTGCCTTACAAGTAAAGACCGTCATAAAAGAACCAACTCCTTCCCTTCGGGGGAGTCGGTAGCTGCACTCATCATGAGCGATTCGGAGATTAACGAAGCGGAAAAGCTGCAATCTCTGAAGGCTTTTCACTTCACGAGAGTGCTCAACGACGATCCAGTGTCGCGGAGCCTGACCGTATTGGGCACATTACCGCAAGGGGATTTTGCGGATAGCTCCAGTCCCGCTGTCCTGCGGCTGGAGCGGACTTCTTTTGCGCTTTCACCCTCTGATATCGACAGCCTGACCAAGTCGCTGCATCGCATACGACTTGAAGAACACACCGACATAGTAAGTCTCAAATTTGTCGGACAGTCGTTTGCCGTTGACAATGTGCGCCGTGGAACGCTGCTGCAGTACACGTGGTTATTTGGATGGCTCGGTGACGATCGAAGTGAACCCGATGTAAAAATTAGCATCATTTGTCCTGCGACTGACGCTCACATTCGCAAGGTCAGTCGCCCGGGAGCTTCCATATCAGTATCTCTCTCTCATGATCATGCACCTAGTACAGCAAGCAAGACATCGTCATGGTCACCGAAACGCCTGATTTGCACCAGCGAATTGTCCGCCCGTACATGGACAGTTTCTCGGCCTCCCGAACCCAATGGTGCGCGGCGTTTCCTGATGCTTGCATCTCACAGTTTCAAAAGTTCGGCAGGGTCCGAGACATTATCAACGGCGTTTCGGAGGCCGACAAGATATTGTACCGTGATACCAATCCGTCACACGGGTTCGTACTACTGCCTGACATGAAGTGGGATCTCCGGACGATATCATCGCTTTACCTTGTCGCCATTGCCAATTCGCCCGAAATCCGCAGTCTACGCAGTCTACAGAAACGACACATCGGCATGTTACGAAGTGTCAAGCGTGAAGCGGATCGCATTGTGAAAAGCCGATGGGGCTTGGGGAAGGGCGCACTGAGGTTCTTCATACACTATCAGCCCTCGTATTGTAGGTTACTGTTCGCTGTCGGTGAATCCTACGCTCACAGGATTTCAGATCACTTCCACGTTCACATCGTCAACGCGAATTATGTCGGAACGATCGGATCCACGGTAGGACAAGCACATCTCCTAGACGATGTCATAGCTCTGGTGCGCGACTGTCCACACCGTATCGTATGCTGAGAGGTCTAACATCGATTTGACTTGCAGCTTGAACTGGACCCGGAAGAAGGCCCCTCCATTATGGAGCGGATGACATTCACGTATGGTTTGGGGGACCAACACGGATTGTTCGTGGCGATGAAGGCGGCTCAAGTAGACTCGGAGTAGTGTTCGATAAAACCCGGCTCTCATTTCCTATCCAGCGAGTGTCTAACGGTCCTTGCTCTGCGCCTTCATGTCAGCGCATGTTTGCATTCCCATTCCTCCGCCGAAGTATATCGCATACACGGGTGAACATGACTTCCACATTCGCCAGATCGCGAAGTGAGTTTCTATCCTGCATATTCCCGGCCGGCACATCCAACACAAATGACGGCGCGTAGACTGGGAACGTTGAGTGATCCGGGATGTCTGCGTCGAGCGGCAAGGGGCGTCCGAGCTAGATCAAGCGTGTGAGTGCAGTGAAAGTGAACACATCTCAGTGACGTACGGCAATCGAGGTAAAGTATGCCCATGCTCGTGCTGCGTTCGGCGAGCTGTATCCTCCTGGAACTGGCACTGAGCGAGAGACGCATCCCTAAACAGAAAGTCCTCACCTCCTCCGAGTAAGAGCGTCTTACAGCCCCATTCATGCACCGCACGGCCGATACACCAGCCCATGCTAGGAGATCGACTGTTTCAGCAGGCACTCCTGACACGAAGTACGACTGCTGACCTCTCTAAATCGATATTCCAAATGCCGCACGGGTCGCCGGCTAGCCCGTCGACACCACACTGCAACACGACGAATCGCACTTGCTGCGACAACCGACCCTCAGGCCCGTCCTCCTCATCGATGTCCCCGTCCTGCGTCGTATGCAAACCGAAGAATGCATCCTTGATGGGTTCTACCACGCGCATCCACACCTCCTTGAGTGTCGCGCCCGACAATCCCTGTCTGAGAGGCACCGCGAGCGTGAAGGGGTCCGCCGCACCCGATTCGTCCGGCACGGGAAGGTCGGCAAGCGGAGAGGCGGGGAAGAAACCGGGTGCGGCATGGTGGATAGAGAGCGTCAAGATCTGAGAGTGGCCGCTCGTGCCGTGGGAGGACGCGAATGCCTCGCAGACACCGTCCGCGAAGTGCAGGTCCAGATCAACGTACATGACCATGGGCTTGGCCGGCGCTGTGGCCACTTCGCCAGGAAGAGGGGGAGGGGGACCTCGAAGCGGGCGCTTGAGCGCGAGAATGGCGAGCACGACGTCTGCGACGTAGCAGAACCCCGACGCGCGCGACTTGTGTGCGTGATGCCTTCGTCGAGGGGTTGCGGTCAGCAGGTGATGGGCTTCACATGCGAGAATTGTCCTACCGACCGCCATCCCAACATATGGCGACGTCTGCCTGGCCGGTCCGTAGGGCCTGCGCGGCTGAAAGGGACGCGCCGGCGATTAACGATACATATCTGTGCACCCCAGGGAACAACGGGCAATCCTGGACACGCTCACGAGGTGAACATAGACAGGCAAGCCTGTGAACGGGAAGGCGTACATCTTCAAGTCCGAAGTCTTCCGTGACCTGCGCTCTTCCCGGCTCTTGGGTACCGGACGAACGTCTCGGATCGAGGACATAGCGGAGGTAGTCCTCGCTGTGGTACGCCGAGAGGTCCTTGTAGCTCGCAGGCTGAGGTCTGAGTATCTTCGCTTTCGGTAAAGCCTCACCGGCACCCGCTTCTGCTGCGGAACTGGTAGCCAACAGTCCGTATTCTTTGACGAGCGAGTGCACGAGCAACGATCGGTTGCGATTGGAAGGTAGGAGTGACGAGATCTAAGCTTGGTCGTCGGACGTAATATGCAGAGGGTCGTCGGAGATTGGTACCTTTGCGAGTTCCTCTGATACGACGTAGACGACGCGTTGTCCATCGTCTGCCATGGTCGTGTACCGAGGCAAAAAAGGATAATAATAATCAGCGCCACAGACGCGTCGTCGTTGGTCGACGCGCAACCGGATACACGAATCAACGTACGATACATTACACGAGAACCTTGTAGCCTATGTTCCATAAAGACAAGTAATCCCAGATGCTGAAATCACCACCATGGCTGGCAATCGCCTCCATCCCACCTCCACACCTCGTTCTCGTTGCCCACGATCATGCGCGTGTCCTGCATCCACGCACCGTCGTACACCTTCTCGACGAACCACCGCACGGCCCAGTGCCGAAGAATGTACTTGAAGTATACATAGTATTTCCTGTACAGCGAAAGCACATCAGCTCATGCCAATGATCGAGTGATGATTTGTGAAAGTGACTTACCAGGTGTACCCCAGCACCACCCTCGGATTCGCGTACACTTTCTCGAGCCCGTACACCCGGCGCATGTCGTACGGCACCAGGAAGCTTTCGCTCGAGTAACACTCTCCCGGGGCGCCCGCCCTGAAGTGCAATGCCGGCGCCTCTTGCGGGCTCGTCCGCCTCCGGCCCTTCCTTACGGCGGCGCCTTTCCCCTGGCCAACCCGCCCAGCCCATCGATCCTGCTCCGTCGTATCTTGACCATCCTCGTAGACAAACGCCATGTCCGGGTCGCTCGCCATCGGATGGGAGTCCACCAACGGATAAGACAAGGGTGTCGCGGACAACGTCTTGTTTCGTCGAAGGTGCGGCGGGAGGAACGGCTCGGCCTGCATCGCGATGATTCCGTTCCAGCATGCGAACACCGGGGCGGGCTCCGACTTTTCTACGGCCTCACGCGAGGCCTTGTCGAAGAAGTAGGGCCATATTCCGGCTGCGAGGCCGCCGACTCGGTCGCGGATCACCCAGGCGTCGTACAGCCTGTCCGGAGAACCGCGTCAAGATCGATCGAGAAACAGCGAAAGGAAAATGAGCGCACCCAAAGTGGTTGAAGTCGAGCCCGCAGACGACGTCCCAGTCGCCACCGCGGCTCTCGAGCAGCTCGACCCAGCTCTCGGGCGTGACATAGACGTCGTTGGAGAACACGACGCGGTCCCAGCCGCCGCCGACGCTCGCTGACCCGGAGGTGAGTGGCTCCAGCGCGCGGTTGCGCAGTGCGGCCAGATGACCGATGCGCGCGTTCCATTCGTTGTTTTCCGGGCGACGGACGACCGTATCGTGAGTAAGGATGCGATGGAGGACGCCCATGTCGTCTAGCCTGTACATATGTCAGTGGCGAGGATAAGGACAGGTGATGGAGGGAACGGGCCTCGATGCGAGCTGCTCAAGCAGTTCCGGCGTGTTGTCGCTTGACTCGGATTCGAGTATGGACACGAAAACGTTCTCGGTGCCAAAGTAAGGAATGGCGGCGAGGAGGGAGTCGGACCATGCGGGGACGATAGCGGCGTTGTTGTAGAACAGGGCAGCGATAAACAGTTTTTCTAGCGTGACATCAGATTGGGCATATTAAAGATGAAGCCTGCGTAGGTTCGGTACGGCACGCTCAACCAAGAGGTAGAGAATGCTTACCATTGCGCCCGTATCCACTTGGTTTTGGTTTGGCCTGCGCTTGCCGGATCGCGGCCCTGTACCGTATGTCGTCCGCCTGCTCGTACGTCCACAGCGCATATAGTCCGAACAACACCCAGACGCCGTAGAAGGCGACCCTCGCCCACCATCCTGCGTCCTGCCTCTGCCACGGTTTTGTTGTCCGCACCTCTTGCTCTTCATCGGTGCCAGGCGGCCCGTCCCCGATCAGCACGTAATGCTCTTCCCTCCTGCCCCGTCTCCTGCGCAACGTCCTCTTCACCAGTACGCTGGCGACCATCCATCCTAGCATGACGCCTGCCCAGATCGGCGGCGCGCATACAGCCGCGATCCACCAACCCCATGCATGCGGAAAGCCCGGCTTCCAGACGTCGTTCCAGTAGTATCTGTCGTACGCCTTGAGCGTCGCGCGAAAGATCGCGGTGAAGATGAACGCGGGTACGAAGCCAGGCAGGCGCAGGACCCAGAGCGCGCTCCGGAGAAGCGTGCGCGAGGACAGCGCGAAGGAGAAGCCATGGCTGTTGCCACTGCCCCATTGCGATGTCGCCGTTCGGGCCGAGGAAGGCCGCGAGCTCGACCGGGAGCGCGTCATCCGTCGAGGACGTGGGCGCAGAGAGCTCAGGGTGGGCGGGTCGTGGTCGTGGTCGTGGTCGACGTTGGTTGCAGCGCCGGCTTTAGCGCCGGCGGTCCTGCTGCGTCGGGGGCAATGCGCCAAGCATCCCATCCACATCTACCCACGCGCGCCGGCTCCGCCACGGCCCACAACGGCAAATCCAGGCCCCTATTGGAAATGGCGTCGGTCTCTGGGATTTCGGGCTCCGACTGAAATCCACTTTGGCCTCTACCTTCTCCGCCTCGCCATGTCGGGACTCTTGTCGCGCTGCAGCAGAGCGCTCTTCGCGCCGACGCGGGCAGCGGGGCAGACCCAGGTGCGGCACCATGGCCAGCTGGGCCCGAAGAACATGCACTACATGAAGCGCCACAAGGGCGTCATTCCCGTCCCCGTGGGCGGCTCGACCAAAGGCACCACCCTCGCCTACGGTGAATACGGCCTTCGTATAAAGTACGTCCTCCATCTTTGCTCGCGCCAAACCAGCACTCAGCCGTGATCCTGACAGAGGCCACGGCGTCCGCCTCTCCGCCAAAATGCTGCAGACGACCGAAGACGTCATCCGGCGCAAGCTCAAGATCGTCAAGGGCGCCAAAGTCTACCTGCGCGCGTACCCCGACATCCCCGTCTGCATCAAGGGAAACGAGACCCGTATGGGCAAGGGAAAGGGCTCCTTCGAGTTCTGGGCCACCCGCGTCCCGACCGGCAAGGTCATCTTCGAGATCGGCGGTGTGCCCATCCGCTACGAGCTCGCCAAGCAGGCCCTGCGCCTCGCCGCCGACCGTTTCCCAACCAAGATGGAGTTCATCAGCCGAGCGACACCGCCGCGGTTGGGTAACCTGCTTTTGACTCCGGACAAGGTGCGTCTCTTCGTTGTGACACGTGGTATACGCATTCTGAGTGACAACTGTAGCCCACCGTGCCATTACCTTCGCACTCTGCCGTCGAACGACGCAACGCCCTACCCGACATATCCGCCACCCCAGAACCCGCATCTGCTCCTTCTCCATCCGCATAGAAGCACAAGTACCTGCGCATACATACCATGTACATGCGACCCTGATGCATATATCATCATCCCCTCCTCTGATCCGGACCGGGAAGCACGTCGACTACATGACTACTAAAGCGCACACCCTTCACGTTCGCGTTACCTACTGACTCGCCCCTTACTCTCAGATCATGCCTCTCAAGGCCCAGACAAATGGATGACATGGATGACAGCATGACGTTATATCGTGAGTGGGCGCACTACATGTCAGGAACTCCGAATAATTCACATCATCAAGGAGAGGAAGGGTAGCCTGCCCGCAGTACCCATCGTTACGATCAACGAATACAGGTGCACTACTCCGAGCCATAATCTCCGGATACGGTCGCCCGCACTTCCGTGTCAAGCGTGCGCTGCGTCTCCGAAGGCCAGCCCTTCGCGCATAGGCCGTCGCTGCACATGAATTCGAGCTCGGCGCCCTCGTTCATCGGGTGCGAACGGTGCATGAGGTCGATCTCCGCGTGCCACTCTCGCCCGTGCGGGTCCGTCGTCCAAAAGCCCACGATGCGCATTCTGTTGAGCACGAGCAGGCTCAGACGCGGGTCGTCGTTTTCTGTCCGGATGTCCTGCGACGCAGGTGAGCGCCCGTCTCGGAGAGGAAAACCTCATAGGATGGGGGGATCGCTAACCTTGATCGCGCAGCCCACGAAGAATGCAGTGGCGATGACGAGGTACCTCAGCGTCACGCGCTCGCGTAGATCCCAGGGTCCGACGGACGTATGGTATGTCTCCTTCCACGGAGGCAGCGGTGCAGTGTGGGAGACCTGCAAGACGGGAAGGAGCCAACAAAAAAATCGATATACGCGCCCGCAGCGATCACAGGCCCACCAACGCACCTCGCAATTGATCTCAAACGTGATCGAGATGTCGCCTCCTGGCACGCGCAGCCACGGGATTGTGCCCGCGTTCTGCAACTCCGGGAGGCTCTCGTCGAGGAGCGCGCACATCACGGACACACCGCGCACCCGCGTAGCGACGTCATCTTGCTCCCATACGTTCCGCACAGCGCAGGCACCTGACCGGGGCGGTCACCATGAGCGGCACGCCGTGCGACCCTTCCACTACCAAGTCCCATAACGTCTTCTCAAGCGTGACCTTGGCTGCAGGAGACGCCAGCGGCCAGCCCTCCGCACACAGAAAGTCGTCGCAGGTCACAACGTGGTCGTGCGGGAGTTGCACGCCGTACCACTCTGGGCACGCCGATTCTGGCATCGAGCACGGGTGCTCGTGCTCACGATGCACCACGTCGAGTTGCACGTACCACACACATTCATCCGGGTCAACAGTCCAGAGCTGAACGAGCCGCAGGCGCTCTCGCGTGAGCAGCATTATACGGGGATCTTCGAGCTCCTTCCACGCGTCCTGTCCAAGGAGGAAACTGGTGAGAGTGTTAACTTTCCTACGCATGCATGAAGTTCTCACCGAAAGCGCCCAGGGGACAAGGTCAGAGATGACATTGACGAGCCAGCGGAGCGTGAAGCCCTGATCACGGAAGCGGTACGGCAACACCGGCTCATACACCCTCGTCCACTTTGGCATGGACTGCGAGCCGACGCGATCGATCAGCGACCGCACCAGCGTGGACCTTGATCACGTCGAACACAACTGACCTCATTATCCAGCATAATTACGAGTTTGATGTTTCCCGCGCATGCGGCTATCGGGATCGTATCCGCGTTGAAGAGCTCTGGAACGCGCGGGTCCTCTGCCACGCGGCCGAGACTGATCCCGCTCACGACCGGGTCGGCTACCAAAGCCTGCCACACACTCTGCACGAAGATGGTCCTCATCGTCTCCCCCGGCCACGGCGTAAGTCGAACCGCGAGCGAGCGCTCTGCGAGCTGCTCCAGCGCCGGTTTCGGCGGCAACCATGCCAAGTCTGCGTCGCTGGGCGGACGGACCCGGAAGCTGGGTGGCTTGCTCAAACGAGGCACGATAGCAGACCATGTCTCTTCGGGACGGCTGCAGTCAATCCACCGTGTCACGTCTGTGAAGTCGTAGGGTCCCTGTTTGGGCACGGTCTGTTCGATGACCATTCGCGGTTGGGGGAGGGAATCCGGAGCCGACTGCAGCCCTGGAAGTGGTGCATGATTGACGCCAGGAAAATGAAGTATGTTGAAGTACTGCGACAAGGAGTGTCAGAGGCGGCAACTTCATTTGCAGAAGAGCGGCGTACCTCTGATTCAAGTGCACCAGACACCGCATATGCGTCGAATGCCATATTGTGCAGCTGCGTGAAAGGTGCGTATTGAAAAACGGGGGAACGGGGGCTGTTTGACTGATTGTCTTCCTCCGCAGGGTCCATATGTATAGTCATTCATCATGGATGTGTGGACGTAGACCACAATGTTGTGGCCATTGCCATGTTCGGAATTTGTCTGTGTGGAACTTTGCCCATAAGAGTCGGTGGCATTGCAATGCTATATGAAACGAACAAGGCAAACCCGGTGGCAATGAGCGACCCTCTCAATGCGAACTGCTGGACTGCACAATGTGGTAAAGCGTTGTTGACCGCTATACTAATCTCGATTTCCACTCGCTATCATTGGCTGCGCATGAATCGACGCGTTGAGCGAGGGACTCGAAGAGTTGTGCATGAGACGATTAAGACCTTTGGGCGACACTGGCGGGTGATAAAAGTCAGGGAACAGCGAGCAGTGAACACATCGGACAATACCCAAACTGATTTTGATTTATCAATTGTCCAGGACTGCTAGTACATGATGCACCGCAAATTCTGATGAAGCAAACGAGGGAGTCACGTATCTGTAGCTATGGAGTTGCAAAGTCGGCAAGGAATGAATAAACAGAAATAAGGATGAATTTATGATCGCTACGAGTATTAGAATGACTCCATCAGCCAGGAGGGGAGTTGAGCCTGCCGCTAGTCCTCGGAGCAGCGGCTTGGCAGTTGTCACCTAGGGCTTCTGTCGATGGTTCGTTGATTTAGAGGAGGATGGTGAACGCAGGGAGGATGGGGTGCGTGTCGGATTGGACACGCTAGATTCGTGAGAGGCGCTCTCCGAAACATGATGGCTGTGAACGTTCCAGCTGACGCCACTGTGGTGGGAGTTACTCGAACAAGCGGCCAGAGAGCGGTTGAGACGAGACGAGCGTCTAGCGAGTTCTAACAGGGAGAGACATATGGCGAATACAAGGAGACGTAGTTACTAGGTGGGTGCCATGTACTCCAATATATCCAGGATGCAATAATTTCATGTTCGAGATTGGCATGATCAAGATACAGACTGTACCCGTCCGCTAACACAGAGCTAGTCCTTGCGGGTACGGCTGCGGTTGCCGTGGTCATAAGGCTTTTCCTGACGACCGGATCGCTTGGCAGACGAAGGTGAACGCAGGGAAGCGTGGGAACGCCCTGACGAAGCATTGCGCTGGTAGCTTCGTTCCGGACTTGGCAGCCCTACTTCGAGGGAGAAACGCTGCAAGACCTCGACGTCTTCTACGCGTCTTGCCGATCGTGGATGTTCAACTGGAAACGGTAGGTGCAAGGGATCAATGCGGGGCGGGAGCGGCTGTGCGAGATCGCCCCCAGTGGGGTGCACCGGCATGCCAGCATTTAGGATTGCGCCGACATTTTCAGGATACGGTAAAGTGCGTCCCAAAGGAAAGCCTTGAACGTGGTTGACATCGCTGTGATCGGGATTGCTGTAGGGGACATATTCCGGCGTTGCTTGGACCAGCAGTGATTCTTGCTGCACGACGACCGAAGGACGCGGATGATGCACATGGACAGGTGACGAGACCGATGATATCGGCACTGCCTGGGGACTGGGAGCGGGAACATGATGCTTTCCGGGAGAGAGAGGCGGATTGGGTCTTGTAGCATAGTTTGGCACGGGTCGCGACGACATCGGAGCCCGCGCCAGCAATGCGGGATGAGCCAGGGCAGCAGGCTGAACTTGCGGCTGCCCTAGAGGTCCAACGGGCAGGAGAGGGTCCTATATTTTGACGTCTGTTAGTATCGTGGCAGAACAGACAGCAGGTTATAAGCAGGTACCGTGTCGTTGGGCATAAAGGCCGGGGCGGAGTCTCGTGGAGAAGCGAGCTGTCTCCGATCCCAATAGATATATCTCAGCAGCCGAGCGTGGCCCTTAGTGTAGAACAAAGGAGGAGCCACGCCCGCAGTCATCAAAGAGGGGTATGTGGGCGGTCAGTAGTGAGCCGATCAGTCCATGTCCGTTCTATTGACGTCTGCGGTGCGACGTTGTTCGTCTACGTCCAGCGGCGTGCTTCTCATTGTCGCAATTCTTGTTCGTCGAAGATTCATGTCGCCTATATGTTGCTTAGTCCCGGCTCTGAGGAATGACACGGAGCTGTTCGGGGGCCTCCAGCTGTGGATGCCGTAGGAAAATTCTGAGTCTCTAGAGGTTCCGATGGCACTACTATTGAGTCCAGGGAGGATGTGAACTTGGTGAGCTTCGCACAACTCGATCCGCTATCAGAAGTCCACGTGGCCTGCGCATGTCTGAGCCGCGCAGGCTGAGGCACCTGTCAGTGTGTCCGTTGGCAGGTTCCTATGATAACCTGCTTGGTTCTTCTGGGCTCTGGTGCTAGCGATCGTTTCCCATCGACACTGCGGGGTCTCATTCCATCGTTGACTTGCCTCTTCTTAAGAGAACATGAGTGAAGGACCTTCTGTCGGGTTCTCGTATACTACTGAAACATGATGGGTACTGCAGAACGGCGCGTCCGAGAGGAGGAGCTTCGTGTAGCAAAACTTGCCTTGTTATGGAACGTCCGTTTTCGTTACCTGGTGCGAGCTCGATGGGTCTTAATATCGGTCTCCGGGTCGGCACTCCACGAGCGGGGTCGGGTTGAATTTGGAGTTACATATCACGGCAATCAGGCCTCAGGCCTCAGGTCTCGATCGCGAACACAAGAATAGCATCAGGCTTAGCGTCGGAACCGAGCATTCTGCTGACGATGCACGGAAGGTCACGCACGCCGGAAGGTGCCGGGCTGTTTTGATCGTGCGCTGCCCGTTTCTGTTTCAGTGGAAGATGTTGTGGGAACAGTACGGGAAACTCAACCACGTCCGGCCCATGCTCATTGAAGATTCTCGTGTATAGGACCAGCAATCCCTGCCTTGCAACACCGGGCTCATTATTTTCACGTCTCGAGCAAACTGCATACGTCGAGATACTACACCCATGTGACGGGCTCGCCGTTAGAACGACGCACTCACGCACCGTGTCTCCCTTGTCCCTGGTACATCTGCCACCTATCAGCTTCCGTGTGAGTTGGACGCTCCCGAAGAATACGCGTTTGGACCTTAGCGGGAACCCATAAATAACATCGAGCGCATGGATCCTCCTTTGCGCCGACCTCCATCCGCCCCTGGACCGTCTCCGCTTGCCCAGCGATGCAGCCATTGTTCACAGTCGCTGGGATTCTAACCCTTGCCGCTGCAAGCGGCGCGCAGATCCTGACCGGGACGCAGTTGGGCCAAGTGAAGACGCGACTTGCGCAAGGCGCGACGCATAGGTTGGTCGTGACCCTCTCTGATTCCTTCACTCGGCTCATCTTAGACACGTCTGACAGTTGGGAGCTTGGAACGCGTGCTCAAGCGCTCCTTGAGATCGACACGCCGTCCTTCTCGGTCTTTACCTCCACCCTCCCGCCGTCCACATCCGCACCTTCCTCTCTGGAGAAGGTCTTCTCCATTGCGGACCGCGTTCTCGCAATGCGTACGACTTCGGGCAGCGCGGTCACCTTGGTCACCAGCGACGGCTCAGCCGGCGACCCAGCCAGCTGCGGTATCGCTGTGCTAATCGCCGGATGGACTGGGCAGACAGGACACGGGTACTCGGGCATCGCGACAAGCGAGAGGAACTTCCTCATGGAGGTCGCGCCAAAGACTTCAGATGGTGCGATTTCGCATAGAGTCGCGCAGGTCCAATTGTGGTACGAGCTTCTGGAGTCAGCTTCTCTAACATGCATGGCATTGACGACCCCGGTTGTCAGGAGTGATTCCGTGTACATGGTCCCGCCTTTTCTGGCCTATTACGGTGTCCTAACGAACACTCAAGCAAACGTCGACGAAGCGTACAATCAGATCAAGCTCTACCGCAGTTACTTGCACGACGCGAGCGCCGGCGGGTTATGGAAGCACATTCTCCTGGGTACCCTTAGTGGGGAGCCTGGTAACGATGAAGGGCACTGGTCTACAGGTGTGTTCTTCTGCGTACTCCCGGTCTGACGTAGTTGCTGAGCCCCTCCAGGAAATGCATGGGCGGCCGCGGGCATGCTGCGGGTTCTTGCAACGTACATGCATTCCTCGTGGAACTCAGCCACCTCCGGTCGCCAAGCGGAGCTCATCCAGTGGGTGACTGAGATTCATACCGGGATGTACGCTCACCAGGTCGGTTGCATCTCATTGCCCTGGGAATGTTTGGATCACTCACGCGTGCAAATTCCTTAGCATTCGAGCGGTCTGTTCCACAATTACGCCGACGATACCTCCACCTTCCTTGACGCGGCCTCCGCTACTCTCCTCGCCGCCACGGTTTACCGTCTTGCATCCCTCACCGGCGTTGAGACGTTTATTGCCAATGCCGACAAGACGCGCGAAGCTCTCTTTACCCCGAATTCCGACGGATCCTTCACCTATTTCGATTCCAACTTCTGGCTCACGCCAGTCGTCAATCCCGATAACTACCCGCAAGAGGGCAGCGAGAGCCCGGAGGCCCAAGCATTCGTAGTGGAATTGCAAGCCGCGTACAAAGACTGGGCAGGTCTATCATAACACCATCACCACTGACATATACCATGTAGCACGCTCCTTTCATTGTATATTTCACAAGATCTGTTCGTCTATTTGTAGCGCTTGTCATGTTCATAATAAAGCTATGCCACGGTGCTCAGAGCTTTCAAGACCGCGCAGTGAACACGCAACGATCATAGCTGCAGAGCATGTTGTCCATGGGGCAAAGTCATCCAGGAAGTGCCCTCGAGTTTTCGATATGTGAGAGCAGCGGCGTGGACTCTCAACGACAAGCCTGCATTATGAAATGGGCGCACGAAATCATGCGTCGCTATCGCCTTGGTAGAGGCGACGCTGTTTTTGTTCTTCCGCAATACGGGCTTGCACCTTGAGCATCTCCTTCGTCCAGTCGGTCCTACGCACATGGCAGATAAACGTGAGGCAACAGTACCCATGCAAACGAGCCTACTTTAACACGATCCAAATCCCTCCCACCGACACGAAGAACAGTGCGATAGACACCCCGGTCCAGAGGCCATCTAAGCCCATGTGACCACGAAAGGCGAGCCATATCCCGAATGGGATGACTGCATGCCGTGCATGAGTACGTCAAACACAGCAACGAGGTAGTAATCCTCACATATGCACCGTGCGCTGAAGGAAGATTAGAATTAACCCCATGAGCGTTTTCGTCTCTTTGGTTAGCGTGCTTGTACTCACGTCAGGTTAAGAGTCGCAGCCGTAATCTGGGAGGAGACCGTGATTGTCAACGACTTTGAGGAAAAGATGTCTTCTGATAACTAACCTGCTTGCCTTGAGAGCGCAGAATGGCTCCGCAAGCACATCCGATGCCATCGAAAAGCTGAAATACAGCAACAAGGGGAAGTGTATGCACCACCGCGGCGAGGACGTCTGCATGTTGATGATCATGAGGTCAGATCAAGCGAATGTCTTCATCGTGGTATGTGACGATGGCGCGACTCGCCTTCGTCAGTGCTAAATATGCTCGCCCACTGTCTCGGAAAGATGACGAAGATGGCGCTAAGGAGCGTGCATCAGTTAATCTTCGGCACTATTAGAGCTAAGGAGCACTAACCTGGACATCATGCCAAATACGGCTGCAAGTATCAGCGCGGCTTGCGACGCTGTATGCGCACGCATATGATCTTTCTCTCCCAAGAGATTGCCGATGCTACGGGAGAAACAGTCAGAGTGGGAGATTATATGAAGGCGGCTTCTGTTACGTACCGCACACAGGCGGCTATGCTAAGCGAGTAGGGTACTTGGAACATTGAAGCGGACGATTGAAGCATTACGTTTTGGCTGGCAAGTAACATGGGGCCGAGGCTATGGATGAACATATGAGCATGACTGATCACGCCCCGTCCGAGTCGCATGCAGTGTGGACACTCACAAACTTGCCGAGACTAGAGCAGCAAGACACCGTCACCATCAGCGGTATCTGGAATACAGACGAGAGACCTACGGCCATTCAGTTCCCAGCTCCACCACTCAGCGCCGACCTGGGCGACACCGGCAAGTCCCTGCCCCACAAGCATCCCTGCAGTTTACGCTTCGGCAAGAGCAAGAATTGATGATAGTGACAGTGGCCTACCCAAGTTGCTGAAAGCACGCCGAGACAGAGGATGCCATGCCGTACGTGGCGTGAAGAAGACCCCGTAGAAGATGGAAGCGATTGAGATCAGATTGACGGAGATAGTGGTCGAAATTGGAGCGCCTGCGCGGCGACATCACTGGGTACCGTCAAGACCTCGCTTCGCCTCGAGACGTACCAACGAAGCCTAAGCGAACGGAGTCAGGTCCCCAAACTATGAATCCAGTTTAGTACGCTAAATATTCGGAAGATAGATGGAAGGCTCTGACCTAGTAAATAGGTCAACACAATATTGATTGGCGCAGCGGCTACTACGATGCGCGTAGGAACAGCGAATAGACCTAGTGAGAGGCATGATCGGATCAGCAACGTTCGGTCGGGAGGATGTAGTGTAAGGTGTACCCTGTGATTGGAAGTAGCGTCGGGAGATGCTGTTGAAGCCGTACGCAGGCAAGCTTAGGGAAAGCCATCTGAGGTAGATGCCTGCAAGATGGGCGACTTCGGGATCTTGCTTGATAGTGAGCAGGATGCGCTCCGCGTTGAACCATATGAAGAAAATCGGCTGGTAATTGAACGTTTATATAATCTCTTACGTTGAACAACGAGGAACGCACTATCAAGGTTGCGGTCATCACAACAGCTATAGCAAGAACGGGTGCGGTCAGCCACGCGATCGATATAAAATTATGCCACTTGCTCATTCTCTGGGTCCATAGTCCGACCAGGTCAGGATGCGGGCTGGTCCACGCGCTCGGAAGTACCGTGTCCAGAGCACTAGCCATTCCATGAATGATGGACAGTCCTGTGACCGCTCCCGTCATACTCGCAAGCGAGGCTGCGGCGAGGGACGTCGTGTTCAGATGGCCAAGCGCGATAACGCTTGCCAGGGAGAGGCTGAACTCCAGAAAATGTGTGCTAAGTGCACAAAAGCGCGTCAGAGAAACAGCTTCGGATCATAGGTCATGCTCGCGTTTACCCAAATACTAAATACATGGGATTCAGAACGACATGCAACAGGACAAAGAAAGCGGACGAACCTGGTAGCGTGTATCTTAGAAGAATAACCGTCTCCTCCCAGAGTGCATGTAGGATCGATTCCTCGCCACAAGCCTCAGCATCGCCGCGACGTGCCCACAGCAGAGGGGTCTCTTCGCTGAGCAGCGCTCCTACAGCATCCTCTGACGAGTGGCCGTGGAGGTACTCTTCATGCTCCAACAGCGTGTCCAGTGGGCCCGTATGCTGAACTTCGATGCCGACGGTATTGTGACGACCATCTGGTGCGGGGTGTCCCTGGAGTGCGGGATTGTCTGAGTTCTGAAGGGAGTCGCTCATCATGAAGGTCGGTGCAAAGAGGCGGCGAGGTTGGGTGATCGGCTCTGGAAAAGCTTTTCACGATCGTAAGAGGGACTTTCCTAGGCCTCTGACTCGGCACAGAAGCATCGGTTCTCCGAGGAACATCGTTCTCGATTACGAACGTGGGTACGAGGACGACAAGTTGATGGCTCTACTTAGAGACGCGCAGGGGACTTGGCAGGGACTGCGGTTCGGTTGGGCGTACGAGTCAGAGTCCCATCTAATCTTATCTGATTGATAATCGCTGCCGTTCTGCAGCTGGCTAGACGTACTTAACACATCGTAAGTACCCGCTCGGTGACAGATTAGGGGGGTTCAGAGTTGGCGATTCTGCGCCGATTCTGCCCCAGATTCTGTGTCGATTCTGTGTCGATTTTGCCGTCGCTACGACGGTCATAATCAGATTCTCCTCACCTTCAACTCTGAACCCCCCGCTTCTACCACTGATTCTGGCCCGATTCTGCGCACGACGTAATATCCTGCCGACACTGCGGCATGCCCATCTGAGTTTTAACGACGGGCTCGGCAGATCGGCAGCCCATCCGAGGTGGCGAAAACTCTGGAATTGAATGCGAAGGTCGAGTTATAACGTGAGTGACAGAGTTTCTTTGTTTTAAGCTCGAGTCCGACAATGTATGTCCGAGGTTTATTTGCAGCCAGAAGAGTGAAATATTTATTGGCTTAAATAGGCGTCAGGAGTGTTGCTATGCGGAACTACCAAATGCAATCTACTTCTGCCCATAAACTGCTGATACAATGGTATGTCGAGGGTCCTGGTGACAGCCTCTGCGCGAGTACATATATATACAGGAATAAAACACAGGTTGAGGATTGCCTGAACGAGGGGGGTGGAAGACCCTGGAAAACCTCGTGACGCATCAGTGGTTTCGGACTCCGAGGCAGCGACGCGATGAAGCTGAATCGGATTCTGGTCGAATCGAGTGAAGCGACTCCAGAGCCGCTTCACCAATCCACCCAGAATCGACGTCCAGAATCGACTCTTGAATCCGTCCTTGAATCCTTGCCGGAATCCCAACTCTGAGCCCCCCTATTCCGCGATGCTGCCAATGATTATTCCATGTTTGTCAACATCAATATAAACATTCAGCCGAACTGAACAGCGTCCAGTGACCAACATCCGGCATCGCGACCTGCTTCATCTCAGGCTTCCATCATGTCCTCTACCTCAGCGTCCATCGACTTTGCGGCACTAGTAAGCGGAGACTGATGCACATGTCCCTGCACTCGGACATGTGCTCCTGCCAGCCTCCTCCTCACGAGCCTATCGTGAACACTCGTCAGCTCGGATCATGCCCTCGAACATGCACATTACTCACCTCTCAAACATACTCAATGGCGGCTCCTGGGTTCGGCTCGAACTTGCGTGTTGCTCAACCCCGGGGTCCGCCCCGGGTGGATGGTGCTCGTCGGCATAGGCATCGATGGGCACCCACGAGCTGAGCGGGCTCGTCCCAGGTTCGTACGTCGCGCTCGCCACGTATAACAGCATTCCATCTGGACGTATGAGAGCTTGCATAGTATTCATCGCCATCACCGGGTCGTTCCCCTGCTCGTTGTCCTGCGCCATTTCGACTTCCATATCCCCATGCGGCGCCGAGAAGGAAAAGGAGAACGGGTGCCGGTGTTGCACCGCTGACGTGGAGGGAACCTGAACGTTGAGATGGCGGATTGCGCGCGCTCGCGGGATCACGCTCTGCAGAAGATGGGGGAGCGAGGTGTCCGCGTCGTACGGGACGGGGACCAGCGTGGTAGGGTACGGGAACCTGTACGCCTCGTCGACGTCGCTCCGTATCTCAGGCGTAGAAGAGTGTAAACCGAGAGGCAGCGCGGTATGCTTGGAGACAGGAGGGAACAGCGAGGGAGGGGTCCGATGTGATGAGTCTGGTTGTGGGAGCGCGGCAGATTGCGCCGAAGGGGTGAAGGGAGATGAGCCGCGCGAGCTGGGCATGGAACCAACGCTGATGCTGGGCGACGGCGGGCCTTGGCTCAGCTTGGGTCTCCTCGGAGGAGGCGGCACAGTTGGCGGCAACTCTGCAAGGCGGGTATCGCGCCACCAGAATCTGTAAACATATAGAATTAACGATCTTCATTCGATGCCGTAAAATGCCACCTGATGTTGCTCACCTGAATCCAACTTCGCAATCGCCGACATCGCGGCCCATCCACCGAACACAGTCCAAGACGTGCAGAATCCCATTATTCCTCCAGTCATCGTCTGGCCACTATATGAGCGAGATAGCACCGAGGGGAAAACAGATATCTTACCTAGGATGCAATCGAGGATGGTGTTTGGGGGAAGACTGCTCGGAAACGGGGCCATGAGCGATTTGCCGAGTAGCCGTGAGCGGAGAGAAGTGTTTGGAACTGCGAGCAAGCAACATTTCAGAGCGAGAGCAGTAAAGTGCTTCGGCCAAGATCGCATACCGGCACCTCCACTGCTTGCTTGATAGGTCACCGCCAAGCACCTCTTCCCCTTAGGCACAGGCGCGACGGCGACCCATGCCCCTGGAGTGTCCATGTCATGAGGGAGACCGTCCTCTGAAGCAGCAGCGTCCAACATATATTCGCCAGTGATCGCGCTCGGGTCGCGCATCTCGAGCAGCTCGGCATACATGCACTTGTCGGCATACTTGCTCGGTTTCTTTGACTTCCCTTTGCCCTTTCCCTTCCGTCGCTTCTTCTTAGTTTTGTTTGATCCAGTTCCCAGAGCGGGTTTGACTTCAACCTCATGGGGTATGGCGATGGCAGGGGATGTTGTGGCGTCCGCGGACGTGCTACTTGGGCCGGGGACGAGCATCGCGGCGAACTGCACAAGACCTTCTCGTGCGATGAGTGGTTCATCACCCTCGTCCACTTCTTCATCCTCGTCATCGGATGGACCGAGATTCAAACCCGCAAACAGATCGAGGTTGCGCGAGGAGTCGATGCGTTGGGCACGGCGCTGGGATGCGCATCAGTATGGCCGCTGGGCGGTTGGCGACTGTGGGAGACAACACAATACGCGTTTCTGTTCCTCAAGTGCCTGTGACGACGGGGGTGAGAAAAGGTGTTATGCGTTCTGCGAGGGACAAATGGCATGCCTTTGCTCTCCTTGACTCCTGCGATAGGTGTGGGGTTGTCACTGACGATGGCGGGGCCTTATATGCGCTTTTGCGGCTGGAAGACATCTTATTCCTGCGAGATTGATATCGATTGCAATCTCAACACGAGCAACCGAGGTCTGGATGGAGATGAGCAAGCCTCAAGGTCAAGCTCCGGGCGCTTGTTCGAACTCGAAGAATATTCGACACAGCCAAACTGCGTCCTCGGAAGGCGCCGCTCGACCATTGCACAGCCACTCATTCCTCTGTCAGGCATGGACGACGAACCGGTGTCGGCTCCCCCGCTCAGACCGCCGTTACAATCATCCAAGGTCCCTCGGGAAAATGAGCCAGACGAGTACGAGCTCGTAAGAAAATGGCACGAAGAGCGGCTACAACGTAAGCTACGGGGCGAGTACGAGAGTGCCGTGATGCACCTTGCAGACGTGGTGAGCATCAACGCGGGACACAGAGTAACCTATCTGTGCTGAAGGCCTTCATGGACCGCATAGGTGAACAATAGTCTGGAACGGCCCGCGCGAATTGCCTCCGTGCGCGTTGTCGGTGCGACCAACACTAGGCCGGCGTTTCTATCCTCGCTCGTCGCGCCGTACCTCTCTCCGACCCCGACGTCCCTCCGGTCGGTGCTGGATGCCACCCGCGGGATGTCGCACATTCTCACCGAGACTGGCCTCTTTCGTACGCTGGACGCGCGGCTGGAGAAGAGCCGGAGCCCGTTCGCCCGCGACCAGGACGTGGACGTCGTAATCGGCGTGCGGGAGCGCGGCCGGTTCTGGGCGAACACCTCGACGGAAGTCGGCAATGGCGAAGGAAGCGCGGTATGTTTTTCTTTTTTTTTTTTGTCATTCGTTAACGATGGGCATGATATCGAATGCCTTTTCTCATCCACAGAGTGCGACGGTGCGCATCAACAACGCTTTCGGTGGCGCTGAAGCCGTGCAGGCCTCATTCGCCACCGGCACCAAAACCAAACGCTCTTTCAACGCCTCTCTTTCTGCTCCCTTGTCGAGCGACCTAAAGACTCGCGGCGAGCTGTCCGCCTTCCTAAGCGAGCGCGACCACTCGAGCTTCGCGAGCTGCTTCGAGGGGCTGCGGGGTGCGAAGGCGGTCGTCAGGGTAAGCTAGGTTAGCTCGCCCGTTGAGCAATTTCCTCTGCGAGTGTGAACCGGTTGGACTGATACGGGTCTGTGGACAGACGACGCGATGGGGTGGGCTACATGAACTCGCCTACGAGGCCGTGCTCAGGCATATCGGTTCCCTTACCCCAACGGCTTCCATAAGGTCTATCCCACCACGATGCATCGTTTACCACGCTCATGCCGCTTACTCCTTCCAGCAAGCGACAGTCGGCCGGACACACATTCAAGTCAGCCGTGTCGCATAGCTACACGCTTGACACTCGTGATTCGCCGATACAAGGCACGCGCGGGGCTCTCCTCAAGCTCTCTCAAGAGCTCGCCGGTGTTGGTGGTGGCGATGCGAGCTTTTATAAGGTGCACGGCGAGGCGTCCGTCACGCGTCCTTTATTCCCTGGGACGGTGAGTTGACCTAAATGCCATGTGTTCGGTGAAGATCGGAACTGACACGAAGTGTACGGCAGTGGATATCCCTCGGTGCGCGGTCGGGCGCGATGTGGGCTTTAGGGGGCCGTCCGACGCTGTTTAGCGACCGATTCCAGCTTGGAGGTCCGACAAGCCTCAGGATGTTCAGGCAGAACTCCATGGGACCCCGGGATGACGGTGAGTGTCTTTTCGCGCTTCAGCATTCCTGCCAGTGACCAAAGCATGTGGGCGTAGACGACTCGCTGGGAGGCGACATATATTATTCGGCGGGTCTGAGCCTCATATCCGACATACCGCGCAAGGCGCATTGGCCAGTGAAAACCCACGTGTTTGTGAACGCCGGGCGATTAGATACCATGTCCCAAGGTGCGTCGTCCCTTTTCATCCTTCACCTTCTCTTGTCTGACAGGGAGCGGCACAGAAAAAACGTTTGTAGAAAATGTCACCGACGTGCTGTCGAAGCCGTCTATCTCGGCCGGTGTGGGGCTCATATACCGGTTCGACCCCATCAGGGTCGAGGTGAATTTTGGCGTGCCGCTCGTTGCGAGCGCGAGCGACGGCGCGAGGAAGGGGGTGCAGGTCGGAATGGGGATCGAGTTCCTGTAGATGCTTATATTATTACCGTAATAAATCTGTGGTTTACACGCCGTTGCTAATTGGCAGTCCCCGTCGTAGCCTCTGCTGCAATCTCGACGCAGTTTCGGTCTTCGCTCCCATTGACGATCCACGTGACGTCAAAGCGCGTTCGCGATCGCTTCGCAACTTGGTTTGACTGCGCGACGCTCGAACTCGGAGGCTTGCTTCCAGCTTTCACAAAGCCATGCAACGAACGTATTCTCGCAAACGACAGAGGAGACACTCCAACGTATCGGCTTCTGGATCCGACTCAGTGTCTGACTCCGGGGCAGAGCCGGTACCCGCGGTCGCGGCCAAGCGAGCGAGGACGACTCTGAAGGCCGAACCCAAGCTTGTCTTATCTTCAGGACTGAACAGAAGGAGTTCGGATTATGCAAGGGGAGAATCCCGCGCAAGCACGAAGCGATCGTCCGAGTCCGGTACGCCCTCAAGAATGCAGCCTGTTTCAGGACATACACCTCACCATATTGTCCACCAGTTTCCTCCTCAATCCGCACGCCAGCGAAGAGACCCAACGCAGGACGTGCTGAAGGCTCCAACGAAGCAGAGTCTCAATCTTCACGAAATATATCACGCCCCCAGCCAGCACGCTCCCAGCCATCTTCATGGTCAACAGGCAACCTTCAGAAGGAGCCCCGGAAGGCTGCACTATCTGCCCCGACTGATGAAGGTATGAACCCCCCATATATTTGAATGCCACGGTAGTCTAGACCTGAGCATTAGCTATAGAAACCAGTGCGATGGCTCCAGATCCTCTCGCGGTATCAGCTTCCTCTAAGGACACCTCGTTCGAGCCCAACCGCAGCAAACGTATGTGACATCCCCTGTGATTCTGGCCTACATTGAGCGCCCCTCAGAGAAGAAACGTGCTCGTACTCCTCCCGCAAAGGCTCGCTCTGAACCCACCGACTCATCACATCCTCACCCTGCACCAGTAGCTCAACAGCTCCCATTTTCCGGCGGAGCACAGACACCCACACGGCCGCCAATGCCTGGTTTACCTGATCATGAACGAACTTCTCGATCACGGACTCCAGTACAACCTGAACCTGCCTCATCGCCATTACCTTCTCTCAGTTCTTCCACCCCGACTCCTCACAAAACCTACCTTGAAAGGACTCCATCGAAGTCCAAGATCGATAGCCTAGATCAACTTCCATCCAAGGACGAGAATACACAGGTCGATGACACGCCTGTTCCTGCGCCTGCGGCACAGCTCGCTCGGACGGCCAGCCATCCGGCGAAAGACCTCTCTGCCCTGTTTGACCTTGCTTCATCTTTCTCGACGCCCGCCAAGCCGAAGGACCAGAAACAGACGATAGGTGGTTTGGCGAGCAGAATGCTCAGCCGCTCATCTTCCTCGCTGGCCCTCTCCGACTCCGGCTCGCAGCCCAAGTCCCCGGGCATCGCAGGGGGTTCGCGCACTGGACTGGGGCGCACGGGTACCGTGATTGACCTCACCCTTGCTTCACAATCTCAGTCCCAATCCAGCTCTTCGTCCTCCTTTGGCCGCTCCTCCTCGTCTCTGCACGGCGTGCTAGGACAAGCTCGTCACGCGTCTCCGACACGCGCTGTGGAATCCGTTGCGGAGAGCAGTTCGCCTGCGCGGCCAGCAGTAGCACCTGTCGCGTTGACTACAGTCCGCCGGACGTACGCCGGTGCCTCCCGCTCGTTTCTGATGGCCGTCCCGGCGGCGCAATATGCCGGTGTCGTGTCGCAGCTTGAGACGCCTAGCGCCGACGGAGTGGATGGTCTCGGCGGTGCTGCTGATGTGCTCGCGACCAGCCAGGAGGAGGACGACAATCGCGGGTTGGAATCCTACGCCGATCTCCGCGCGCGTTTAGGCGTCGACCTGTCGGACGATCCGCCTCCGCAACATGTCTACGACTCGCCACCACGCCGGGACGGACGCACGTCGCCCCAACGTACCCCTTCTGGAAAGTGGAAGGGCAAGGCAAAGGAAACCTCGGGCTCCGCACCGGAGCTGCCGCCAGGCATGATGAACGACCTAAAGAGCATCACCGAACTACGATCCAAGGGAGAGTCGCGACGGTTTTTGGATGAGGTTGGCTACCTGTTCGAGGGCCTCCTTCCCGAATCCGAGGGTGGCGAGGGCGGACTCGGCGTGCGCCGCGGCAGTGCGCTGGACCTAATGACCAAATTTTCGGCGCCAGACTTCATGCGCAAGGCGAAGGCGACGGACTTCCCTATCCGCGCGTGGCGCGCCCTGCGCGGCGCGGGAGCCGGTGACGGAGATAAGTTCCTCGACGCGGTCGCGGCGTATTTCGCAGCTCTCATCACGCACCACGTGCGTGCGGCTGACATGCGGGAGCTATTCGACGGCCCCGAAGGCGATTTCGTCCCGGTATTGTTCGACGTGCTGGAGAGAACGTCGAGGGCCAAGGATGCTCTCGCTTTGGTCCATTCAAAATTGATGTCCGACGCTGAACTGAGGAAAGCGGGTATCAGCCGGTCGGATAAGTCACTGGTGCGTTTATTACTGGGTCGTTCATTGATCGGTTCATTGATCGCGTCCCCCAGTTCGCCGCTCTTGATAACTTGGCCACGAAGGAATCTGGACTGTTTGAGCGAGGTACTGCGGTATGTCTACCTGACTTGTCGAAATCGCTTGCTTCTCTCATGTTCAAGACGTGTTCTTAGATATCTATCTGGCTCTTGGTAACCCGGGCATTAGCATCCTCTCCTTCACCCTGCCTGCCGACATCGCATGTAACGATTCTGTGGAGATGCTTCCTTTCCGAACTCGCTCTGGTGCCTCCGAGATTACAAGCCTATCGTTCTGGGCTATCTCTCATACCTGAAACCCCTGGTGTCGACACACCATGCTTTGAGTTCCTAGAGTTATGCCTAGAGCTATTGGATTCTTACCTCCTCGATCAATGGGGGCAATCTGATGAGCAGGGTACTCCGACCCGCGAGAGGTTTGAAAGCGACGCAGAGAAATGCTGCAACGGGCTCATCGCTCTGGTCAACGCAGCGCACGTTTTATCGAGTGACGGCGATGAGTCGGAGGGCCGAATATCAACCTGTGAGTGTGATCCCGTTTTTCCTTGTCCTCTGCACTCATCGTGACGTGTTCCTTAGTCCGCAACTGCGTCGATCTCGCTTTTCGCGTTCTCGTGAACCTCTCACACTCGGATAGTCAGTGGTGTGACGCCTTAGCACGTCACGAACTCGGCCTATCTACCGTGATGAGAACCATCAACTTGTCATACCGCGGATGGACCTCTAAGCAAGATCAGGTCGCCGTGAACGGCAAAGTGAAGAGGGGGCGAGAGACTACCGGCACAGACGCAACCGATCCCGGACAGCGTCGGTTTGACAGCCTGTGTCTGGCATTGTGTCTCTTGACGAACCTCGTTCACCAATGCAGCGACATAGAGCAGTGGTCGCTCGACATCTGTCAGTCCCAATCCACAAGGACATTGCGGTTCTTGGTCTGACGCAGCTTATAGGTCTTGCTCCTGCTTGCCTCGGGCACCGTGCCTGCATGCGGGCTTGTCGGTGTCTGCGCCGCAAGTCGGCGCTTGAGGGACTGTCTGATATCTACTCCCAATGCGCCTCCAGCGCGGGCTTCAAGCCCGAGTCTGGTTTAGACTTGGAAGCTGTCGCATGCTCCGGCCTCTTAGCTTCCCATCTCGCGGTGCTCTTCGGGCTAATCATGAAGGCCGGCCTCGCGTCTGAAGCACGAGTTCTCGCTCTTCTTCAGGGCCAGTCACGGGTGGACAAGCTCAGCAGGCTCGTAGAGGTCGCAGGCGACTTCGTCTCCTTCCAGGAGGCTGTGTCGGGTACGCGAAATAGAGGGCACGACGAATCGACGACCGGGTCTGACTTGGATAGTGGAACGATCGCTCGGAACGTGTTTGCGTACCTGGAACGTTTACGAGATGAACATCCACGATGAAGATGATGTTCCTGCGCTACACCCGTATCTGCCAGCCTTTGCATGACGGTGCTGATTCTGATCAGGGGTACGGAAATTTGATCGCTCGAGGATAAGCTGATTAACATATAGTGCGCTAGTGATCTTCCTACTGCAGGTTGGCGGGGATATAGGCTACTGCTTGGCATAATACCTTCTGAAGGTCCTCATAGAACTCATTCCGAGCTTGGAATAATGAACGGCAAATCACTGTCTGCTCAGAACAGAAATTACGAATACCTCACATCGTTCCAAATCTGAGCTTGCACTAAATGGGCCATCTCTTCTCTTGCACTCTATTGACTTAGCATCTATAAGTATCAAGTTCTCGGAGTGTTTCTCCTGGCTGTGTTCTTGGTCCTCCACATCAGGACTGGCTCACAGGAAGACAGGAAGAAGCAATAGTGGCTGATCGGATTTCTCCGAACAGGACCTGTGTATTGTCAGCGTCCCTTTGCCTTGGCGATTGGCTTTCTTTGGGAGGTCGTCTGATATTGAGATCTCCTTGGGCGGGGGAACCGGCCAGTCGTTCTGCAGAAACCTGCCAAATAGATTGCATGGATGCGCCGTTCACTAAGAGACGTATCACGATTGCGATGTGTGTTCGACCAGGTGAGTTGAGTTTCTGCAGTGCCTCGCTCTCATCATCTATCCAGAATCACACAGAGCATACGGATATCCAGAACCGCCACCTGATTGCTGATATCCCGCTTATTTTTGGGTTGATTCATTAACTTCAACTTATCGCTCGCTAGCGCGAGAGATGTTGGAAATATAGATATCTAAAACAAGGACCTTGTCCCATCCCCGCCCATAACCAGTCGCGGCGAACTGAATCAGTATGTAACGCGAGAGAGTATATAAGCTATGTGCCCCTGCGAACGCGCTTCTGGTATCGCCTCTTGCTTATCCTTTCATGCCAGACACAACACTCGCTAACACTTACGGAGTGCTTTTCCTCGGCGTCTCCGTCTCAGGTGTACTCCTTGGAATCACATGTCTCCAGATGTACTAGTATTATGCTCCCTCGGGTGGATATGTTCTGATTGCCGTGCAGGTATTTGTTCTATGACAGATTTCATCAGGAGTCCGTCTTCACGAAAGGCGTGGTATGTCTCCATGATCCACGCATGTATACAAAGTTCCCTGACAAATACTTGACATCAGGTCGCTATCATGGGAACGCTGGACGTCTTGACGTTCGCCCTCAATCTGCATGCACTTTACCACTACATGTTCGGCAGCGGCTCTGATTTTCTTGCCCTATTAATTCCTGTTTGGTACGTTACTAGCTGATTGCTTGTCAACTGTGGCGTTTACAATACTAGGAGCTTGAAGGTGCGCGGATTGTGGCTTTGCTCGTGACGGGGTTCGTCGCGCCTAATTGTTGACACCAAGCTCTCAGTCCTGCTGAGCGATATTCAAATACCTTCGGTACAAACAGTGAGCCCCTCGAGATCAACTTCGTTCCGACACCTTTAGCGTTCATTTGGCGTAGATGTACTGCATCAGGCTGTGGAAAGGTGGGTTGTAATTGAAAGGGTTTTGTCACCTCATGTATGACCTGTCTTAGTCGCCAAGGATCGGAAAATCTTGCCTTTCATCGTGGTATGCATTCGCCATTCTGAGCATAGTGCGTCCTCTCACCGTAAAGACAGACAATCGCTGTTTTAGCTGGATGGGGTACGTCAATATCTTATGTGTCACTCGCGAAGCACTACGGACTGAGCACGAACTGACAGCAAGCGCCTTGAGTGAGTGGAGCAACATCAGTTATCAGCGTGACAATAACCATTCTTACTATACAGTGCCCGGAATCTCGAGGTAACTCAATGCTACAACGTATATATGAACATAGTCCTTACTATCAACACTCCAGCGTCTTACTGAAAAATCTCTTACAAGTACAACACGAACGCGTACGCTTGGCTCCCGTCACAGCATCGAAATCCATCGCTGTCGACTGATTTTCAGGTCGTTCACAGACGACCATGATCTATGTGCCATTCTCAGTGGCTATAGTGACGGATACGTTGATAGCCATTGTTACGTGTTACAGCCTGTATAGACTCAAACCAGACTTCGCCCCGTGAGCAGCACTGCAACTGAGTCTATTTGCTGAGCTAACAATTATAGATCGCGTTCTGTGGTGGAAAACCTGATTGTATGGGTCCTCGGTACGGGAGCGTTGACGAGGTACGAACTGCCAGTCTCGCTCTGAATCCCGTTGATTTGATGATAGAGACCCACAGCGTGACTGCGGTAATCGTACTGGTATTGGTAATGCCCTCCATCAACAGCTCCACTATGAAACTTACGCCGATCTACCGAAGTTTGTCGCCATGCCGGAGAGTCTCCTCTATCTCGCACTCGAAGTATGCTTCTCCAAGCTGTACCTCAACAGCTATCTTGCGATGTGAGGCCTGCATGCTCCCCAGAAACAGAATTTGCTGACTTCGATAACTCCTAAAAACTAGGATGAACACGAGGGAGAAGCTCCGCTTGAAGCATAATCGAGTGGTGGCACTGAATAACCTCAACCCAAGTACCGGCACGGCATGGAGCGACGAACCAGTACAGCCAAAATTGCCCAGGGACCCTCCGCACGCCCGAGCACTGGATGAAGGTAGGTGACTCGGTTCTCAAGCCGAACTATCATGCTGGCACTGACGAGAATGGTTAGACTGGGACGGACCGCATGTAGCTGTTGCAATTTAGAAGAACTTGGTTGGGGGGTTGTTAGGGTCACTCGAAATGAGACAATGCATTCTATCTCGACTTCGTTACCGCTGTATACGATCGATGGGGATCCGCCTGCTAGGCGATTATTTTGAGCGTGTCCCGGCTTCCCGGCTATTAATTTCTCGATGTAGACCACGTATGGCAAACTGAGCATACTTCTTTACGCATGAGGGAAACGATCGGAAAAGAAACCATTAAGAACCATAGCGCTTACAATTGCCACGGGCCGAAGGCAAAGTGTCTTACTATCCCGGTGCACGGGCTAGGCGAGCGTTTGAAGTATAGTTTTCCTGCGCAGGGGCAGCGAATTCGTTTCGTGGCGTACCGAAGCTAAGTTAGCTCGAATGAGAAAACAAGGCTGACCGCGGGTGAAAAAGTCAGATACACACATCCTTCATCTAGTCCTCTTTTTCCACCCATTTTCCATCCGGACCCTCCTTCACGTCCAAATCCCACTTCTTTCCGTCCATCCATTGGTCCTGCAAGAACGCATCCCACCACCGTATATGTACTTCGCCATCAATATCGAAGAAGTAGCCGGCCACTCGCGGATCAGGCCCCAAATATTCGTGTCTACGGAGAATCGGATCAGCACTGCACAAACGTAGCGTGAAAGCCGAACGCATCCACCTCCTCGCCGTAACGCCCTCATCTGTGACAAAGTTCACCCATCCATGGTCGAGCGTCTTCAGATCCACTTGCTCCATATAATGCTGGTGCACAAGCACGTTCAGATCTGTGCCCTCGCGCACCAGCTTCGTATCCACTCCGTTGCGCGCAAGATATGTACGAGGTAGGTGTATCCGAGTCTTGCTATCCGCTATCTTCCTCTCCAGAGGCCATCGATTGACTGGCCATGCGATGGCGCGTTTGAGCGAGAGTAGCGTTTTCAGCGCTTCTTTCCGGTCCTTTTCGCGAGCTGCTGCAGCCTTTCGGATAGCGGCTTCGTCTTTAGAAACGTCAACTGACGGAAGGTCGATGTTCTCCGCTTCGTCTTTAGTGACTTTGATAGATTTCATAGCCATGGTCGAATTTCGATACAAAATGAGCGCTCAAGGTTGGGCTAATAGTCCGAGTCATCGCGTGGGGCTCTGAGTAGAGCTCGGGCGCTCAATGACTCGCGTGAAATATTCACAGCCCCTAGGTCGCGATAGATCTCTCAGTCTGGACGCAACTTGTGACGATGCACTCGAACGCTTGCGTACTCCGCAACCTGCCAGCGAACGTGACAACATGGACACATGGTCATAGGACAGCATGCACAATTGCCTAACGTATCTCGCTCCTCCGGATTCGCCATCACTTCAACCACCAATCAGGGGCATGATAAATTCGTGGTTCTCTGGGCCCGAGTCGGATTGCTGAACGCGCATGCGCAGCACAATCATAAATACAACCAGTTCAGTAGAGCAGCAGCGCTTACCAACCGAGCTCTCTATCGTTATATAAAGACGCAGATGCAGCGGGCTCGCTGCTATAGTTGCGGTCTCGCATTGTCAGTGTGATACTCCATGCGGTCTCCGGCTCTTCTTCTGGCTCTGACCGGTTGCGCGGCGCTCACGACTCTCGCTTGGGACGTCAGACCCTTTACGGTGGACATCCCTGCTGCCGATGTGCAACGTATGACTTTTCTCGCGTCCGAGGCACGTTTCCCGCAGCTCCCGGAGTTCGTCGGCGGGAACGCGACCTACGGTGTCGAGCTCGATGTTATTGAAAGCATCCGAGATCAATGGGTTCACGACTTCAACTGGACAGAGCGACGGGAATATCTGAATAGGTATATACCTCGCACTACCACGTGTCTAGGAACAGAAATCACATTCCCTTTTGCAGCTTCGCGCAGTTCACCGTGAAGATCGAGGACGTAGACGTTCACTTTGTGCACCAAAGGTCTGACGATGCGGGTGCTATCCCGTTACTCATGCTCCATGGGTGGCCAGGTAAGACTTTGCTCCGCTAGACCGGACGCATAGCACTTCTCACGATCACCTTACAGGGTCGTTCCATGAATATCTGCCCGCTGTGAGTGCATTGAATGAACGCGTATCGAATGCACAGGGAAAGGCTGGTGAGATCCGGACCGCACCCAGGCCGTGGGTGTGTTGTTGACCCTTTCATTACACCAGTTTCCTTCGACGTAGTCATACCCTCCCTTCCTGGGTTTGGATTCACCCCGCTTCCCTCAGTGGATTGGAAGATCGATGATACGGCCCGCGTATTCAACACGCTTATGGTCGACGTCTTAGGCTACTCAGACTATACTGTATACGGTGGTGACTGGGTACGTATATCGCTACGTCCTGGATATACCTTGGCAAATAAAACATGCGCATTGCAGGGTTCTGCAGTTGGTTACGTCCTTTATGTGGATTATGCATCGGCTGTCCGCGCCACGCAACTCTCGTTCCTTCCGTTCTTTCCTCCTACACTGGCCGAAGCGCGGAGCGCCAATGCGAGCTTGGACGCGTTTGAGGTAGCGACCTTGGCTCTCAACGACGAGTTCGTGTCCCGTGGAATGGGATACTTTCCACGAGCAATCATGGAGGGTAAGTATCGCATGTGGTTGTGACTCAGATGGACCGCTGACCCTTCGCTCCACAGCCAAACACTCTGGGACTGGCATTGTACGATAGCCCAATCGGCCAGCTTTCATGGATGTTGGAACTTTGGCTCGAACTGTCAGACCCTCGCCGAGGCACCGGGCCCTCCGTTCTTACCAACACCGCCATCCTTACGGAGATATTGTTATACTATCTGACAAAGTCGTTCCTGTCGTCGATCTGGATATACTTGCAGCAGACGTTCAGCCCATCATACGACGTTCCAAAGCCTTCGACGCCGTTGGGATACAGCGCGTTCCGGTACAACATCATCTGGCCAAGAGCGTACGTCGAGAAGGTGGCAAACGTCACCTTCTATAATGGTACGCGGTCTCTGGCATTCTGAGGATCCGAGCTGACGATCCGTGTTAGAGCACGATTTTGGTGGCCATTTCCCGGGCTTGGACAACCCTACTGCGCTGGCCGCTGATATTCGGGAGATGTTTGGGTACTTTGTCAGGAAGTAGGCCCGCCATGAACATGGACATATCATACTTCGCTCAGGGATTAGGGTACAAAACAGGTGGCGCGCTACCTTGAACGTAGCTGATGCTACTTAGCAGTGCTATGTGGAATGTGATCGAAGGCAGCCGGATGATATAACCTGCCCACGCCCGCATCTGAGTCTTTGCGGATGCGCTCACTCGGCTCTTTTGACCGTTGAACATGCGGTTTTCACGGGTGGGGCGATCATCGTGCTGTCGACGGGTTTTGCAAACCATCTCGCTCGTTCGCTCGTCACGGTCGGGGCGTGCGCTTTGACGGAGATGGGGCTGCGCATATAGATTGCGGCGGGGGGTCCCCTGTTTGCGGAAATACACGAGTAACATTCCTCGGATTGCTGCTGCTGTGCCCGCCAAAGGGCGGTTCGAGTGCTTCATTGTGGTGCGGAGCGGTGTGGGACACGTTGCTATGCGGTTTCGGACGACGAAAATGTCTTGCTGGAAGAGTAGTGTTTTGGCGCCGATCAGAGAACGCGGTACGGTGGTGAGGTGGCGCGGCCGTGAACGACGTTGAAATTACACGGGATGCATATGCATACATGCTAGTATTAGAGACGAGGGCATTTTACTGTATGTATGGGCGTATATACCCCGCAACGTCGGAAAGACGGTGTTTGCAAACGACTTATATATGTATCCGGAGGTTAGCCCGGAAGAGCACGCGAGTGCCGGGGGAAAAAGGAAGCACGAACCTGAGAGTCGGAAAGCAAATGCGGGGGCCTTTCGTGATGTCATACGGAGTTACTGTGATCGGTGCGATTGGGTTCGGATTGCCAGCTGCGATGCGAATCTGAGACTCGGGAAAAGGCAATCATGACGATCGTGTCCATTTCCGATAACATGCAGAGTACCTACGGAACCTGTGCGTGCATTTTGCGTGCCTCGATTGTCGGATGGTGGTGTCCAGGGTCGAGGGAGGAGTATCGTTATCAGTGTCGGTGAACCGCGGTTGCCGTTCGCGCGTTGCATCCTCGTTGTGTGTACGTGGGCGGCACTCGATCCACCTGACGCGCCCCCAGACGTCACCAAGATATCGTGCGGGCATGGATAGATCACAAGAGCGAAAGAAGGTGTTTGGTGATGAGAGTTTGAGGGGCACGAGAGTTCTCTCAACAGGTGACTTGTTGTTCGCAGCTATCGTAAGTGAGGCGTGGGTGGTAAATTAAACTCAGAGTTGGGCTCGCCAGGGCTCGCAGCTGACGTCGATCTAAGTACAGACTGTACAGAGTCGAAGCCCGACAGGTTCTGGGCGCCGTGCAACTCCGATCAACTCCGTCCGAGCGCGCCACATCGCCGGGACATGAGAGGTGTCGCCGAAATTTTGCCCTATGGATCACATCGCGTGCTGCTGAGACCTGATGGTTGCAGATAATACGTCGCCCGGATAGCCACAGACCCCCTTGGACAAGATGAGGCGCGTCCAGGACGAGGCAGACCAATGGAGGGCGAAGGTAAGGTGGACGGAAAGGCGCTCCAGATGAACGGCTCGGTCCTGGGCTCGGTGATACCCGCGAACGCGCCAACTCCGATGCTTAAGATCGGCTAGATCATGAACGGGCGACTTCAAGTTAACTTCAACGCCGTTCACGTTCCGTATCAGTTCGGGGCGTGCATGACATAACGACGTGAAGGGACGGGATCTGATTTGCAAAGTAGGCGTGCGAAGGTGGCGGGCTCATCTGGGCACCGTCGTCCCGTAGGCCCCGATCTCGCTCGCCGTCCCCCTCGTTGCTCCTTCCTCCACCGCCTCCCGGATGTGCTGACGCGGACACGTCCTTCATTCTTGTTCACCGTTCCATTGGTCTTTTACCGCTGCAAGTAGCGCCAGAGCACCGAGCCAGGCTCGACGAACACACGCCATGTCGAGTTCAGCCACCGCGGCGGTCCAGCAAACTGGCGCGCCGTCGCCCTCGTCGCGCTCGCAGCCCAGTCCGACACCTGCACCCGCCCCCATCCGTCGAGCGGCCGCCTCCGTGCCTCCTCCGACTCTATCGCCGACGTACGACTCGTTCCTGTACGCCTACCCGTACCCGGCCTTCGTCCTCCCCGCGACGCCTCTCCCCGGCCGCAGCGAGCCCTCGCTCGAGCCGCTGTTCGTCAACTCTCCCCTCGGCCTTCTGCTCCTCGGCTCCGAGTGGCCCGCGACTCCGACCGGCCTCGCCGGCGAGGAGGAATGCGGATACGAAAGATGCGGGCGCGCGTTTCTGGAAGCGCTGGGAACGACCGAGGCCGCGCAGGCGTTCGCGCGGTGGATGTCCGGACCCGACGCGAGCTTCGAGCTCGCGCTCCACCTGCGATGGGCCGGCGGGGGCGACGCGGCGGAGGGCAAGACGGTCGTGACGCTCGACGTGACGAAGACCCGGCTCTCGGACGTGTGCATATGCACCTCCGTCCCGCGCTCGCCTCTCCCCACCCCTCGCGCCCGCGCATCGCACCCCTCCCTCGCCCGGGCCCCCTCCCCCGACCCCTCGTCGCCGATCCTCAAACGCAAAAACACCCCTCCCAAGATGCCCCACTTTCCCTCGATCCCCACCCCGTCCCGGTCTGCCTCGCCGTCGACGCAGCACCGGAACGCCGACGCGGACGACGGGCGGCCACAGCCGACGCCGGAAGAGCGACGGAGGACCAGGGCTCCGCACAATCTCGCGTACAGGCCGCCCGGGGGCGAGGGCAGCGTGCAGAGCATGATCGCGAGCTTTGATTGGAGCAAGACCAGCCTCGGCCCGAGAGAGAAGTGGCCGCTGGGCTCGGAGACCGTCTTAAGCTACGTGCTCCACCATCCCTTCCCCGTGAGTTTCCTTTCTTTCTCTCTCTCTCTCTCTCTCTCTCTTTCTGCCGCATATATCCACACGGAATTCACGCCCCGCCGCGACGCAGACGGCGCTGTTCTGGGGACCGCAGCTCACCATGATCTATAACGACGCGTACGTCGCCATGGCGGGTACGTGCCTCCTCTTTTTGGGAACTTCCTGTATGAACGAGAAGGATAGCTGACGCTGAATCCAGGTTCGAAACACCCTGCGATATGGGGCAAGGAGGGCGCCGTGGCGTGGGCCGAGTTGTGGGAAGACATTGGGCCGCTCGCCGAACAGGTGATGGAGGGGACGACGGTCTTCAGGCACGACGGTCAGTATTTTTCAAATGTTCATTTCAAGCCCCTCCTCGTTGCCTCCTGCGTAAAGGATGTGTGGTCGACGAACGCATGCTGACCCGTCTGCGTCCAGATCTGCTGTTCTTCAATCGTCTCACGGAGGATAAGCTTCCGGAAGAGACGTACCACTCGTGGTCGTACACGCCCGCGCGGCAACACTCTTCCCCCTCGCCGTCCGCGCGGCAACACTCTCCCCCCTCTCCGTCCGCCACGCCGACCGACGGCCCAGCGAAGCGGGACCCGCGTGCCTCGCTGCCATCTCCTCCCAACTCCACGCCTCTGGATCCGACGCCGCGTCTGACACTGCGGGCCGGTGCGATAGCCGCGTCCTCCACGGGATCGACGGCAGCAGCTCGTGCGCCGTCGGCGATATACCCGCCTACGCCGATGGACGACGATCGTACTCCAGCACCGACGTACATGGCCGCGTCGATATCGGACGCCGCCGCGGCGGAATCGAACGAGCGAGAGTCTGCAGACGAAACGGCGCCAGGCGCCGCTAACCCGAATCCCATCATCGGCTTCGTCAACACCACGCTCGAGACGACGAAGAAGGTGCTCGCCGAGCGGAGGCTGTCCCTCACGCGGCATCTGGTGTCGGGCACCGCGCTGACGCGCACCACAGGTTCGTGCCCGCGTGCTATCTCTCTCGCCTTCTGATTTCTTGGCATCCTGACTCTTTGGTCGCTTTCTCATCATCGCACAGCGGAGTTTGCGAAGGTGGTGATCGACGTCCTTTCCGGGTTTTCCCAAGACGTCCCTTTCGCCGCTCTCTGGTTCTGCGACGCGGACGACTCTCCTGGTAGGTATCGCCCCGACGCCTTGCTCGCCGTCGACGGCGCCTACGATGCCACCGCCGACCACGACGTTACAGGACGACACGAAACGCCGCTCTCGCTCGCCGTCTCGCCGTCGGACGGACACTCGCACGGGCACGGGCACGGGCGCGCGAAGCCGCCATCGCGGGTGACGCTCCGCCTCGCGGGCGCGCTCGGCATCCCGCTCGGGCACGCGGCCGCGCCGGAGACGGTCTCGCTCGGCGTCGAGGCGCACGGCTCGGCCTGGACGGGCGCGGGCAGATCGGCGGAGGGCGAGTCTTCGTTCCAGGGTAGCAGCCTCGCGCTCGGGAGCTTGGGCGCGCCGGTGCCGGAGAAGACGCGCTCGGACGGCGGCGAGTCGAGCCGGAGCGGGCGCAGCGACGCGTCTGCGAACGTCGCGCGGAGGACGATGTGGGGCCCGCAGGTTCCGACGCCGGCCGCGTCCGCGCCGGGGTCGCTGGGCAGCGGACGGGCGCAGGGGCAGGGGCAGGGGCAGGCGGGACAGGAGGCGGGGGCTGCGACGGCGTACCCGTGGCCGTTCGAGGAGGCGCTTGGTTCGCAGCGCCCGGTGTATATGCCGGCTATTCCGCCGTCGACGGCGAATGCGCTCGAGAAGAGGGGGTGGGGCGACGTTCCGCGCGAGGCCGTTGTGATACCCATCGGCGGATCGGAGGAGGAGGAGGAGGAGGAGGAGGACGGAGGCGGGCGAGGATACGGGCTAGCGGCGATGCCTTCGCCGTGCGGGTCGCTTGGATCGTCGAACCTGAACCCGTTGGCTAGCCGCTTGGGGGCTGCAGCGCGGAGTCGCAGAGGAGGGGGTGCGGGCGATTTGAGGATGCCGAAGATGCTGCTGGTGGTCGGGCTGAACACGCGAAGGCCGTACGACGAGGAGTACAGGGAGTGGGTGGAGATGCTGAAGGTCAGTTTGGACTCGACGCTGGGCGCTGTCCTTGGGCGGCAGGCGGACATCCAGCGAGCGAAGTATGTCGTCGTCTGTCACACCCGATCCCGTATATCTGATCATGGTTCGCGCGCAGCCAACTCGCGCAGCTGGATAACGCGAAGACCGCGTTCTTTAGTAACGTGTCTCATGAGCTCCGTACGTCCTGCATCCGGAGTCCGTCGCCGATGTGGACGGATGTCTGATACGACGTCGTAGGTACGCCGCTGACGCTCATCAAAGCGCCCCTGGAAGACTGTATCGCGCATGCATCAGACGGCCCGATTAAGGAGCGACTGAAGCTTGCTGTGAGGAACGTTACGCGTCTGGGGAGACTGGTCGATTCCTTGATGGACTTCAGCCGATTAGCTGCCCAAAGGCTGCAGGGTATGTTACTGTCACGTCCAGATAAGTACGCGCGACAGACGACTGCTTCACCTTCCAGGCAAGTTTCATCCCGTGGATATCAGCGTATTCACAGCGGATCTCGCGTCGTTGTTCCGAAGCACGATCGAGAAGAATGGTATCAGCGTTAGTGTTCGTCTTGTTCGTGTCTAGCATGTGCTGAGTGTAATACTTTAGTACGATGTGCAATACGAACCTGCTGGGGCAAGGCTGCTTTATGTCGATCCCGAGTGCGTGGCAGGTCATCTGTGAACGTCTTTAGCAGATTTACTGAATAAGTGTCCAGCATGTGGGAGAAAATAGTGTTCAACCTCATTGGAAATGCCTTCAAATGTAGGCGGTAGTGCATCCACCCGACCAGCGATGATTGACGTGGATCGCGCAGATACCATGAGTGGAAGCATTCAAGTTCGGATACGATATACGGAAACCCACGGCTTGTTTATCGTAGAGGACACTGGTGTCGGCATCGGGCCGGACGGTGCGTCCAGCTACTTGTCCTGTTAGTGGTTATGCTGATTATCTTTATAGATGTGGACAAGGTCTTCGGTCGTTTCTATCGCGTCGACGTGAGTCCGCTTGAATCCGCGAACACTTGGATGCCTGTTAATTCCCTCGTGCAGTCTGTCAGTCGCAGTCACGAAGGCACAGGCATAGGCTTGGCACTCACGAAGGTAACGGGAGTTCTTTCATAGCGTCGACTGGTTGTCGACAGCCCGAATATTCCAGGAACTGGTATCACTTCACGGGGGTACGCTGACCGTTCAATCTCGGACGGTCGAAAGCAGCGGTGATGGCAGCCACGGAAGTCGATTCGTTGTCTCTCTTCCCTTCGGAAAGGAACACCTGCCCCACGCGGATGTCGTCGAGGAAGATGCTTCAATGCTTTCTCGGGGCAATTATGCACGGGGTATCGTCGAGGAAGCGAGCCGATGGGGCGCGGCTTTCACGTCCACTGACGGTCAAACACCTAGCGATACAAGCGAGCAGGGTATGACGTTTGCCGTCACTCCCTCAGGAAGTAACAGCAGCGGAAGCAGCGGAGGACGCGTGGACCCTGCTACGCTCTTCTTCCAGAAGTCCGACGTCGTACTTCTTGTGGATGACAATATGGACATGCGCAAGGTAGGCCATGCCGATAATCAGTCTCTGTATCTTCGGGTCTAACGACAACCTCTCGCAGTACGTGAAGGCCATGTGAGTTATATCTGTGCTATTGGTCGAGGAGACGTGGTTCATCCTAGGTTACAGCTTGTCCCCGTATTGTACGGTTGTGGAAGCGCGCCATGGGCAGGAGGCGCTGACCATGCTCGAGGGCGGTTTGCCGAACGTCGTGCTGAGTGACATAATGATGCCCGGTCAATCTGGCTCAGTGATTGGTTTCAGCCCTTCGTCTGACATGAGCCCCTGTAGTCATGGATGGTTTCGCCCTTCTAGAGGCCCTCCGATCTAGGAAGGATACTCGTGAGCACTCCTGTCCTGGAAAGACCCCGATATTCAACGAGTGCAGGCCTGATCCCGGTTATCTTGCTTACTGCTCTGGCTGGCAACGAGGCTCGCGTTGAGGGACTGGTCCGTACCCACCTTAAATCTGTGGCGATGGATATTGACAATAACTACAGCTTTCTGGAGCGGACGAGTGAGTTCTGACGAGCACATAGAGAGAGCTCCTGCTGACATCTTTCGCAGTTATCTACCGAAGCCATTCAGCGTGAGACGTCTCTATGATGCATTCTGATTCTCGTCCTCAGCGTTTCGTAGGCAAATGAGCTGGTAGCACGAGTACATCTTCAGATGCTATTGGGAAAGCGCCGAATCGAGCTCGAAGCACGATTTGAGTAAGACTTGTCCATCCGAGGCATGAAGGCGCTATTGACACTATATTCAGAGAGCGTACGCAGGAAATACAGTTATTATCCGAATTGTCACCCGTCGGCATATGTCGGTATGTAACTTCATCCTGTCTCGATCATTTCTGCTCACCCAGGTTTGACAGCTCGAACCGTGATGGGCGGTAAGCGCTCACGAAGGTATACTCCTCATGGGATTGACTGACATCGCCCCGATTAAGCGTCATCTATGGTGCGCATCTATCCTGATGTTCGTATCCTGGCGTCTGATCGAGCGGCTATAGCAAACCCTAGATTTTTAGAGTACTCGCAACACTCGGCGGAGGAACAAGACATGTGGTACGCGCGACCTTTTTTCGTCGAGATGTCGCATCTCTGATGAGGAATGTATCCAGGCAAGACGCGTCGGTCTCCAAATGATAATATCATGTTTCACCGCATTGATATCTGTTGTAGGGTCCATCCTGAAGACCAGTCTAGCGTTTCGGAGGCTTGGAACACCGCATACACGAAGCGAGAGAGCGCTTCCGTCGAGTTTCGTGCGTGTCTTCTCCACCGTATCTTCGGCCCATCCGTGTTCACCGCCGCTGCAGGCTTCTCGAGCGGGACCTGGTTTCTGGCTCATATTCAACCTCTTATGGATGGCGGCTGTCGTGAGTATCCTCTATTTGGCGCAGGTTCTCGTTAATTGTTCACTAGTGGCCACTATCACCGATATAAACGCTCAGCGATTGTACGAAACATCGGAACTCCTTCGGTCGCAGGAGAGAGAGGCATCTGCTCGAAAACGGGCGGAAGAAGCTGAGCAACAGCGTCAGGAAGCCGATGATCGTCGAAGAGGTCAAGGTCCGTCTCTGCTGTCTCCAGTGTCGGTGTTGGTCAACTCTCAACCTCGCGTCGTACCAGAACTGCTGATTGACGTCACATCTCACGAGCTCAGACAGCCAGTATCGGCCATTTTAAACTGCAGTGCTCTCGTCCGCGCTAACCTCGCGAGTCTGCGAGACGAACTCTGGAACTGCAGTGTGAAGGGCACCGCATATATTCCTCCGTTACATCTTTTCGAAACTATGGATGAAGATCTAGACGCATTGGACTCGATCTATCAATGCGGCCTTGCGCAAGGTATTTGCAATAAACAACCGTACTTTACCCATTTCATGGACATTGTCTTCAGAGCGGATCGCCAACGATGTTCTCTCGCTGTCTCGCATTCAGCTCCAAGTCCTGAACATTGTGCCCACGGACTTCGAACTGATTGGCGAGGTTCAGCGAATCTTGTCCAGATTCCGTAACGAGGCCAAAATGTAACGAGCCTTTCCCCTGCCGTTGAGGTCATACGCTCAGGCCGGAATAGGAAACGAATACAATTGACACTACAGACGGGTGTATCTCTCACACAGCTGGGTGTTACTTACATTGTATCTGACAAATCCCGCTTCGGTCAAGTCATGTACGATGGTTTACGCTCTCAACACGAACACTGTACTGACGCCCTTCGATCAGAACCAATCTCCTCAGCAACGCAATCAAGTTCACTGATGTACATTCTTATGACTTCCTTTGTTCTGTTCTGACCAGTTTGATAGATGTCCACGTCGGAAAGGAAGATAACTGTCACGGTTGAAGCTTCGGTTGATCCTCCAGCGGGCTCAACCTTCGAGCCCTCTATCCCACTTCCTTTGCCTGGCGATGTTCCCCCGTTGACAGCTGGATCACCAATATACATCTTCGTCACTGTGAAGGACTCCGGTCCCGGTCTTCAGCCTGATGATCTGGACAGACTTTTTCAGAGGTACGTATTGAGTTCAACTTCAATAGACCCTCATCTCAAAATTGTGCCCTAGGTTCCAGCAAGGCTCGGTAAGCAAATCGTAGACGCGAAACTAAACATCTCACATTGCGCTTAAGAACTCGCATGACGTCTTCGGGGGCTCGGGACTTGGCCTCTTTGTGTCGCGCCAGCTCTGCAACTTGATGGGTGGCAGGATAGGGGTCAGTGCATGCTGTACCCACGGTTTCTTAGCTCTGATCCTCGTGCCGTTCTATCTTAGGTTCAGAGCGTCCATGGTCAAGGCGCCTTGTTCTACTTCTTCATCGAAGCCAGGGTGGCAGAATCCAGTTCACCTACGACACCTTTCTCTGAAACGGGTGATCCCATCCTGGCCGCTCGCGTCCCGAACTCCAGGAAGAATATCTCGGATCCTCGCATATCTTATCAGTGAGCGTTTTGGACCTGAGAGCCAGAGCCTTCTAGACTAAGCTCTAATCAAGTGTCTTGGTTTGTGAAGATAACCTGATCAATCAAACTGTACTAGTGTTAGTAATCCTTAGTCTCATACAGCGATTGAAACTCATTTCCCTTCACAGGCGGCAGCTCAAGAAAGTCGGCTGCACAACGGCTGTGGCATCCAACGGTCTTCAGGCCCTCGAACAAATACGGACGTTGGCCGCAAGAGAGCCGCCGCAAACTTTCGATGCTATACTCATGGATCAGGAGATGCCTCTTGTACGCGAATATTAGTCTTGCGTGATAATTATCTCAACGTGAGATGCATAGATGGATGGATCCACGGCTGTGCGGCGTATCCGCCAAATGGAGCAAACCGGGCAAATACCCAAGCGAAATCGGATCTTCGCTCTGACGGGCAATGCTCGCGGCGGGCAGGTGGAGAATATCAGACAAGCCGGCGTTGATGATGTGCTCGTGAGTAATTCCTGCTTTTGCAGATAGTCCGAATTCATATGCTACATCCAGATCAAGCCGTACAAGTTCGAGGAGGTCCTCGACCGTATCCTTTCGCCTTCTTAGCCGCGACTCGTAGGGGAAATGGCTTCTGTACCATACTACAGGCTACTAACCACCTAATGCCTTGCGTACTGTATCCATTTTATATTAGCACATTCCCCTGCTTTTGTACCCATCGCATGTATACATACACTCATACATATCAGTACACAACACGCAACTCGGCTCCGCGACGCTGTGGTCGATGAGAACGGTCCATAAGTACGTTTCCGCGACGTCACCTCGGAACTGGGCTCTAAACGCGACTTCTGCTTCGATTCTGGACCAGTCGCTCATATCATACTCCGGTGCTGTTTGTGTCGAGATGAGGCTTAACATCCCTCCACCTCGACGTCTTTGGCAACCAACTCCGCCGCGCCGTCGAATCGAGGAGACACGGAACATGGAAACGGCTTCAGCTGCCTATTCGCGTGGTCAATGTCAGTGTCGGCAAAAAGAGGAAGCAGGCGAGACCGCGCACAAGATCGCGCCGTCTTCAACCTCGACGTGGGGGACGTCTGTAGACGGCGAGGTGATCTCGGTCACAGCCAGCGTTGAGCTGAGCGTGATCCACAGCCAGGCGTCCGCGTAGAATCTCCCGGGACAGACCCTGTCAAGCTCGAGCGTCAGAAAGGGGACCACCGCTCGCGTCTCGAGATCACCGACGAACGCACCGTCTGCCGAAGCCGAAGACGGCTCGACGGAGCTCTTTGCGTGCGCTTTCGAGGCGAAGCAGGGCGCCGGGTTCGGCATCCCCCATGGTCATCGAGTCCGACCTCGTGTCATCGAAGAATCGCTCCGGGCGAAAGTCGTCTGGGCTTGGATAGCGTTCGGGGTCGTGGGTCATGGCCCTAGGAGAGGCGAGCGTTCTCAGAGAGGTGGGATTAGGGATGCGACGTGGAATGCGCACCATATGTTCGCAATGACGGTTGAACCCTTGGGTAGAAGATAGCCGTCGTATACTTGATCGCCCGATAATGGACGAGAGGCTGCGAATACCCAGCTCGTTGAGCGCCCCAAGCTTCAGAACGATAGAACTGATGAGGGGCTTACTGAGCGGGATCGGTGGCGCCCAGCGCATGAGCTCCATGATGAGCGCTTCTGTATACGGCAGCGCGGCGCGATCCGCGATCGTAGGCAAGCGCTGGCGTCCGACGACGCGATCAATCTCGGCATGCGCTTTGGCTTGGGCTTCAGGATGGAGCATCATGGCGAGGAAGAACGAGGTGGTGAGCGAGATGGTCTGGGCCAAGGAAAACGCAATCTTAGCCCCCCCTCAACATCGCAAGAGACGGGATGTTACCGTGTCCACGGCTCCTCCATATAATGACACGGAAGAGAACAGCGCCGTCTTCTTCTCCGATTCCGATATTTCACCCTTATCGTGCAACAGTTTGGATAGGAAAGACGGAGGAGCGTCGGGTTGGCCCTGGCACGTATAGAGCTGTTGTCAGACGCGAGGGCACCGTCACGGGAAGGGCACGGCGGTGCGCTCACGAGGGTCTTTCGTACATGATCCTCCGAAAGCGCGAGGAGCGTTCGGAGCTCATCTCTAAACTGATAGAGGGTGCGTGCGGCTCGCCTTCCAGCTGCCCAGATCGGAAGATGTTGGACTACCGTCGGTTCGTGCAATGTCCGGTCAGTTCGAAGGCTCCCATAAAGCTAGGCGTTGGACGCGTGGAGTGACTCACAGAATGGGAAGAGCTCGAACCAGAACTTCGGGCTGGGGGTCATCATGCTCATAGCGTTGTGGCCGACCTTCTCGGAGAGCGCGTAGACGACGTCATCCTCGGATCGTACGTGGTAGCCGAGAGTGAATTCGAGGATGGTGCTCGTGTACAGCCTGCGTGATAGATGCGATAAGCGAATGATTCGAGAATGAGGGGGGGCGAAACCCTCGGAGGAGATGAAAACCGAAGACGGCGCTCCCCAAATTCGAGGCTGCGCGCGAGAACGGCACTCTGACATACATGTGTATGTGTCCGTGAAGGCCGCTTGGGTTGTGTAAAACATCATGGAGAAATTTGCGGGTTGCTGACTCGAGATGCGGGTGCTCCCGAGGGACGGCGCGCGCGTTGAGAGCGTCGTGCATCTGCCTCCTCGTCACCCGCATCGGTTCTCCTTGAGACATGAACGCGAGCGCTGCATCGTACTCGGCTCTGTGAGGATGCGTCGGGACCTGTCTTCTCGTTCGGAGGGATGGTGAGATGAACTCACAATCGTGCCGCCACCCGGAAAGGTCGATCGGAGAACGCGGCGGCACGCTTGTTCAAGAGGTCCTCCGCGACATCGGAACCGTCGATGACGATGATGCGACTCCCGTATATCGTTGTCGACACGATATGGCCTGCCGTAAATCGGTCGAGTAGGTATCAGCCATCTGCGAACGCGCGTCATGCTTCGTAGGTTCAGCACCGTATTGTTCGCCCCATCGAGCAAAGACCTTGTACGGCTTCTCCTTGAGCACGCCCAGAGTATTACCGATGAAAGGTAATCCAGCAGGGCCCGGGGGATAGATAGCATGTCGACGTAGAGCCCATCTCCGAGCGGTGCGGATACATGCCAGCAGTGCAAAGATGCATATGCATCTGACAGTTAGCGAGGAGGGAAGATCCGGCAGTGGTAGGAGACGCATGAGTCAAAACCAAGCAGTCTGGAAATTTCGAGGCCAGAGGGCCAACGCGTTCTCTCTTACAGTGGACGTCCAATCAGGAGTATGGAACAAACAGGGCGACGTAGAGACAGTGTGGATGATACAGCCGTATTCATAAACGATTTTCTTGATGATGTCTCCAAATTCCCGACGAAGCCAGAACGACGTTTTGATCTCGGAGCTGAGATCAATCGCACAGCTAAGTATGCGACGCAAAGAAGTGTATTGCGCAGGGAGCAGTATACACGGAATAGAAGGTTCCGCATGAGGACGCTGCGGGCATCATGGGAGTCGCAAATGAAAAGGCGCGGGCGTGACCGTCGGTCACACAGCCGGCGGCAAGCCCCGGGATGGCCATTTCGGGCGATGTTGCCAGCTCTTGAAGTGTTTCTTCTCGTGGAAAGGAAAACGGACGACGATGGGCGCGCCCTTCTCCGCCGACGGCCCATGGGTCCAGCGTCCAAATATACCCCGCTTGTCGTCTGACTCTTGTGTCCCCCGCTAGCATCGCTGGATCCTGTTATGCTCTGGGGCGCTATGCAGTTGGAGGCCACCGACTTCACGCTTCCCGGCGATGAGAGTGACGGCGGTCTGACTATTGCACTCACCCGCTACCGACCTACCCCTGCCACGGCACCGGCAGCCGCTCAGGACCGTTTGTCCTTGATATTCGTTCACGGCGTATCGTCCCGTACGTCCGACGACCGCCATTGTCCAACGCAACACGAGTTCGAACTGAAGGTGGTGCTCTTGATGTAGACAAGGAGTCGTGGAAACCAACGATTGCGCACATATTTAGCTTACAGGCCGCTGCGCCTAATAACGCATTCGCGATTGTCGAGGCGTGGTCGATGGACGCGCCGAACCATGGTCGAGCCGCCATCATCAACGAGCAGCGCTTGCAAACGCGCCCGCCAGGACTGAGTATGCGCCCCTTATCGCTGCTATGACGAACACGTGGCTAAGCTCCCAGTCCCGCCTCGTTAGCCGCATACCAGTGGGGTCGCGCCGTTCAGATTCTGCTCAAGTCCGGCCTCATCGCCGGAAATGGAGTCGTCGGGATCGGACATTCAGCTGGCGCATGCGTGATGTACGGTCTCTCTCTCTCTCTCACACACTCTCTCTCTTTCGGTGTAATCTCTCTCTCGCTCACTCTGCTGCATGCTTAGGGTCTTATCGACGACCGGGTACCCCGCTTCGCATTTACCTTACCGCTCCGTGATTCTGGTCGACCCGCCGATGATGACGAAAGAGATCCTGGACCGCTCGATGCAGCGCAACTCTCCTCTCATCGGAGTCATCGAACTAGCGAAGAACAGGAAGGATATCTGGCCGTCGCGCTCCGCTGCCCGCGAGTGGCTCGCGAAGCGCATGCCGTGGAGACGCTGGTCGCAAGAGGTCCTCGATCTCTACGTCGTACGTGCCCTTGGTCCCGGTCGCTCTGAGGATGGACGACACACACTCACACTCATATGGGCTTACGCGCGCTTTCTCCAGGAACACGCGCTTCGGGAGCTCCCGACGGCGACCTACCCAGATCGCAAGGAGGGCGTGACCCTGTCCTGCACGCGCGAGCAAGAATCGGCGGGCTACATCTTCCATCAGGACGGTATAGATAGCCTTGAGCGGCTGAAAGAGCTCTGTCCTGCCATACCCGTGCACTGCATCTTCGGCGGCAAGTCAGACCTTGTGTAAGCGTTCACGAAAGCCCCGTCGTTTCACGTTCACCCCCTCGGCTCACATCACGCGACCGATCACAGTGCGGAAGAGACGCAGCAAGCGATCGTGGACGAGAACGAAGGGCGCAGGATGGCGACCATCACCAGGGTCGCCGGCGCTGGACATTTGGTACGTGTATGAGGCCGTATCGTCTCATCTGCCGGTTCCGCGCGCTGATAGTAGACGTTGCAGGTCGTTCAGGAAGATCCGAAGGGTCTCGCACTGGCTATATGGGGGACCCTCCATTCCAACCGCGAACCGAGAAGCCGCCTGTAAACCAAACCACTGCTGAGTAGGTTTGTATGATTATATACCCTGTGTGAACCAACGGGGCGATGCCCGTGTATCATCCATGATGAGGACGAAACCGTCACCGTTGTACGATTCATGATGGACTCTCAATCAAGGTCTTTTTGCGTGCGAGAAATAGGCAGTGAGCGGATGATGACGATACCGCGACCAATCGGGCACTGTGCCGAGAAGGACGCGGTCTCGTGAACTCAGCGGTCATGGGCGTGCTGGGTGCGTATGAACGGTCCATATGCGGACGAGAAGACGCGATGCAAATGACGATCCCAAGGCTGACCCACCGCGCCCGTGGCCGCCCTTTCGTTCTTTCTCTCACTCCGCGGTCTCCAGCTTGACCTGTGGGCTACTCAATACGTTGGCTGCTCTTCGCGAAGAACTTCGACGAGTCGCCATCGCGAGAGCACTACTGAGTACTATATGTACACCAAGACACCACGCGTAGCGCGCAGACATACAAAAACAGTGGCTTATAGCGATGACCAAATAATGCACAACGAAAGACTGCGGAATAATTTATGACGAAGCAACCTACGCCCTGCCGCCGGGAGGACAAAGGGCAGCGAGCGAACGACTTCCGGAACCGAGGTCCGTCTGGTATCAATTAGACGTCGTCGTAGAACGAGGTCGTGTACGCCTTCGTCGTCTCGCCCGCATCGCTGGGCGTGAATCGCAACTGGAAGCACCCAGAATCAGTACGGCGTGGAGCAGCGGCGGGGGGATTGAGTGGGTTGGTTGTTACCTGAGAGGTGATGGGGTCTTCTTTCAGGCCCCTGCGGCTCTCGTCGCTCATGGCCGTGTGGCTTTGGGTCTGGCCGCGGACGCCGGACAGAGGGTAGTTGTTGGTGAACGCGACCGTGCTGCTTCCGTGCGACACTTTGTTGAGCGCCTCGCGGGCGTTGAGCCTGATAGAACTGTTAGCCTCAACGCTGTATTTCGCTCACAGGCGAGGGACGTACATTGCAAGAAGCGAGTTCGCGTAGACTGAAACACGTCGCGTCGAAGCCTGAGCGTTGTAGAGAGGCGGGAACGATTGACGTAGACTCACGGTTGTTCACCAGATTGTACATAGACAGGTACACCAGATTATTTTGCATAGTGACGAACTAGTCGTGCGTTTGCGCTGATATCAGCATTGCTTTCTCAGATACCCACTGCGTACGTTGACTTACACATATGAGAATAGCGAGGTCGACCACGCTAGTGAGAGCTCCCGTCGTGATGACATACGTGATGATCCGGTTGACCAACGTGTTGGTACTAGTAAGTCGTTGGTGAGATACATAGTGCGCGGCGATAAACTCGAATTACCTCTTGATTCCTGTTTTCCTGGTCCCCAGATAGTAGGTCATGGCCACTGCGATGATGATATCATTTGCAGCTGCCAGAGCCAGCGATCCGGTGTAATACGCCTGGGTATCGCCTCAGTCCCGATATCAATAACATATGTGTTGGCCGCTGACCGTGATTTTATGGAACTGCGAGAACAGCGGGAACTTGAAGCTAATGCCAGGTTCAGTCCATGTCAAATCCCGCGCTGCCTTCCGAGACAATAGCACGTACGTTAAGTCCATCACAACTAACGGATAAATGGTCAGTGAGCGACTGCTGTGGTCAGACAAGCCCATGTAACACTCACCCAGCTCGAACGCTACGAGTACATCCATCATGTCAGCCGATTGCTTTGATTGGTTGGATGAAGGAAGTGAAACATCACCGAAATGACAGACTGCCAATAGAAACTGCGGGAGTCTCGTGAGGCACGGGATCGTGTGGTCCTAACTGCAATGGTACGTACCACAACCCCGACAAGAAGGTAATTTCTGTTGCTGACTGCAGAGTGAATGACGATTGTTGAGAGATGTGACTCGGAGTAGGCGGTATCAAGGTTACTCACGAATCCAGAGCCGCCATATATAGAAGCTACCTTCAAGTCAGCTTGGTAGTAAGGCTCGGAAGGAGGAGCACGCTTACAGATGCACCGAGAATATAATCAGTCCCTGGTAGGGAATGAGATCATCACGCAGGAGTAGGAAGGACAGAGCGTAGACATACAGTGATCGCCGTGGTTACGTCGTCAGAGCTGTCGAAAATTCAGAGTCTGTTCTAGCCGATGATAGGATCAACCTACACTCGAGTGACTTGTAACGCCTCCACATTCCCGAATTCGATTATCACAGATCGGAATATGAAGGCGCAAATCAAGAAGACGTGGGACGTCTCCATCAACCTTCACTTTGATTGTGAGCATAGCTTATAACTCCGAGCGAGTACACGAACCAAACGTAAAAGACCTAGTTGAGACGTTTTCGTCAGTGAACGACGTACGCTGCGCAGTTGTCCGCGACTCACGAAAGCCTTCAGCGTCCAAGGATCTCTCGTCCAACTCCTCTGGAAGTAAATATACACTTGGGATGTTGTGAGCCCGTACAGCCTGCACCATCAGCCGTTTAGTGCCATTCGTGAACCTTCCGCTGCGCCACTTACATGACCGAGATAAAGTCGCCGATGAGCACGGCGCCCATGGTAGGTACAAGAGACATGTTGAGCGACTAGCACAAGAGTTGGATACGGTCTGAAGGTCGATGGCTGGGTCGATGATGCACCAAGGAGCGTGACTGGCGAATGAGATCTATATGAGAGGGCGATAGCGAGAATCCGACTCCGCGTATGGTCATCTACGCCGGTCCAGTAGGCATACGCGGCTATGGCGGATTGAGTAATGAGCGGCAAGGTGTCACACTCTTTGCAAAGTGCTGTGCGTGGTCTCATGGTGTACGGAGGATCGCGCTCGAGAACCTGTTTCGGGACCAATTGAATGGTGCGCACTGCGGGTCTTCGGGAGAACTGCTGAGAGAAGCTAATCTTGATCCTGAGAAACCGGAGAAGAGTTGCGTCAAGTCGCTCGAAGTGGCAACACGCTGATGCAGCGTGGGCGAGCAAACTCTAACCCCACCGAGGGCCCCGACGTAAGAGGTCGCTGTGAAGAATGCCTTGGTGGCACATATGGTGGTCGAGATTGATGCCAGCGGCGTGGGACTTTTAACGCCACGATGGTGTGAAAAGGTGCTTTGTGTTACAACGACGAAACTCTCTGTAACGCGAGAAGCAGTTTCGTACGTGCGTACTTGCTCTGTTCACTGCCAGGAAGCCAAGCAATTTGATGCACACTCAGCACACAGGATTAATGTAGGGATTGAGGCACACGACGCAAGGATGAACAAACAGTTTATAGTAGCTACCTGGTCAGCGCCATCGTTCCGCCGCAGTGGTCAGCCCAGTAATACTAGGTGCCCTCGATTAGGTATCGAGAGGCCATCACAGGATGCGCCTCTCAAGCTAATGATATCAACGGCATTTTTCAAAGACCGTATGGGTGCCACCGCGTTGGAGCCTGCCAGTTACAGTTTCGTCGAATAAGTCGACACACAATGCTATTTTTCCCCATCTTCCTATTCTCACTGGCTCCATCTGACCTCTCGCAGCGCGGTTGGCAATCAGAGCGGTCGCGCGGCATATGGGGCTGGGCATCCCTCCCCACAAGTTGGACGGTGCATCCGGTTGTCCCGCTCTCCGGTGCGAAAATGATGCTGTTGAAAAGGGGTCATCGAGCTTTGACACGTCGCGATATTCCGAACGGTAGATTAAACTCAAAAAGCCGAGATCAGAGATCAGAGATCAGAGGGCGCATCCAATCTGTCGGCAAGGAAGGGTATAACCCACGATGGCGCATAGGGTATCACCAGCTCGTCGTCATCATTGAAGACGTTAAGCGCGGTCGCGGCGGTACGAACGCGTACTCAAGGGTGCGGGTGTCATATCGAATTCTTTCCAATATCCTGGGATCGACACACCACCGGTCAACCGAGCTCAATCGGCCTTGGAGAAGGAATATCTCGGAGCGTCTCACGCGCTGAAGGACGACGGTGTGACTGCACCATGTCTTGGTTCTTCAGGCATGACGACCTTTCGCAAGACGGGAGTTACCAAAGTTTTCACCGCAGCGTCATGCGAGACGAACCTTGGATGATATGCGCTTCTTATCAATATATCTTCTGTACCTGATGGAAGATTCATACCACACAAGGGAAAAAAATCCCGACAAGATAATAATCTACACGCTCCTTCGAAACAAAGCAGCCACGATGAACGAAATCGATGGTACATTGCTTTGTGTACACCGCAAGTCGAAGGCCGGTCAGATGCATGAAAGGCCTCAACTCGCTCGGGTTCTCTATGTTCAACATGCATTCTTTATGCATATTACACAGCCCACCAAACCGCAGGCGTAGCCTTCCAGCCGTCTCAGATACCAAATGCATCTATTCATGGTAAGCATGATCCTGAAATGGGGTTGATGTCCTGTCAGTTATCGAGGGAATGATCAGGAGCAGACCATCGCGACGTTATCCTGCGCTTCTTATTAGCACCGGGACGTGATGATGATAAAGGCATACTTGCAGTGCGAGTGAAGGTCCAACAATAGAGGGATGTGTACGCGCGAGCGTAGCCGACTTCGGCATAGACAAACATATACATCCACTTCCTCTTGAAGGCCTCGATGTCATGTTCCGTCTGGAGCTGAGGGTACCGTTCTCGGAGCTCTTGGATAACCTCGCCATTGAAGTTCTTCTCCAATCGTCTGTGGTCATCGTTGCAAGATATGAGCATGTTCCCCATGTATACGTGTGTATCCCATTGCTGATTCACTCACCGACCCCACTCTCGTAAAGTCCGACAGTAATCTGTCCATCACGGCGAAGACGTCTCAGTTAGCACGCTTGCGATTCGAGAGGGGGTTTAAGGAGACTCTCACGTGGACCGTGGTCCTCTAGATGGTGAAAGACGAATTTCCCTGGAACCGCTTTTTGCACCCACACCGCCATGGATGTGGAACTCGGGAGGTGACAGTTGGGCCAATGGTAATGACGGGCGAAATCGTCCGGCCTGAGCACGATTTATCAGATTCGGGTTCGAAGGGGCGCCGGAAGCGTTTCTTGCACGTACTGATAATCGGTGTAGCGCGAGTCCGGCTGGGAAGTGGCCGTGATGACCATCGTCGCCCGGTCGTCTTTCAGCGCCCAGTCCATGATTTGGAAGAACTCGGGGAGATATCGAGGTCCGACGGCCTGTGAAAGCGTCGTCCGTGTGAGCGGCGTTCGCGCGGGGGGAAGTCATCGCGGATGCGTCCCACCTCGATCATCTCGCACGTTATCATCGCGTCGAACTGCTTCTCGAAGGACGCGGGCAGCTGGCGGTAGTCACAGAGGTGGACCCGGACGCGGTCCTCCACGCCGGCTTCGCGAGCCCTCTGCTGCGTCATCGCCATTTGCTCTTTACAGAGCGTGACGGTGTCGACGGTGCAGCCCATCAGAGCCGCCTGGCAGGGAGAGCGTTTGTCAGCGGCGAACGGGGTATCGGAATATAGCGGGGTTGACACCGACGTTGATGGCCATCGCGCCCCAGCCTGTTCCGATCTCCAGGAGACGGTCCCCAGGACGAAGGCGCGCTTTGCCGAGGATGTTCATGATCTTGCGATGTTGCGCTGCCTCGAGATCTCCGGGTGTGGGCCCCGAAACGAGGTCGCCGCGCGGCCCGCCCTCCTCGTCGCCCCAGATCGCACACGAATACATCATCTCCTTGCTGAGGAATGACTGCACAGGGGAGAATTCAGTTCCCCTTCGGCTCCGAGCGCGATGACGATCGATTCATCTTACCTGGAAGAACTTGTTCGACGTGTTGTATGCGACTTCCTGCGTGATTGGCGGATCAGCCGCGATGAAACGGCGTATGGGCGTCGACGAGACTGACCGCGTTCCATTTCGCATTTGACAGGTTTTGACGCCCGAGCGTCTTTATGGCGAGCGCAGAGTAGTACGTAAACAGAGAGTTGACCGTGTTGTGCATTCCCGTCAACGTATGACGGTTGTCGAGCCACAGCTGGAGGAAGTGAACAGAGCGGTCGATCATCGCGATGCACTCGCGATCCGATCGACATTGACGTACGTTCAGAAGGTCCTTTAGGCTCGACACGTCGAAGTCGCTTTCCATGTAAGCCTCCGAAACTGACGAGGGCACGTCAGGATGATCGTCGGGGCCTGCGCCGTCGGACTCACCTCCCAGGTCGTTGGACATCATGACCCTCGTCCACATGTTGGGGCTGTTGACGGTGAGCGTGACGCTTATCCCATTGCTGTCAGGATCTCCAAACTCCGTGGTGCCATCCTCGTCCACGATCGCGAGTGTCCCTTTAACGATGCCCTCGCGAAGGGTATCGTAGACGCGGGCTCGTGCTATCCGATAGATTCAGACACAGAGCCGGAATAGGGGTATCGTGGCGGTGACAGTTACCATAGTTGACCAAGTAATTCAGCGCGGCGGTCTTGAGATAACCGGCCGAGACAAGATACGAGCGGAAAGTGGGCGGGTGGAGGAGAAAAACGGACATGATAAACTGGTCAGTCAGCCAAGTCAGCCAAGTTGACGCCGCCAGGGGACGAAGATGTCCTATTTTATAGCAAGATCCACGCGCAGCAGCCTATCAAGAGCATTTGCAGCCGAACATGGAAGACCCCAGTTCCATCGCCATCGCTAGTAAGTGCGGAAGGACGGCAGCTACTTTGCATGCAGTCGGTAGAAGTCTGATCCATGAAGTCGAAATTAGGAGGAAGCAGATGGACCCGGGAGCACGATTGGTGGGGCACAGGTTCAAGAAGCTCTCGGGCAGAATATACAGATCCGGGAACTCCGGCAGGTGTAGTACGTGAGTCGTCGTCGCGCGCGAGATTCCTGATCAAGGCATTCAGACCGGGGCCACTGCCGCGCACATCGGGGAATGGGAGCGCTTCACGACGGATGTGGTGGAAGTCGGGAGAGAAATTGCCCCATCACGCCTGTCACTGACATCACGTCGTGTGAGATTTCCCCGCATCACGTCGTCACGCATACCCAAGTCGAGTGCGAACGCGGTACTCCGTGCCAGAGCTTTGCTGCTTCGGGAATCGCACACTGCACAAGTGATGGCCTGTCTGGCTTCGTTACCCATGCCGCGGCACATCCAGCCCCTGAGCCGCTCTACATCATAACCAGCATAACCAGCACCGCGCGCATACCACGTATACCACGTACCGCGACCCCCAATTCGCCTTGCCGCCCATGTCTGAGACCCATTCGACGCTGCTGTACGGAGGAGTGACCGCGCTGGTCGTCGGGCTGTCTATCTTTGGCTGGCGCCGTTCGCGGGGCGGCAGGACGTATCCGCCGGGACCGCCGGCACACCCCCTCTTGGGCAACCTCAAGGATATACCGACGGGCGGGTCTGAATGGCTCGCGTACGAGCAGCTGGGCAAGCGCATCGGTGGGCACCGTCCTCTGAGCGCCCGCGTTTTTTTGCTCCGACTGAGGGAGCCGCTGTAGGAAGCGACGTGATCTACATGACGGCTCTCGGATCGCATCTGCTGGTCCTGAACTCGTTCGAGGCCGCGAGAGATCTGTTGGATAAGAAGGGATCGCTGTACTCCTCTCGGCCGCGCCTGGTCATGATCAAGGAGATGTGAGGAGCTATCGTTCCACTTTATTAGGCGCATATATAGACGTTCCTGACCACCTGTCAGGATGGGATGGGACTGGAACCTCATTTTGATGTCTTACGGAAAGCTGTTCACGGCCTATCGTCGAGTCGTCCAGCAAGAATTTTCGGCCCCCGTCGTCGCGGATCGGTATCGCCCGGTGATCACGCGAGAGGTCCATAACATGCTAGGCCAGCTCTTGCGCGCGCCCGAGGGGCTCGTCAAACACTTGAAAACGTGCGCATATATCGCAGTTTCGTCATCTCCTCGACGCTGAACCCGAAGATCAGAATGGCGGGCGCGGTCATCATGATGGTCACGTACGGCCACCAGGTCACCTCCATGGACGACGAGTTCGTCAAGCTCGCCGAGCAGGTTCGCGAACACGGCGAGAAGACGCCGGGGAGCAACATCGTGGATATCTTCCCGTTCAGTGAGCGTTTCTTCTTCTTTTTTTTTTTGCATTGGGACGCGCCCAGATCGGTTGGATTGACCCGATCCTGTTTTTCGCAGTGAAGTACATCCCTGCTTGGTTCCCTGGCGCCGGGTTCAAGCGCGAGGCTATGCTCAAGTACAGGCTCGCGATGGAGATGCGGACGGCTCCGTACGCGGAGGTGATGAGCCGTATGGTGAGTCCCGTTGCGTTGCGTGTACACCCAGCTACTCGCTTCATGCGCTGAACGCGGCTTAGGCTGCTGGGACCGCGGTGCCGTGCATGGTCAGCCGCCTGATGCAGGAAGACCTGCCGAACGAGAACGTCGACAAGGGCGAGTTCGTCAAGAACTGCGGAGGCGTCGTGTACAGCGGTGCGTTCCTTTCGCGTCCCTCCCGGCCTACATTACGTCGTTCTGATTCCCCATGGTGCGAGGCAGCTGGGGCTGATACCGTTCGTCGCGAATCGTGAGGAAAGCGCGGTTCGCGTGCTGATATATGTGGTGTCTCCTTTCTAGACTGTCGCGGCGTTGGCGAACTTTTTCCTGGCTATGACGCTGTACCCCGACGTCCAAGCGCGCGCGCAGAAAGAGCTCGATGAAGTGATCACAAGGGATCGTCTGCCGACGTTCGAAGACCGCCAGCGTCTGCCATATCTGAACAATGTGGTCAAGGAGAGCCTGCGCTGGAAGCCTGTCGCTCCTCTAGGCATGTCCTCTTTTTTTTATCCCAGTATAATCGCCCTGAAGCCAAGGATCGGTTGTTCAACAGCTGTACCCCATTCTTCGATCGAAGATGACGAATACCGTGGAGGCTACATCCCGAAGGACACAACTGTGCTGCCTAACATATAGTACGTCCAGCAAAGCAAAGAGTCGTCGCGACGTGTACCTCACTCGAGACCGCGCCGTCCCTAGCGCGATGCTGCACGACGAAGCGCACTACAAGAACCCTAACGAGTTCGACCCGGACCGCTACCTGCCCACGAGCGACAACCCCGAGGGAGAGCCGGATCCGTCCCGTGCCGCGTTCGGTTTCGGGAGACGGTACGCGCCGCCCATATCTCCACTCACTTCGCGTCTCTTCCTGCTCACGCTCCCCTCCTAAGCATCTGCCCCGGCCGCTTTTTCGCCGACGACTCGCTCTTCCTCACCATCTCGTCCGCGCTGCACGTATTCTCTATCAAGAAGCCGGACGGGTCCAAGGGCGTCGAGAGCGTCACCTGGAGTTCCGGCTTGGTCAGGTGCGTCTCTCGCGCCTCCCGCGCGTATACTCGTGCGAGCTCACCCACGCACACTGGTTCCAGCCTTCCGTCACCGTTCCCATTCGCGATAGTACCGCGGTTCGCGGGCGCGCCCGACCTCCTGAACGTCTCTGAACCGGTCTAAAGTTGGGGGCGCGAGAGAGCTCGAGCTATTGGCTGCTCGTCACCTTCCCCCCTGGTTCTCTCTTTGTTCTGATACACGTTCTTTATGTGTGCATCTTATCAAGTCTGATGAATCCCATGTTGTGAAGGACCGGATCATGGTGGTACGAGTAAGGCCCGGTTTGCTATGGGATCCTTTGTGGCGCCGCGGGATCGGACAATGCCAACGACAAGGACGAAGCCTTGAGGCTGTGATCGCGCTGGGATAAACAAGCATAATCGGACCAAGTGAATAGAAGTGTGTATTGGCGTTCTCGTGCGTCCGCCATGGGCTTCGAATTAGCTGAGTTTAACGTTTAGCACTCATTTGGGCCGCGTGACATCACGTTGTTGACCTTGAACCGTCTATATCGGTAGCCCGCAGCACTGCCTGCCGGAAGAAGCTTCCCCTCCAGCAGCACCGGAAGTGGGGACGTCGACCAATGGACGTCAGCTCGACCACGGGCCCACAGCATGCATATGTAGTGCCATTGGTCGCGTTCATCATCTTCGGCTATTCTTGCCAGGGTCGTGGTATCGTTCGCCCTCCATGTCCCACAGCGAGAGCACCAGCGTCGACCTCGTACGCGGCGATGAAGAGCGCGTCCCGCCAACGACGCCCGCCGGGGCGGGCGGCAAGAAGGGACTCCGTTTCTGGCTCGTGCTCAGCGCTCTACTGTTGTCTGCCTTCCTCGCCGTCCTCGAAGCGGTACGCGCCGACGCCTGGATGACCTGGCGCGGCAATTGATGTTCAGGATCCGTTTTCTGCAGTATGCGATATCGACCGCGTTGCCGACGATCGTGAGCGATCTGCACGCCAGCGATTTCGTATGGGTAGCCAGCGCATACGGCATAGCGAGCACGGCGCTGCTTCCGCTGAGCGGGGGCCTAGCGGAGGTCAGTATTCTGTCGTCGCGGACTGACGTGCGTCGTCATCAGTACTACATCTCATGCGGTGCATAGGTATTCGGGCGTCGTCCCGTTGCGCTTGGCTGCCTGTTCCTGTTCGCGCTGGGAGGCGCGTTGGCCGGGGCCTCGCAGAGCATGAATATGCTCATCGCCGCCCGCGGTTCGTATCGCCTGATTGCGTATTGACGGTTCCTCTGTGTTCTGACTATGCTTGCGCCCTGATCCAGTTGTCCAAGGTGCAGGCGCTGGCGGCATATTGACGTTATCGCAAATAATCCTGTCCGACCTCGTCACGTTGCAAGAGAGAGGGACGTACAATGGCTTGTTTGGACTGTGAGCACTATGTTCGTTCATGCGCGCAGGTCCAGGCGTTCAACCGTATGATGACAGCACATGGGCTTTGGGTGGAGGCATAGGCCCTGTTGTTGGCGGTGCCTTGTCGCACCATACTACTTGGAGGTGGTTGTTCTGTAAGCCCCTGCTTCGTTTCAATCTGAAGATGTAAGATAGTGAGCTGAGGACGTGCAGATCTCAACGTTCCCGCCTGCGCTATCGTTGCGATATTCATGATCTTCGCGCTCCGGTTGAATCGGCCACCCTCTGGCAAGATCTCGCGGATGCTGGCCCGTCTGGACTGGGTGTAAGTCGGTTCATAGGCATCCATCCTGTTCTCCACCACTCACGGGCCAACTAGCGGCAATACGCTTGTCATTGCGTCAACGTGCGCCTGTGTCATCGGGCTGACCTGGGGCGGCGTCGTCTTCAGCTGGCACTCCGCTCAGGTTTTAACGCCCCTGATCTTGGGAATAGTGGGACTTGTCGTCTTCTTCCTGTACGAGTGGCGCGTCAGCAAGCATCCCGTGGTACGTAACGTCTCCCGTATTTCCTCTCATGTTGCTGACGACACTCACAGGTACCTCTGTATCTCCTCGCAAACCGGACAAGCATGAGTGGGTGCGTCCTTGATCCCGCTTGACTTCTCCCAGTTCATGTACTTGGCAACGTCAGGTACGCTCAGATATCGTTGGCCGCCTTCGTCAACATCACCCTTCTGTGTGAGTTAGAACCAGTCAAACGTTGCAGCTGTGCACGAGATGATGACGATGACTGCTAGATTACCTACCGGTGTACTACCAAGCATGCAAGGACGCCTCACCGACAGCGTCCGGCGTCGACCTCTTCGGACTGTGCTTCTCGACCGGCCCGGTGTCGATCCTCGTCGGCGCGAGCATCGCCAAGCTTCGGAGATACCGCCCACAGCTGTGGCTCGGCTGGTGCCTCATCATCGTCGGCCTCGCCCTCATGAGCACCGTCTCGGAGAACACGAGCAAGGCCGCCTCTGTCGGCTACCAGGTCGTCACCGGGTGCGGGATCGGCATCCTCTACTCCGCCGCCTACTTCCCGGTGCTCGCGGCTCTCCCCGTCACGTCGAACTCGCCAGCGCTGGCGCTGTTCATGTTCCTCCGCACCTTCGCCCAGGTACGTCATGACGTGGAGCGCTTCGGTATCGTACCCAGGGCATCGTTCATTTTCACGCAGGCCTGGGGAGTCACCATCGGCGGCGCCATCCTGCAAAACGAGCTCCAAGGACGCCTCCCTGCCTCTCTCAAGCAGAACCTCCCGGACCTGGACAACATCGCGTACGCCATCATCCCGATCATACCGTCTCTGCAGGGCCCGTCAAAGGCCATCGCGCGCCGCGCGTTCGCCGAGTCGCTCGCGACGGTCTGGCGGGTCCTCATCGCCGTCTCGGGCGTCGGTCTGCTCGCGAGTCTGCCTATGAGGGGACTGCCGCTGCACGCGATGAAGGACGAGAACTGGGCGATGCGAGGAACCGAGAGGAAGGTGGAAGGTGAACCAGACGAGGACGGGTAATCGACTAGGTGATGTAGTGTAGTGTCGAATGGAACTACGAAATTTGCCACTTGTACCTCTATTTTGCATGGATGCCATAACAGATCTTTTGCCTCCGACTGCACCCTGGAGATCTGCGAACTCGCTTTGCGATTCACGGCCATGGGCAAGACACAATTGGCATACATTAGTATTAAATGCGCATCCTGCCCGACATTCCAAGATTCTAGATGGGGGAGATAAGAAAGCATGATTTAACGAGGGACAAAGACATAGATCCGAGATGAAACACATATACATATTCACGGAGACATGGATTTCCACGCATCAGGAACTAGATCATAATCGACACGACATCCGCCGAAGATGAGGTGTCTCAAGGTCGCCAAGAAGGTCGCTCTCGCGGCTGTTCAGATGTCTGTTTCAAGTCCGGCGTTGATCGCCTTCTCCGCAGGCTGTTCTCCATGGCTAGAGCGGCGGCGGCCTTCTCCTGTTCCAGCTTCTGCAAGTGCTCGAAGGTTTGCACCAGGTCTTTCACGCTGCTGCCACTACTTCTTCTGGGCCTCGGCACCTCACGTCTTGACTCGGCTTCGGGGGAAGGAGATACAGGGCGGAGGTCAACCAGTCTGCGCGGTGGGCGGTTGACCATGCGAGGGATCAATGTAGGCTTGGGTGTCGTGTGGTGGAGATTGACGAGGTCCTTGGGAGGGGGTGGCTTGGGCATGGGTTCGCGAGCGGGTGTGGTTATTGGTCCGCGTGCTTTCTCGAGCATCTCTGCAGGAGGCAGCGGGAGACCGGATTTGCTAGACTGCGACGCTTTGGTTTCTGACTTGGCCTTGCCGGACCCAGGTAGGTAAGAGAAGAGGAACCCCTTGACTCGTGTGCCTATGCTCGGGGAAGCATTGCCTATATTCACTTCCTCAGGCTCCTCCTTGGTGACATCTGATGGGGAGGCATCGACGTGCATAGCGTCAGGCTCTTCCGTGGTCTGGCTGTCATCCACAGGATCCGGCTCGCCTGATTGATCGGCATCCGAAAAGGAGGGTTGCCCGCCATTGGCAATGGCTTGCGCCTCCTCCATCAGGTGTGAATACCTCGGGGCCATTAGAGACGGGGGAAGGGGCAACTTCGGTATCGTGAAGGTGAACGCTGGTGCCGGGATCTTGACTGGAAATCGTGAATACGGCGTGACAGTCGGTTCAGCGATGCGCCCACGATTGATGGGTGTATATTCGGGCACCTCCACACCAGACCAAGGTGACATCGACCGACGCGCATGCATGGACGGCGTAGGAGGCGCGACATTGCCGGATCGCTGTTTCTTCTGCAATGCTTTCGCTCGCGCACGAAGATTATCCTCGGTCCAATCATGCCCTAGCCCCATCACGACTTCCTTCCCGCCCATCACCTCGTAAAATATTTCCAATACCTCTTCGATCGCCACGTCGTCCACCTCCGCAATACCGCCTTCTGGCAACCCAGCCCTTTCTCCGGCTTCTAACCGAGCATCGGTAAAACAAGCGTCCAGCATTTTCCAATCATCCTTGCTCCAGGCACGTGGTTCCCTGTTCACCATCCACGGTACGTCGGACCCCGCGGGGCTCTGCAATCGCGAACCAGGAACTCCAAAGCGTGCTGGAGAAGGCGTCCGGGCCTGCTGAGCTTTCGCGGCCCTTAACCGGTCCCCCCATGTCATCGGCGTTGAGAGGCCGGCCGAACCGAGTGGACGTTTGCTGGGAGTCTCACCCAGAATACTACCACACTCCAGCTCCTCCTCTGCCTCCTGAACGAATTCTGGAACGGTCATGGCAGGGCTGCCTGGTATCACGACGCGACCGTTAATCACCCCGCCACGGACGAGGGGGGAACGTGCTCGAGATTGGAAAGGTGTGCGGTTCTTTGACTTCGAAACCGCGCCATCGCTAAGGAGCTTCCTACGCGAAGATTTCCGCAGCTCCTCGACCGTCGCGTGCCGACGACGCGGCCTGACCATGATCTTTGGCAGGCAGTCATAATCGTGCTGTGGACAGTCAGTCCTCGCATTACAGTTACAGCGCAAGATTCATGGCGTACCATGCGTAAGATGGCGGCAGCTCTTGCAGCGGCCTTGGGATCCTCGCTCGTGATCTGCACAACATCCGGTTCGACTATGGGCTCATCGTCTTCACTATCTGATGCATCGTCGACCACTTGCTCCATATCAGCGTCATCGTCCACCTCCATCTCCACGTCCATGCCAGACCCGGACATTTCCTCCCCTCCTTCCGCGTCTCCATCCTGCAGGGGATCGACAGGGCCGCGGTCTTGTTCACCGTCAGTCCTTCTTGCAGGGGTAGAAAAGAAGGAAGGAGCAGTCAGTGGACCATGCGATGAGTCCTCCTCTGCTTCATTGTCGTCATCTGCATGATCGTCGAACACGACTGACAACTCGAGGTCAACAACGAGCTCCTCTTCCTCTTCTGTACCATGCCTGGATACCGAGTGATCGCTCTCAACCGCCTGGCGCATGTCCGAAGGCTGTATACCTGCTGAGGTATCGTCGCCCATGGACTCCTCAGTATTGTGAACGGAAACCAAAGATCCCCGGCTCTTGTCCCGATCCTGAGCACTCTTGGGTATATACCCCGGCGTCCCGGTTCCCATCTGCTTGAATGGATCATCGGTGCCATCGCCCTGCTCGTCATCCGCATCCTCATGCGTATTTCGGCCGAGTTCGGCTGATCCGCCCCTGCCTCTCCATGGTGTCGAAGGGCGCTCCGTGCGGAATACGGGGACGCTTGGAGCGGCGGTGATCCTCGGCGAAAGATGCCGCCCAGGGATGAGCGTAAACGGACGAACGGGCTTCGGCGACGCTAGCTTCGGCGCTTCTCCCTCGGGCTCGTCTCGTTCAGCGGACGTACGGCCCAAGCTGTCCCGTCTCCTGCTCCTCGCCTCTTCGCTGGGCGTCAGCGGGAAAGGGCTCACCGGCCGACCCCACCGTTCGCTGCGCTTCCTCTCCTCCTCCGTCGGCGGATCATGCTTCAACGGCACGAGAAGGTCCGTGAACGGGCCCGTGTATTCGTACTCCATGACAGGCGCGGGGGATTCGAGAGTTGCTTGCTCGAACGAGGACGAAGCATCTTCCGGGGGCGGTGCGCGATGTCCGGGTAAGTTGGACGCTTCGGCGAGAGGCTCGTGTGATGGCTGCTCGTCGGGCTCGGGCTCGGAATCGGACCAGCCGTCGCCATTCGAGACCGGAAGTTCAACATCGAAGCCCTCGCCGTAAGGGTGACGGTTTTCGGCGTCATCCTGCGGTCGATAGCTATCCTGCGTCGAGTCCCTCCTGTCTTGGTCGAAACTCCACGAATCGACCATCATCGAGTCTCCATCTCCACCTCCAGGAATGGTTTGTTGGACGTTCTCGGACATATGGTGAGTTATGCCTGCGCGACCGTTCCGACCATCGTGCATATCAAGCGAAGCCACCCGAGGGATGTTCTCGGGCTTCGGGGAAAGCGACTGTATCGCAGGATGGGGAACTACGTTCACCAAACCACATCTTGAGTGCACTGCCAACCGCGAGATAGCACGGACGTACCCTCGATCTCATCGTCATCGACGATCGGAATGGCAGTTGCCTCGGTGCGCCCTCGCAGAAGTAACGGGTCTTCCGTTGGGGTGGCTGGCGGGAGCGGCGCAGAGAGGTCGATCTCAGGCGGTTCGTGTTTGATTTGAAGCCTAAGCTCCTTCTGCGTGGCATATCAGTATCCTGGATAACGAGTGATATTAGGATGGTACGGACCTTCTGCCTCCCACTCCGTGCCGCGCTTCTTGGTGGGACAGGCTGTGCGAGACCCGTTGGATCTTCTTCTTCCTTGACCTTTGCCGGGGTCTTGGCTCGACCGGTCTTGCTCGGTGACGCACTCCGGCTGCGGCGGCGCGTAGGGGCAGGGCTAACTGCATCGAGCGTGATTTCGACAGGATTGCTAAACACCTGGCTCGGAGGCTCATACGCAACGCGGTTGGGAGGATGGTGCGCGGGGGTGGCAGATCGTCGATCTGATGATAAATCACTGTTAGGGCCGAATGATCAACATCTGAGCTGATGATCGAGGTACGCACGGGACGGAGTGACAGAACGTGAAGCGGGTACGTAGTCCGCATTCGGTTTGTCTTGTGTGTGGTTGGGACCCGACCTCTGGTTCAACGGGCCATGAGAGGGCGTCTGCGATCTTGCACGAGGGCGGAAAGAGGTTTCGGTAGGCGACGGTTGAGGATCATGTCCGGTAGAGGGGGAGCGCGAATGGGAGAGCATGCGCTGCTTGCGGGCTTTCGGATTGGGTGTTACTGCGGGCAGGACGGTTCCTGAGTGTGGCGGGGATGCTGGATCGCCATGTGGTGTCGTTATTCGGTTGGTGGTGATGGTAGTGGGTCGTTTGCGTTTCGTGGAAGGTTTGGCAGGTGAGTAAATTGAAGTCTGGACGAGACAAGGTCAGAGGATATTCACGATCGGGGGACGAGATGCAACAGGACAATCCTCGCTGTTGATTGAGTCGTAAGAGAAGGGCCGACTTACAGCTCGCCCGCTCTGTTCCTGCAGCCTCAGGGTTTCTTCAGGCGGCGGGCTGATGAGGCCGCTTGAACCGTCCCGGTCGGCATCATCGATCAAGTTGGCGGAGGTGTCTTGCGAAGAGTTGGACCCAGGAGGTGTGAACAGGCCCGTGTCATCCATTGCAGCGGGGTCCTTTCCGGACGTGTCGGGCTCGGCCGTATTAGTCGAGAGGTTGAGCCTCGTCCTGCTCGACTCCCGAACCTTCCTTGCGACCACATCATTCTTCGCCTTTTTCTTCCCCTTATCTTTGGTCTTTGAAGCCGGCGCAGATCGCGTGAGCTGCTGGGCAGCGCTGGGTAGCATCGGTCGACGATACGATACTGTCTCTTCTTGCGCGCTCGTATCAGCGCAATGGGATGATATCCTCCGAGAACGACGCAGAGGCCTCGCATCATGTTGGGCTCGGCGTTCTACATCCGAGCTGACGGAGTTGGCAGCCATAAGGAGGGGAGGACCAAGCGAGTAGCGAGAAACACGAGGCACAACCTGCTCAAAGGTCGGTGAACAACGAACGGGCATTCACAGCCACTGAAGTCACGAGACCGCGTTCCCGCCCCGCGGCACGCTTTGCCGTCGCTTTGTCGATCGCGTGCCTACTCCTCGACAAAGTACCCGCTATCTCCTGGATATCAGCTATCAGCGCAGCGTAGCTTTATGATAACATGGTTCTTCCAGCCAGTTCCAAGGGCCTACCCGCGATTCGCCTTCAATCTGTAACGGTGCGGCTCTGTCCGCGCGCCGTCCGAGCCGTAACCACCCCCCGGTATACTTCCTCCGGTCTCCAAGGCTTCCTTTCCTTACCGAATAACATATACTCCTCGCCTACTAGCCTACAGGTATATAAGTAGCGTACGACGAGAGATGTACGCTACCTTTCTCTCCCCCGCTCAACGTAGACTTACAACGGTCTATCGCCTGAGCACTGAGAGTCTAAACCGTGTGAACGCACCTCCGCTCTAAACAGAGCCTTGCTCGCGTCACATATTTTTGACCCACGTCTACGTGAGTTACACTCAAACCTTTGTCTAACTGACTTCCTTTGATTCTAGGACTCTACTCGGTCTGATCACCCGAGTAAAACCTGATCTTAGGACGTCACCGAACCCCTGTGAGTCCATCGTTACATCTTCTATACGCGCACTGCTATGGTTGCGCCACAGGAAGATGCCCCTCGCCGCGTTCTACGCAGCGACACTCGTCGTGTGGAGGCCGCTGGCAATGTTGCGCACACACGCGGTCCCGCCATTCCCAGGGTCGATTCCCGCGGAATGGAGACCGAGAGTACCCACGACCGTTCGGCAGAGCCTGGTGCTCCCGCCGATGTCGTTCTGCCCGGGGGCTGGAGCGCTATCCAGGCGCATGCCCCCGGTGTCGGGCTGACCGCGCCGACTGTGACCGCCGTGCCGCTGTCCCGCGAAGGGTCGGCCGGCTCTGGACTGACGTCTGCCTTCTCGGATGGGCAGACGTTTGCTTCCTCGAAAGATGGAAGCTCGAGCGCTGCGGGTGACGACCCGAGCGCATGGACTCGCGTGTCCAGGAGGTCGCCATCTCCAAAATTTAGTGTAAAGACTACTATCGGCAATAACAATCAGTTCGCTGTGCTCGCTGAAATCGACGACGATCCTCGCGACGAGGATCTGGTCAGTCATGAGTTACAAGAACTTCCGAAAGCCGAACCCGGACGAGCGCCGCGCCTACCCGAACCCGCTACGCCGGTCGCGAAACGAATTTATCACTCGGTAACCATGGAAGACGTACCTGATGAAGGTAACGCTTGGAAGGCCCCGGTTCACGCCACCCCTACTCCAGCCCCTAAGCTGGACAAAGGAAAAGGTGTTGCGCGATATGCCGGTCGTCCTGCGTCTCCGAACCAGAAACCTGGACCCTCGGACTTGCGTCGTCATGATGCTGCCGAACCAGTGTATTTCCCCGGCACCGATGATAACGAACTCGAATCTGCAAAGCAGGATTTGGAACTACGCTATTGGAATAGCCGGCGCACACCGGTTGTTCCTAAGCTCGAGTCGCCGGACAGCCTCGGCATTGACATAGCCAATGCGGAGCGGTCTCGAGACCTATTCCTGACTGAACGTAACCATGCGCTTCAACAGTCTGAACAAGCTCGACGGGAAGCCGTACGCGAGAAACTGAATCTTGTCAAGGAAAGGGACGAGATCGAGCAAAAATACCTCGAACTTTTGGCCAAGGTCTCGCGCACGCCGTCGCCGGGCTCGCTTTATGTCGAATCAGAACCCAAGGAGCGCCCAGGGCGCGAGCGGACTGGACCCAAGCACGACCCGCCCTCTCACGGGAATGTATTCGAGCATGATGACATGCCATCCCACCGCCAGCCTGATCTGGGGCATCGCAACATCACAAGGAGCTCCTTCCTTCGCTCCGGATATCAGTCCATAAGTGCGCCCGTGCTACGTACAGCAAACCGTGTTCCTATCAGTCTTCAACCATCGCACTATGTCCCCGCGTCGAGCTCACTCGGCCAGACTATCCGTCGGCGACTTGCTCACTTGCACCGCGCGACAACGGAAATCGAGAAGTGCATTGCGACCGGACAATCCCTCCCTCGGGCCGTGATTAAACCACAACCGCCCACGGTCTACACAGGTAAATCAGACCTCGATGCATTCCAACGATTTGTAGAAGAAAGTTGTGAGTTCCTTATCGACGGGCAAGTAACGTCCGAGTGGCACGTCCAGAAGCTACGACGGTACCTCGGCGGCGCCGCCGAACGGTTCTACAAACAGGTCATAAAGGTCCCAGAGGACTGGGGTATTGACGATTTCCTACTCCATCTATTCAATTACTGTTTTGATGACGGCTTCCTCGGAGCAGTCCGCAAACGATTCAATAGTTGGATGCAGCAAGAATCCGCCGTAAAAATCTATGCGTCCGTACTTGAGGGGCTCCGCGAAGATCTGGGCAGCGAGATTAGCGACCTTCGCATGTCTCAACGATTTTGGGAAGGGTTAAACCCCCAGATCACCGCATGCTTGTATCATTACGGAATGCATCCCGAACACGATTCGTTTGAGGATGCAGTGGCCGCCGCAATACAAGCTGAACGGGCCATAAAGAATTCCGTGCATTTAGGATCCACTATCGCTAGTACGGGCTCAAAGACGCAGAAGAATACGCCAAACAGAAAGAGGAATGCAGGGTCTACCTCAGAGTCACACCCGCCATCAGGCAGGACTGAAGGGCCTACAGCGACGACCACGGCATCATCAGGACCCAAGAAACCGGCACGAAAAGACATCCCGAAGATGTCTGACGAAGAGCGCCAGCGTCACATCGACAACGGACTCTGTTGGAATTGCTCCCAACCTGGTCATCTTGGACGTAACTGCCCTGATCGCCAAAAAGCCAAAGGTACGACCACTCGGCCCCCGGGAAAAACCAGCTACGCTGTACGCCTACCGCTGGTCGAAGACGAATCCGATCACGAGAACTCGGGGGACGAACCCGTCGAAATCATCGATGAATTGCGAGCCAACTCAATGTACCTCACCGAGTTCTTCGGGGACAGCGACTCGGAGACGGAAACTGGCGACTCGACTTCTGACGACAGCGGATCTGAAACCGAGGTCGACGACGAAGATGACCGGTCGAGCACGTTGTCTGAAGTCGTCGCCCAGTACGGAAACCTCGGGGTGGTACTCGACAACGGTCTCGACGTCTGGGGTAACCCCCCTGACGTTCGCTTCACCCCGGAAACCCGCACTGCACCCTGGGATCATATCATCCGCGCCGATCAACTGTGGCATAACATCGACTACTTACGAACCCGGGGTATCACCCCTGTAATGGCCCAGGCGCGTGAAGCATACCATCGGGCCATCTCCCATCCCGACGACAGATGCCCGGACGAGGTCCGGTATCACGAACTAGAAGAAGAAACCATGTATCGTCGACGTTTCGGTGATCCTGTGCAAGAACGCATTGAACGACAAATGATGCTCGGGATACATCGCCTACCTCATTTATGGCAAACATGGCCACAGGAGACTGCGGTAGCTTCCTGCATGATCAAAACAAGATCAGGAGAACTGGCGTGGATAATCAATGAACCCGTATTGTCCGCACTAATCTTTTTACCTGTTCTGCACGTCGGACGCTACAATTTTGACTTTGTCGGGTGGTACCGCAAACGGATCCTTGAGTTAATCGACCTATCGTACAAGTTTGAACGACAAGAACTGGACTATACAGCGGCTGATTACCTGGTTGATACGTGCATCTTTGAACTGACGAACCGTAACGAGGAGGTCGACGACGATGATCCGCCGTCAGACCAAAACGGGAGCCAAGATTCGTCAAGTTCGGAGGGGGACGGTGATGAGGCCTTCTTCTCCTGTGAAGACGAATCCCCGAACAACGATGAACCAGTCACGGAGCAAACTGAGCACGTACCCGACACCGACACCCCAACCACAACACCGAACGCCTCAGGATACGCCAACAGCTGGTGGGTCCACTCCCGAACAGGTGCAAAACCAGGTAGCCCGGTCACACCGCGTGTCGAAACGGTCACTGACCATAGCGATTGGGCCTTGAGCGAGATATCGGAAACGATACCGAGCCTACACTCGATCACCGACTCGGGCAGCGATGACGAGAGCTCGTCACATGAAGACGAGGACCCCGAGACTGACCTGGAGGGCGAGGATCCATCTTTGCGAACGGCTGCGCCCGCGAACAGCGAAACGATTGACTTCGGCGCAAAAAGACAAGAGATTGAAACAGCTCCGGTCGGGACGATAGGCGACGATTACGTCCTACGACCGCGACCAGTCGAAGTCATCGATGAGCTCTGCGAACTTAACGATATCCGGCCTGAGACGTGGCGTAACGAGAGCCTCCTCCGGTACCGAATCCACGCCGCGCGCGTCAAACAAGTACCCGAGGGCAGCTTTCCTTCCCTCCAACGCAATGCCGCTCGTGTCCGAACCACGGGGCGTAGCATTCCGAAACCCATAGTCATCCTAGTTCGCGTTAACGGCCACGAATGTCGGGCTCTTTTGGACTCTGGTTCCCTCGGAGACTTCATGTCGACAACCCTCGCCGAACAACTTAAAGTCGCGAAGACCCCTCTCGACAGCCAAGTTACCGTTCAGCTTGCTGCGCAAGGATCGAAAACCAAGGTGAACTTTTGTACTTCGGTCGATCTCCAGTATGCGAGCGTTGACTGCAAGAGAACCTTCGATATCATGAACATCGACGGGTACGACCTGATCCTCGGTACCCCATTCATTTGGCAACACAAGGTACTAATCGGTCTCAACCCCGCCAGGGTCATGATCGGAACCGACGAACCTAGCACGATGAAACCAGGGAACGACGTCGGATTACTCGCGTCCCGAGCGATTCGACTCGAAGAACGAAAACTCGACGATATCCGAAAAGAACTACACGAGTACGCACGCCCGCTCTACCAGAAGGCCACTGAAACCCAGCTACCACCGTTGCGGCGCGTAAACCACCGAATCCCGATCATCGACCGCACCAAACGTTACCCGTTCCGTCCCTCAAGATGCCCCGAAGGCTTTCGTGAGTTATGGAATGCGAAACGTGATATCTTTCTAAAATCCGGACGTTGGCAGTACGCGAACGGCATCAACGCCGCCCCACTCATGTTCCTCCGGAAACCAAATGGCGGCATGCGCAACACGATCGATCTACGCGCACGAAACGACAACACGGAGAAGATTGCGTCCCCGCTGCCTGACCAAGATGGTATCCGCCGTCGAGTTGCTCGTAGCAAGTACTTTACGGCAATGGATCTGGAGGGCGCGTACGAGCAGGTTCGGATAGAACCAGAGGACGTCGAACACACCCTCATGGCCACTCCTGATGGTACCATGATTAGTCTTGTATTACAGCAGGGTGATTGCAATGCCATCGCTACTTTCATGGCTGTAATGACGGATCTGTTTGCACCATACATCGGGGTATGGCTCGAGATCTACCTCGACGACCTCATCGTCCACAATGACGACCTCGAAGAGCATGTTCACTGTGTCAAGATTGTGATCGACACATTACGGGACAACCAATTCTTCCTGTCCGAATCCAAGATGCATTTTCTCGCCGGCCAGATCAAGTTACTTGGCCATATCGTTACACACGACGGGATCTACCTCGACGGGGCCAAGATCGACAAAATCAATTCGTGGAAAACACCTACAAACCGGGACCTGTTACGAGGGTTCTTAGGCGCCGTAGGATACCTCGCCGACGGATGCGCAGGGATACGCGTGCCAATGGATGTCCTTAACCGACTAACCGGCGACACCGTAGTATTTCGATGGGGACCCACCGAGCAGCGCGCCTTCGACGAAGTCAAGCAGATTGTTGAGTCCCATCGACACGTCAACCGCGTCTCTATGGACTATGGACCAGATGCCGCGCCAGTACACGTCATCACGGACGGATGCCTCACGGGTGTCGGTGGATGTATCCGCCAGGGTGCAGATTGGCGAACTGCACCCGTCGTTGCATTCTATTCCGCAAAATTATCTGCTGCCCAGCAAAACTACGCCGTACATGAAATAGAATTGCTTGCTGGACTCGAGACGATGATGCGCCATCGCGATATCCTGCTTGGGGTCCGGTTTCGATGGTACACTGACCATAAAGGACTAATACACTTTATGAACCAAAAGAACCTGACCGGACGACAGGCACGATGGTTAGAAAAGCTATCCGAATTCGATTTCGAAGTTGTGTACGTACCCGGACTCGAGAATAACCTCGCCGACGCACTCTCGCGAATCTACTCCAACGACTCCCCGGGAACCGAACGACGAGCATCCGAAATGGTTCAGCATGACGACAGACAACCCCCGAGCCACGATGCGCCCATGATCCTGACCGGACTCGAAGCCCGCATGGCCGTACTACGACCACGACCAACTCGCCCCCAAGCCTCGCTGCAGGAAAAACAACCATCAGCACCACGACAGGAGGATGCAAAGACCCACCAACGGAAGACGCAAACCGTCGCGCGGGCGCCCGCACAACGAAGGGTGACTGACGACGCGCCGGCAGAAACAGGACGACCCGAGACCGCGAAAGAATTTGCGAAGCGTATTAAGAGGGTCACCTTGAAGCTGCCAGTACAACTTCAGGAGGGCGAGGGCATTACTAGACAAGAACCAGAAGAGAACGCAATCGCAGAGTTAGGCCCTGTGAACGAGCAACGCGACGAGCACGAGGATGACCTTACGCCTGCACTGCCGCCCATACTCGCTGGCTCCGACATCGACTTCCCTAACTGCCTTAAGGGCAAATACAACGACGACTCATTCTATCGGGACATCCTGGCCAATCCGTCACACTACAAGAACTTCGTATGCGAAGACGACGTCGTATATCTCAAGGAATCGGGTGCGAGACTACTATGCGTACCTGACTGCTTCCTCGGACAGCGAAAAGCCCGCGAGATAATAATAACGCGCGCACACTCCCTGCTAGCCCATCTGGGAGCCTCGAAAACGGTAACTTACCTCAGGAATAGCGTGTGGTGGAAGACCATGGTAGCTGACGTGCAACGGTACTGTGAGACGTGTACCACTTGCAAACGTAGCAAGCCCAGTAACCAAAAACCCTACGGTCTACTAAACCCCTTACCCGTAGCCACAGAACCATGGGAGGCGATAGGGATAGATTTTGTAGGACCGCTCCCCCTGTCGAAAGACAGGGATGGCTCGTACGACGAGATCACCGTCATCATCGATCTTCTGACTGGCCGAATCCATCTGGTGCCTAGTCGACAGGATTATCGCGCTAGGGACGTTGCTGAACTGGTCTTCGTAGAAGTATACAGATTGCACGGACTCCCCAAGCGCATAATAAGCGACCGCGACGTCCTGTTCACGAGCACCTTCTGGCAGCACTTAAATCAACTTATAGGCATATCCTTAAACATGTCTAGTGCCTACCACCCGGAGTCTGACGGCTCCACCGAGCGCGCGAACCGCACTATCACGCAGATGATCCGGGCATGCGTAGGGACTGATCAGAAGGATTGGGTATCCAAACTCCCGGGTATCGAATTTGCCATCAACGCGGCTCGCTCTGACAGTACAGGTTTCACCCCGTTTTTCTTAGATACTGGGCGCATGCCCCGGTCCATGATCTGGGACCAACCGAAGGACGACGAATATCCGGGCGTCCGAGCCTTTGCACAACGCATGCGAAACGCGGTAATGGCCGCTCACGATGCCATTCTCGACGCACGAGTAAAGCAGACCCGACTCGCAAATCGACGACGACGACCCTCCCCTTTCGCGCAAGGAGACTTAGTATATGTTTCTACGAAGAACTTATCACTCCCCAGGGGACGTGCGCGGAAACTCATACCAAAGTACGTTGGACCCTATCTCATTGAAACGGACTTCGGAAACAGCTCCTACCGGTTAAAGTTACCGGCGCGGTTGTTGCAACGAGGTATCCACCCGGTATTTCATGCGTCGTTACTACGTGTCCACGTACCTAACGACGACCGCCTATTCCCGGGGCGCGCCGAGACTCAGGTCGCAGACTTCGGGGAAGACGCTTCGGAATGGGCTATCGACAGGATAGTCTCGCACAAAGGACGAGGAACGAACACGATCTTCGAAGTTCGCTGGCGTGCGGGTGATACAACATGGCTGCCGTTGTCAAAAGTCGAAGGGTTCGAACAGCTAAAGCACTACTTCGACGCTCTGGGAGTTTCTTCCGCCTCCGAGCTCTCGGACGGGACAGGGAAACCGCCTACGGATGATCCCCAGGTTTATGCAGGCGGCATCCGCCTCTCGCTTGTCGGCGACCTAGTTACTGACGATTTCGTATATAATACAGGACCACCAAGTCGCCCCGCAAGCAGCCCGCCACCTAATCCTCGACCTCGCCCCAACCGTCGCTGCCGAAACAAGACCCGCCGCACCCGCCGCTCACGCAAAGCGTCAATGGCTGATGCAGATACCCTCATGAACTTCGACGATGACCCCATCGGCGAATTCCTGAAGTCTCCTGTCTCTAACGACCTTACGGCTGCCCTCGGCGGGACTCCGTTCGATAACGCATCCTCGAATCCTACGCATGCATCCGGTGGGACCGATAACGGCCCTGCCCTTGACATCATCGACGGAAACTACCCCCCCGCGCCCGTGTCCGAGACAAGCTCCGTCGCTATCATCAACGAGGATCCCGAGAGCCTCGACCCTTCCTTTAGCCCCGTCGATGACTTCCTCGCCCTCGGGTTCTTTATCTTCATGAAGAAATCGGCCCGCCAATTTATCCTGCGCTCCCCGACGGGTGATGGTGGCTTCACCCTCGATACAATCGCACACACTACCCTTAATCGATTCCTCTCTTTCGACGAGAAGATCCGGTCGCACGCCGTACCTGCCTCCGCCGAACTGCCGGATGGCTACTACGACTTCGCCACGAAGTTCAACAATCTCGTACCAAAGACGAAGGCGTGCTTCTCCACTTACATCCCGGGTGATGCGAGCGGCACGCGCTACTACATCCACGGTCCCTCCCCTCGCGCCATCTTTTTCACTCCGGAGATTCGCGCCGCCTTCAGTCAGCGACGCCGCGACCAGCTACGCCCGGGCCGCGCCCGCCCACACGCGCAATCCCACTCCGGCACACCAGACTCTAGCGCCCGTACCGCTCGCAAGAACCGCCCCATGCGCAACGGTTATGTGGGCATCGACAGACGCGGCCGGAACGCGCCACCAATGTCTGACGCACAGCTGCGCGAACGTATACTGCTGGAAGCAGTCCGGGAATCTATGAACGAACGAGCCGGTTCCCGCTTCTAACACCCCTCACTTATTCGTTGATTCATAGACCTTCGGTCTCTGGGAGGGCGAATGTAACGGTGCGGCTCTGTCCGCGCGCCGTCCGAGCCGTAACCACCCCCCGGTATACTTCCTCCGGTCTCCAAGGCTTCCTTTCCTTACCGAATAACATATACTCCTCGCCTACTAGCCTACAGGTATATAAGTAGCGTACGACGAGAGATGTACGCTACCTTTCTCTCCCCCGCTCAACGTAGACTTACAACGGTCTATCGCCTGAGCACTGAGAGTCTAAACCGTGTGAACGCACCTCCGCTCTAAACAGAGCCTTGCTCGCGTCACACAATCCTTCGAGGAGCCATTCCGGCCAGCCTAAAGTCGTATTTCGACTGGGGAATCCTCGATCAACATTTGTCCACATCATTTATGCCACACGAAATCTTTGGACGACAATGCGCGAAGACGAGCGCGACGCGCCTTTCGATGTCTGTCAATCCCCTAATGAGTTGCGACATATTCTCACAGTGGCGCCGGTCCTTGGTTCATCACTCGATGCGATACACGTTGCATTCGCGCGCAGCCTCGTCGAGTTATAACAGATCATATCTGCTATTGAATATGACATCACTGAAGGCCGTCTTCACCACGACTGGGCTCTAGCCTATGCCTTCGCGAATCCCGGCCACCGAGCAACCACAAACTAGCATCTTCGCGCATCATATCTACGAAGTAGCAACCGACTAGCAATGTCTGACACGTAAGGCGCGACTTTACGCCCCCTCCACGATCGCCCAACACCGCACCTGGACACCGCACCCGAGCTCTGGAAACCGAAGGAGCGCAGCTTCCCCTTCGTCCGCCTCATTTAGGTATGCTACGTGTGAGTCACCCGCTACCGCGTGCTCCTCGTCTCGTATTTCGACCGCGCTCTCGCCAGCCCGCATCTCGGTGCGTATCGTGAATGATTCACCGATGCTCTTCCTTCCTAACTTGATTGGCGTTTGAAAGCGTCACCTTCGCGCTTGGCCTCGAATATCCGAAGCGTAGGTGCCGGACGTTTGGCAGGAGGATTGGGGAGAAGGGCAGGGGCAGGCCAGCCTTGACCGTCAACTGGTTGATGTAAGGAAGCAGATGAGGCGAATGGAAAGAAGAGGAGTACGAATTCTAACATATTGTCAACGTGGGCCAGGTTGATCTCCGTACACAGCCGGTGTTGGATGAGAGAAGGCCATAATATCATTCCCAGATGTCTTGCGATAATCAGAAGGGTAGTTGGGAGGAGACGTTCGCAGGTGGTGGGAACACGAACGTATGGTGACAACCATCGTTGATGAAAGAGAGTACGGGTAGGATTGACGGCAAGGGAGAATGCCCGCAGCAGAGTGCCAACGGGCTGCTTGGGGAAGTCACGTATCGGCTCGCATATATTGTAGTGCTTGGAAAAACACAACTGAATCTATCGATTCTGCGTCTCCTCCTTAGCGTGATGGGTCACACAGGACCGCGAGTGGCAAAACCTGGTCGATGTTCATCGAAATAGAAGTTCCAACTATCGCGCTTCATGGTAAGTCGGACACCCTCGGCCGCACCACGACACCGCGCTCTCGGATGCCTACGAGATACTCTTGAATCAAGGCAGCTTCGTTGTAGACATCGCCATCAGCACGGGGACCCGCGACCCCCAGGCGCAACTCGGTGACGCGCTCGAAACGCGTGTCTGCGAGCGCGGACTCGATGGAGCTCATGCATTCCGCCAGAAGCGCGTGATCCGACACCCACACCCCTATGTCCAGAGACATCGATCTCAAGAAGCGTGACTCGATCGTGCAGAGCGAACGCGCGATATGATCAAAGTATCTTCGTAGGGAACGGTCGGCGCTGAGCCTCAGGTGAATGGTCGCAGAAACGAGCAGCTGATTCCTCGAAAAATCAACGGTCTCTGTCATGAAAGTGAGTATTCGATCGTGGCACCCCATGAGCTTGCAGCCACTTGCCTGCAGGATAATCATAATGCGCTAGCTCGTGGAAGTTGCCGATTCGCACCGAGCGCAGCGCTTCGCTCCGCCGCAGGAGCGCATTGATGGTATCCACAGTATTGATGTATGGGAATACCAAAGTCGTGCTCAAGGAGACATCTTCGAGTGCGAGATCGAGGTCTCCATTATCGGCCATGCGGAGCAACTGCTTGAGGACACCGTCCACCTGGCTATCATCAATTCGGAGGGTTTTGAGACGCAACCCTGTTGGAATTCCCGCAGGTATGAAAGTGTCGTGATGATAGTCTTCCCACCACATGACAAGGCTCAGATCGAGCAAAAAAATTGGAGGCAACGCCTCTAGAAGGCTCGTGAACTGGCGCGATGTGAACGCGGTATCATGAACGTGCAATGTGCAGAGTTGAGGGAAAGCCAAGAGTCCGCACCACTTCCCGGTGAAGTCGAGCGGGCGACCGAACAGTTTGAGCCTCCGGACGTTAGGAAGCCGAAGACGAGAGAAGGGAGAGAGCAGGCGACTGGCGATTGTCAACTTGGAGATGTAAGAGCATAGATGAGGCGAGGATTCGAGTATCTGAACGAAGCGCTCCACGTCTTCAACTGATGCAGACAAAGACATGTCGAACTCCGAGAACAGCAGAGACTGACTGGGGCGGACCCATCCCCAGCATGCCAACGAGCATGCGCTTAATGTGGATTTATCGTCGACAAATCCAAGAGCATGCTCCCATATTTCCTGGGGAAGGTACACCATGTGTTTTTGGCAAATTGTAGGAGAAGCTGAAGGAGGGCCCCGGGGAGCAGAAATGAGCGACAGGAAGACAGAAACGACGAAGAGCCTGAGAAGAGTGAGATCCATCGCCTATCCACGTGATCGTGGGTTTGCCGCCCAAGATAGGCCGGCATCGTCCTCCGGACCTCAGCACACAGATAACTGTTGATGCCCAGTGAAAACGACCAATTTTCACCTGGGACGTGCGGGAATGCGACGTCGGAAGCTTGTAAGCGGACGGATGAGGGTGGTCACCAGAGGATGTGCGCGACTTCCGTTGCCGAGGTGCAATTTGCGGATCGGATTCATGGGAACATGCTCACGGGCACGGACACCATATTCTGTGCCATCGTCTACCAATCTATGCCACCAAAATTCTATCCTGACTCATACGTACGTAGTGTCTCGGCACCTCCACTTCACAGTTTCTCTGAGTCGTACTAGACATGTGACCATGTTGGTTGAAGGCAGCACTGAGCTAACCTCCTTCGCTGACGAGCCAGCCTAACGCCTTTCTTGATACGATCAATCCGTCCCAGCTGTCGTCAGCCGTTCTGCGCGCTCTCTGTAACATCAAGCCACTGTAACATAAACCGACTCGTCTTGCCACGACACCAAGCACAACTTGTCCTGTACATATGTGAGCAGCACATCTGTCACTGGAACTGCGTCTCCGCCAATGTGTGCCTGCTTGAGCTCATGAGCCGTCGCACTAGCCGTTTGTCGTCATTGGACTTATTCTGATGGGATGGCACGGAGTTTTCGGTGCACAGAATACGGCAAGACAACTGGTGTGCCATCCTGCGTTGCGCAGATAACATGTCTCGTTCACGCTGATACTCACAGTAATGTTCGTTCTCGATTCTCATTGTCTCGCTCACAGTATGCTTGCCAGCAGGTCGTTGGCCCGAGGTTTTTCGCGACGCCCAAAGCATGCCGGCCTCACCTCCTCCCCATGCACAGCAGCAACGCACTCGCTCGTTCCAAGTAGCATCTGCACGCCACGGGGACTGACCAGCTATGGTGTCGGAGGTTCACCTGAAGACTTGCATTCAGTCCGCTCGAGCGGCCTTCCGGTCGGGAGAAGGGTGTCAGTCTACTGCTTTGCGCCACCGTGCTTGACGGATGAGGAGCTCACGATGCTTGCTGCGGACATGGTCACGTCCTTTGTGTACTCGCACGACGTGACGTCCGACATCCAGAATGCGGCAATGTGGTTGCCCGATGCGCAGAGTGGACTGGTTTACAGCAATCCGGAAGACGCTCGTGGCGAACATGCAGCACGCAGACCTGTTCCCGTCCGGGCGAACCTGGTGGACTATCCGGGATGGGGACCTCCGTCCGAGCAATCGCTCGACGGCGCCGGCGGGGGCAGGACAACACGCTGGGGAGAAAGTGCGGCATTTCAAAGTGTTGGATGCGAGGAAGGTGCTCGGGCAAATTGTATTTGCCAAGGACATGCTTAGGTACGTCCATGCGGAACGATACGATGTGATACGCGCTGAAAGCGTGTTCTGTATCATCTTCACAGCTCGCATCTACCTCATCAGTATGTTCGAGTACACGACCGTCACGCAGGTACGCTCGGCGTGGTGCGATTGCTCGCGTATATGACTGACGCATATATGCAGCGCCTCAACACGCTCAAAGAGTTTCGAACAATGTCCATTACCCCCTTCCCGATCCAGCGCCTCCGTAATGCGCAGTGGACCGTCGTTCAGACCGACGAGCTGCTTCCAGGCGATGTTGTCTCCATCGGTACGCTGCACCTTCACAGTTCTCCCGCTCATGTGACCACGACGTCTGACATGGCCATCGCAGTTCGCCTACGAACAGTTTCCGCGGAATGTGGTTCGGTCTCGGATGACACGGTATCGTGCTATTGGTGGTGTTGAATCCAGTCTCAAAGGCAAGTTCTTGCACGTCGATCCGTACCTGTTATCGTCATATATGAACCTAGAGAGATCGCCTGCATGTAGAATCGTTAGGGTTGCCTTTGAATAATGTTGCTTGTGATTCGTCCACACCCGATGAGATTCGGGCAGAGTGTGTATCAGACCGGATGTATTAGAATGCTTGGGCTTCGGGATCCGGGGACAATCCGTACGATTCCCGAGGCTCTCGGCGACATTCATGCTACATTGATTCACATCCTACATTATCTGGGAGAACCGATGAGATCACCTCGCCAAACGGTGGCTATGTAGTTAAGTCTCAAAATCGTGTATGACCGCAGTTATCCCCGGATGACAGCGAGGTCCTGCGTGGTCGCTTCACTCTTGTGCTTCGGTCGCTTATGCTGCAATTCCTCCTGCAACATCCTGTGTGAATTGCTCTCAAACTTGGTCGTTTTCACTGGGGTTGATGTACCATCAATGTCGTTTTGACACAGGGTCCAAATCTACATTTTTTGCATCTCAGAATCCAAGAAATATCCTGTAAACATTTGAAATTTATTAGAGCATGTTTCAGATCAAAAAATGTTTTGAAAAATCGCAGAAAATCGCAGAAAACTATGAATAAATCCAAATAAATTATTATTTTGTTCCTGATTTGTCACTTTCAAATAGATTTCAAATTCTTATAGGAATGTTTCTTGAATTTGGAATCATGAGAAATCTAGATTTGTACCCAGTGTGAGGACATTGATGGTGCCCTTCTGACCTGCGACATTTCCTCTCAATTCTTGGGAAAGGGTAGTTATAAATCTCAAGTGCTATGAATATTTCTATGTAGCGGTTGGTCTGCCAGAACCATTCTGCTCCGCCAAAAGTCTTTATTCCCATGCCGTGATGCCGAGCGCCCGACTGGCTCGCGCGGGAGGCCCCGCCAAATTCTCCTGCTTTGTCACCATTTTGGGCGGAGCTCGAACTCAGATGTCTCACTCTCCTCTCAAAGATTGCCCTTCGAGACGCTCCCTTTTTTCATTAGTATGAATCGGGAAATGTAAAAATAAACAGAATATAGTAGAGCACGTGTCCAAATATTTTCAGATTTTAGAATGTAACGATCCAGTGAGCCGAAGGATATCTTCGCGAGAGAACCAACTTGATTCACGCTTTCGACGACCTTGTCGATTTTATGCTCGCGTTCGCAGGTACTCCACTCGATATTGCTTTGACCCATAGCATGTTATAAGAATTACAATGATTTATGTTTATTCTCAAGCCATAACAACGAATGAGCATCGTTGAGCAACCTCATCTTTGCACACAGACATTGACATTGATGGTGCGAAAGACATTGATGGTACATCGACAGTAGATGTTCAACGTGCAATACAGGACCGGGCCCAACAAGACTAGTACATCGTACGTACCAGTCCAAGTATACACGTCCAAGGAAGTTTCCGAAAACGTCACAAACCGACGTATATTATCCACGATGCAGAGAACGTATGTATGTATAATACAGCGAAGAAGCCCGAAAAAAAGTTCGAAAGTGAGGGCGATGCAACAGATGAATCATCAATTGACGTATACGTAACCCAAAGAAAGCGAAAATAAAAGACGTGTCTTATGGCGTGCTGGGCGGCAGCGGGGTGGTTTTCGACGTCGAGAACCGCTTCGAGAACCGGTTGCTGATCTTGCCAGCAGGGACCGAAAGGCTCTCAAATACCGACTTGCGCGGCGTCGACGCGCTCTCGTACCCTTCCTCGCCCTGCATCACGATCTACACGGGTGAACAACGAGGAGATCAGCGCTTCCGTCCCATCTTGCCACAAAAAAAAAAAAAAAAAAAAAAAAGGAAAGGGAGACGCAAGAAAAGCGGGTTACGTTACCTTCATCGTCCGCGGATCGATCCTGAACCGCTTATCCCTCAACGCCTGCACGATATCCTCCTCCCGCTGCCGCCCGTCCAAGAGCTCGCCGACGGTGCTCCTCCCGCCGATGCTCATCGCGGACGCGATCGTGCCCGGCTTATGCGCCAGCCTGAGCTCCTCCCGCTCGCCCCGATGGAGGAACTGGAGCGAGGTGCTGAAGATGGCGAGGATGAACAACGCCGCGGCGAGCAGGTGCACCGCGACGTCGCTGAGGACATTTAAAAAAAGCGATCAACGACAGGATTGCGCGAAAGAAAAAAAAGAGGGTCAAGTACCTGAGGAAGAGCCGCTTCTTGATCGTGAGGACCTCCATGTAGATGGGCTCCTGCGCCGAAAGGAAGTACACACTCTTCGCTACGAGCGCGAGGAACGTCCGCTGTCGAAAAGAGAAAAAAAAATTCAAACGATCCTCACCCGCTCACATTAGTGCGCCATATAAAAACAAAAACTTACGTATACCGACGTGCTCAAGCCCAAGAAGCCGTCCGTGGAGAACGTCGCCGTCAGCCCCTGCGGGCTCGTCTGCGCCGCCTGGAAGATCGCGGCGGGGAGCACGAAGCGGGTCGCGTTCCCGCGCTCGAGCACGAACGGGTCCGTCGTGTCGTTCACGAACGGAAAGCTGATCCCGTTGTACGCCCCCGCGAGGCTCGACACGTTCGCCGCGAGCGACGAAAAGTTGCCCGCGAGCGGTCCGACGTCCCGCAGCGCCGTCACGTTCCCGTCCGCGATCGACACGTCCACGAGCACGCTGCGGAGGTGGATGCTGGGCGTGCAGAACGAGATCGACGCCGCGGGCTTGGGCTGTCCAAAGGTAGTAAACGCGGTCAGGAAGAGCTACGTGATCATCCGGGTGCGACGCACGAGGTAAGTGAAGAACCAGAACACCAGAGGCTGGAACTGCGAAGGAGTATCCTGCTGACAGTCCTGGACCAAGTCCGTCCCTAGAAAATCCCCGTCAGCCGCACATACATCAAACAATTTCCACAATCCACGTACCAAACAGGTGGTCCGCCAGCCTGCTCACGTTCCACGAGAACGTGCACCCGTTGAACGACGCGCTGTTGTTCCAGAACAGGACGCCGTCGCTGTCGTTAAACTGGACCATGGACACCTGCGCGAACTGGCACCCCGGATCCGACTGAACCGCGGTCGCGTTCACCCGCGCCGTGCCGTTACTGGCGATGTCGGTGGGTAACTAAAAAGCGGCACATGCCACGGAATCAGAACAGGAGAAGAAGCGGAGCGCGGACTGGGTACCGACCTCGAACGGGGCGACGGTGTAACCGTCCTTAGTGATGAACGGCGGCGGCTCGAGGTCGTACAAAGCCGCCGCAGAGGCGTATCCCGCGGCGCTCAAGAACACTGAAGAAGCGCATCAGATAACGCGAGTCCCTCGTGTGTGCGAATGTGCGTGCGCTCACCACTCAGATCGGCGAACTGGGCGCTCTGGTTGAGCCCGATGAGGCCCGTCGTGAGCTTGTTTTCGAACGTCGTCCACTGCGTATCGCGGATCTAGGCAAACGGCGGCGTCTCCGGGTCGGCTCCAAGTCTCTACTAAAGGCAGGCGAAAGAAGGCTCACCTCGAACAGGGCCGCGGCCAGAGGCTGGAATGTGAGTAGCATGAGGCTCATCAAGCTCGCGAGCATGACGAGGTAGTGCTTGTTCACGATCGCCTTCGCGGGCATCAGAAAGTTGCTGCGATTCCGAGCGGTCAGGAAAACGTCGCGGCGCAGGAGGTGCGTATCGACGGGTGCTCACTTGACCCTCGTATAGTCCAGCAAGATCGAGTGCTGCGGCTTGGACTCGCCCCGCACCAGGTCCACGTATGGCTGCCGCTCGCATCAGCATAGGGGGACAACGGCGCGAGGACGGACAACCGCACCTGGAGCTTCTTCACCTCGACATCCGTCCACGTCCACAGCGCGACGAACAAGCCGGCTACGAACACGGGCGGCAGCGTCTAAATTCCGGAACCAGACCGTAAGCAAAACCTCGTCCCATGCCAAGGGAAAGCCAGAACGCACGTAGGCGTAATGCCACCACCCCGCGTCCGTCGCCGAAAAGTCTCTCGACACCGCCCAGCCTGAACGATCGCACATCGCGTCAGCTCTCCGCCCTTACGGAGGGGGGAAGACGGGAGGGGAGGCAGGCTCACCGTTCCGCTTCTTGCTGATGCTCAACGCGACCTCGAGCCCGATGGCGACGCCGACCATGACACACGCGAACGTGATCCAGAACCACGGCCGGAGCGGGACGGGCGTCCACGATTCGAACGCGGCCGGCGGTGTTCCGGGATCTAGGGGTACGACGAGGAAGCGTGCGTAAGCCGGGGAGGTTCGACCCGAATTATATATATAAAAAAAGAACGAATGAATAAATAAATAAAATGTGGAAGCCAGCCCCCGCACCTTCCTTCTTCCACTTCTCCTCCGTCGAGCTCCGGCTGTACCCCGGCCTGAGCCCGTTCGCGCCGTCCTCCGGATAGGTCGCGAACTGGACGTGCCCGAGCCCCGGGCTCGGTAGCGGACTGCGCGTGCGTCGGTCATCCCGTCCCTCTCCGTCTCGTGTCCCTTAGGGAGATGAGATGGGGGTGCTCACCTCGCTGTGGGCGTGTCGTAAGGCGACGGCTGGCGGCGGTTAGGCGAGAGCGGGCTCGTCGTGCCCGCGTTGACGGTGCCGTTGCCTGCGCGGAGGCTGGCGGGATGGCCGTTCGTGCCCGATGCGGAAGAGGGAGGCCGGCGGTTCGGGGTGAGCGGCGAGTCCGGGGCGATCTGATCAAGCAGGAGGGGCTGTGAGTCTGTCGCCGTTGCCATTTTTTTGTTCCGGATACAAGTGGAGAGGAATGCGGGTTAGAAAAAGAGAGAGAGAGAGAACGAACAGCTGGAAAGCAAGGGAGGGTAGGATGTCGCGGGAGCGGGACAGGCCGGTGCGGGATGTGAGACGGGGCTGCAGCAGCCTCGGTATGTAGGCGTGTGCGTCTCCACCGGCTGCGCCCGCGAAATGAAAAGCACGAGGGTGGCGAGCTTTCATTCCATCGCATCGCATCCATATGACGACACCGACGATACTGGCGACCAAGAGAGATCTACCCGTACGTCCCCGGAGGCAGTCAACAACATACTGCAGCCGCGCCGTGCCCCGATAACCCAAGAAAAAGGAGAGAGAGCCGAAGAGACAGATCTACGATTTTGAAACGAGAGACGGACAACGTACCGACTGATACACCGCGCCGTCGCTCGTCCGCTGCGCGGGCGGCATCGCGCCCTTCGGCAGCGCGCCGCTCCCGCTCCCACCGCGGGACGCGCCCGTCAACGTGGCGTCGGGGTCGTCGTACCCGCCGCCACCGCCGTTCAGCGCTTCGTGTTCCATCCTGTCGTGGTCGTCGTCGTACGGGTTGATCAACGGCCGGCGCTCGGGCTCGGGCTCGGGCTGCAGATCGTAAGAGTAGGCGAGGGAGGGTACGGTGACGGACGTGGGGAGGGGAAGACGGGGAGGCGAATCAGATCCTGATGCTGCACGCCCGGACATGTGAGGCGGTGAAGGGGGCGCGCAAGCGCTTCTTCGAGTCTTTGCGGTCGCGAACGCGCTAAATTGGGACGGCAGGCGTTGATGGGGATGTCTGGCCGGTCTCCCAGGATGGAACAACAAGCCGAGAACAAAAAAAAATTAGAGGAGAAAGTGGAGGAGGAGAGGGGCGTCTCAGAGAGTCAGACACCCGTCATATGTATGTCTGTTCGCCGTCCAAGGCACGGACAGCATCCCGCGCGCGAGGACGGCGAAACGTTGCCGAAAACGCACCAAGCCCAGAAAGGAAGCCGATCTCCGATCTCAGTCCCGTGGCGGTGAACCTTGGACGCCCTCGGCCCGGTGACCCTGAGTTCGCCGGCGCTTGTCCAAGTTCGTTCAGTCCGTTTGCTTTTTTGGCCACGAACCTTGACCTTGGGCTCGAGCTTCACCACCGCCTCGCGCCGCACCATTGAGTTGCTCCGCGCCATAGAAAGGCCTCCAACCCTCGGGTCTTTGGCAAACGCTGCGTCTTGCTTTACTGCTTTTTTTTCTTACATGACACTACGGTCGGTATATGTACTCCGACAGTTCCGATCAAGTCGCGGTTTGGCGCTTCACTGCAGGTCGTCGCTCGCCCTCGTTTTCGGCCCCAGCGACGACCGTTTGTGCCCCGTCCTACGTACCTGACCGGCGTCCATAATCTGGGAAACTGTGCGCGGGATCGTTCGTACTGTCCATCGTAGGGCTATGCAGCTCGAGCGATGGAGAGGAGATGCTGTCGCACATTTAAATACCTATCAATTTCGGAAGAAACCCAAACAACTGGACCTACAAAGACGCGAAGGCGACGGCTAGTGAATCTCAAGCGCTGGTCTGTTGGGTATCATGCCCCGAGTCTTGGATTTTGCTTCTCCTAACGTCCATAAAACTGCAGAAGTCCACTCACAGCTGTGCACTCCCGATAGCTAAGCTGATCTACAACCCACGATACGACCAAAATCATCTATGTGGCCAGGAGATCGATCCGACGCCAGTACGCGAGCCATCTATCGACATCGTCGTGCGTCGAAGGCGCCATCGTCGCCAAGGTAAGGAGAGATCTCAATCGCCTTCCGCATGTCCATCGTCGGTACTTATCCCGCTCGCTTCGTCACGCTCCGCGGTTCTCGCACGTGTCTAGGTCAGCGCCGATGCTCTGGTCAAAACGGAAGCAGCCGCGTCGCCGGGTGGTCTCGCATATGTTCGAGCTCCGTCTTCGTGGGATCGGTCAAGGGCGTTCTGGAGGGCATCGAGCCACTGGGGGTAAGATATCAAAGGCACGCCGAGCCGCTCAGATACGTGTTTCATGACCATATCCCACGCGACGGGCTGCGGATGGGCAAGATGAAGCACCGGAGCGATGTTGTCAATGCCGGCCAGGGTAAACTCCAGCAATACTGGAGCGGCACCGTCGAGGTAAGTATCCAAGTGATATCCTATGACGTATCAAATCAACGCGATGGGCTCAGATCGAATAGCTCATTGACAAGCATACCGAGGGCTGACTCGGCAGACACTGAACCTTCGCGCCTGACGCGATTAGCGAGGGCAGCCATTCAGCCGTATTCCAGTCCCCGGTCTTCCCACCTGCGAGCTGGCCCACGCGAACCACTGTGGTTCTCAACGCGGGCACTGCGGCAGATGCGCGCTGAAGTATCCGCTCCGCGGTCCATTTCGACTCGGAATATCCGTTCCATATCGCGGACGATGGAACTTCTAACGGCGTCTCCTTCGCGGGCTCAACGCGACGAGCAGGTACCGAGGGGATGAGGTGAAGTACCGTGAAGAGAGAGATGACATGCAGCGTACCACCTAAGACGGCAATCCTGCTCGTGCATCTGATCGCCGGGGGTGTTGCTAGATGGGAAGATAGGGCAAAATCTATGATGTTGCGCACGATCAAGAGCTGCGGCTTGAACGACGAGAGCGAGATGTTAAAGTCGACTGGGTATGCTGTAAATCTTGTTCAGGACACCGCGATTTGATCCGCTGAACGCACTCATACCGTTGTGTATAATTCTGGTAACGGAAGAACGCATCTGTTCTCCAACATCAGCAGAGCGTCACTGACAACGCATGGAGACGTACCTCCCCTCCCCATACAGCTTCCCGTCAAGGGCAAATCTAGGCAAGGCCATATTAACCTCCAGAAGGCAAACCTTGTCCGAGTCAACTAGATCGACGATGAGGCCGCGGCATCGCAGGATGCTCCTCTGACGTTCCCGCAGGGATTGATTCTTGGACGACCGCCGATTGAGCGCGTACACTTGTGCGACCTTTTCACAGGCAAACAGCTCATGAACTGCAGCCGAGCCGAGCCCTCCCGTGGTTCTGGTGATCATAACCGCTTCTCTACCGCCGGAAGAACACAACACGCTTTCGTGACCCGGAAAGTCAGGCGAGTATTTTGCCACCAGCTCCCGGAGTCTCTCCGCTTTCGACGGCTTATTCCTATCATCGTGATCTCCAGAAGAAACGATTTGACTCGCAAAACGGGAAAGAGCATTTACGGGTGGGTTTTCGTAGACGAGATTGAATGGAACCGACTTCTCCGATCCTCTGATTGCACCGCGCATTCCGCGATACGGGGTATTGCGGATCCACGTTGCCTAAAGATTACGGTGGTTTTCAGCAGAGAAACCGTCTGGTGAAGACTGCACGGAGGTTATACCTGTCGCATCCACGTTGGAAGAAGTCGTCATCGTCTCAGACCACGCTCGTGAAAACACTCGACGATCTTCCGAGCGAAGTATCTCGTCGCTTCAAGCGTCCACACAGGAGGTGTGGCTATCTCGGGCTGAGGTGACTGCTTGACTGCAGCGTTCTCTACTCGTTATTCGGTCCTTGTTGCACGCCGAAAAGGTCCCATGTCATCGGTAATACCACTCGGACTTGCGGGCTTCTTGTGAGGGCGTCGCTCCCGTACGCGCTCAAGCAATTTTACTCACGCGAAGGTTACGGCAAAATCATGTTGCCGTTCCCGTCTGGAATATATGCCTCGCTTGGCTGGTGCGGTTGGCTTCTGTTACACAAAGCGGTCCGAAAATGCTGTCGGCGTGGCACCAGTTCTATTCAATACAATTCTTCTCCGATAGTGTGCCTCTCATTCTGATTTAGAAGGTCCGTGCATGATCATGCGGCATACTTGCACACACAAAGCCCCTCCGCTTCGTACAGAGCGGTTCCAATAATAACACTACAGCTGGATTCAATACGATAGACCGGATTTGCTCACGGTTGCTACTTCTTCCGCTTCAGGGGAAGAGCCTTTCCAGGCAGGAGTCACCGTCCCTGCATATGGGGAATTCGTGGTTTACGACACACTGAACTCACCCTGATCAAGCAAGGTCATATACATATTGGGAAAGCCCTTGGCGCGTAGAAATCTTACGTCTGAATTGTGGGTAAAGGTTCACAAGAGCCATCGATACCCTCGTGACAATGATCTACGACGATTCCTTCAGCCTGAGCGTTCGCCGGCTCACGAACCAAGTCAAAGCTCAATATGTGGCGTTGTAAGCCGGATTCCAACATGTGCTATTCTTGCTACCGGTATCACGGACAACTGTGGGGTAACGACGTATCTGAGGGAGTAGGTATGCGGGCTGTAACGAAGGAACTGCATTCCGACATGCTGTCCAGGTAGCGCAGTATATACAGGGCCATGTTAAGTTCTTCACCCCCTCCCTCGCTGTTCTGTCCTCGGTTATCGCTCCCTTTACACTGTTCGGGAAGAATGGTGTTGTCCGCAGTTGAGCTATTGTGTGTCTTTGTGCCTACAATGCGGTCCACCCTATCTGATAGACTTTGCAGATATGGACCCATCTTCCTGGGTTTGCGTCTCGATAGTATTTAGCATATCTCGGCTGACGAAGGGAACAGGGGTGGTGTTGAACGTTCTCCTCTACGGGATTATGATAACCCAGACCTATCTCTACTTTGCAGTGTATAGACAGTGAGCTTCAGTGACGCGAATTTCACCATGACGCACACGCTGAATTACATTGCAGTGACCGCGTTTGGATCAAGTGTCTCGTAGGGCTTCTATTCTTCGCCGATACTCTGAATACCGTGTTGTTAGTTCGACCTCCTTATAAGCGGCCCTCGTATGACAGGATGCTCGTAGCGATACCCTCTTTCTGTACTTGCGACTAGTTGTCGACTTCAGTGCGTTAAAACTCCTGCCAATCGAACATATTCAGTTACTCATCACTTCACTTTACAGACAATCCGGCAGAGCTGGGCATTACAAACTGGGGTGCGTCTCTCTGACATGCGGTGCTCTCATGCTAACGGAACTTTCCCAGTCTTCAATACAGGTATAATCGCCTATGCTGATATGCTACTCCCTACAGCTGACCATAACATATGACAATACAGAAGCAGTAATGACGGTACGTCAGAATCGACTACCTATACACGTGTCAAGCTTATTGGCATCCCAAGGCAATTATTGCTTTGATTTCTCAAAGCTTCTTTGCGTGGAGGTAGGTACACTACATTATCACCATCCATCCATCGTTTCTCATTTTGTTGCCATCCTTAGGGTGAAAGCTTTCACAGGATCTATATGGGCGTCAGCTATCATTGTGGGACTATCTATAGTACAGTTTCGTAGGTCTTCCATGCACATCAAAAAGCATCGATACCAACAACAACCGGCTCTTTTACTGAAGTGGGCGGACTTGGAACCTCCATCGCTTGTGGTATCGTTACGGAATTTCGACAGTTCCACAAATTCCAGGCCATTGTGATTGCATGGCTTGTTAGCGCAGCCGTCGCTGACGTTGCGATTGCGACGGTGATGGTTTTTCATCTGGTAGGAGGTTTACCTCAGGTCATTCTAAAACCCGCTAAAGTACTTCAGCGTGCACACAGAACTGGAATTCGCTCAACAGACGATATTATCACGAGACTCTCTAGGAGTTAGTTCGAGGGGCTTACTAATATGCATCCATTGTTGATAAGATTACAGTGATTGTGTCCACCGGTGCTATCACAGCAATGTGCGCCACGGCGGACCTTGTGGCATTTCTCACCAGTGTACGATTTGATCGTCTCATTTTCACGTTGTTGACTACTCAAGCTCACCGCAGACATCTGGTCTTCATCTCTTATTCAACACGCCTCTGGCAAAACTGTATACTAACTCACTGCTGTCCTCGTATGTGTCTGTTGACTCGTCTTGAAACAAATGTCCCTCAACCAGATATTATTTCGTGTAGGCTGAACTCACGTCATGGTGGACATTATAGTAATGAAGTCAGCATGCAAGATGCACTCGCGAGGACATCGGGTATCAACGGCTCACGACGGCCTGATGTTATCGAGCTTCAGCCCGTTGGAAAGCGCTCAAATGCTATGAACATCACAGTAACACGCACAGTGGATGTTGACGACGGGAGTACCATGCCTGCTAAAGGTTACGAATCAGGCAGCCTCGAGATTGAAGGTGCAACAGAAAGGAAGAATGCAATGGTGTAAGCTACAAGTTGCGCCCCTGCCTACGCAGCTTGTCTCCTCTGTAGCGCAATGTGTTACAGCTTTCCTTGAATGTCAACTCTCTTACACAAATTTCGGCCTGATGTCGTACTTATGTGCCATAAGAACATTCAATATAAGGACAGAAGCGTACTTAGGTAGATTATCCCGGAGGATTATGGAATTCTCCGTAAATACTTGGTCATTCCGGCGCCATGCATATCACCTCAGAACAAAGTCGCAACAACGGTATCCCAGCAGATTTAGTGATATTTTCCTAAGCACACATGATGAAATGTTCAGAAGAGCTTTCGAACATATGGAGGTTCATCGGTGCGATAGTCAAGGACCTTAGCTAATCATGACTGCCGCAAGTGCCGCCTTATCGTAGTATATTTATGAGTTAACATCAATGTGTTGGCGGAGGTGAAGGAATGTTTTCGCTTCGCAGAAGCCCGTCAGCTGTTGAGGGTTGCGATACTTACTGATATTCAACGGCAGAACTATCAATAGTGTGTATCTGTGTGTCCACTGAAGCAAATTTCGTGTGTTCGTGGAACCCAATGCCATAACCTGGGTGTCGAACGCTTACTCAGCTTCGCAGTGCTTGGGAACGCACTGTCGTAGACTTGCCTCTTTGGATACTAGACAGACAAGATAACAGTTGACCAACCCTCGAATGTACGGCCCTCAATCATGACATTACCCTTTTCAGCCTCTCAACAAAGGGCCCTAGTTATCTTCCATACCAGTTCCGCGCCTGCACCTCAATGCATGCGGTACAGAAATAGATTCGAAGATGAAGTAACGGACTCAATGCAGCCTGGGAGCAGAGTACGTGAAGGGTAGATAAAGTCGGTAGACGAGCTCGTTTTCTCCACCAACTCGTCAGTTGCAGATCTACATCCCCGCAGTATTCCTTCAGCAATGAAACCAACGAACAGGGCAGAGGACATCGCAGGACGGGCGTTTGACTATGTGATATGCGGTAGGCATCATAGTCAATACTATATCTAAGTGAATACTGAAACCACGCATAGGCGGTGGGGTGAGTACACAAAACTCGCATCAGGCATGCAGCTGTTTCATTAGTTGTAACTGCTTTCGTAGACCGCAGGGCTTTGTCTTGCTGCACGCTTGAGCGATGATCCAAAAAATACGGTTCTTGTTCTTGAAGCCGGCGAAGCCAACTTGAGTGACCCAAACATTCGTGAGCAGCATTGCATGATTCCATTTAACCTACTAGACTTACTATTTACCTCGTTCAGTGCGCCCAGCCTCGTTTGGCAGTCATTTTGGCAATCCCTCTTACGACTGGTCTCATCAGACAGTGAGTTAATCCTGCTCCGAAGTATTCTGCGTACCTTAGATATGATTACTAGACCAAGCAGAAGTATTGCGATGGAAAATCGTACATTTGGAACCGGTACGCTGTGACCTCCCACGTATTTGCATACCGAGCCATTGAAGTGATATCATCTTGTGAACAGCGGGAAGGGTCTCGGTGGTAGCTCAGGCATCAACTTCATGTGTTTCACCTCGTGCTTTCCCATAGGGACGTACTGACTTCTCACTTCAGGTGCTGGGTAAAGCCTCCGGCGTCCGATATCAATGGCAAGTTTTACTGAGACGCGGGAGGATCATTTCTCGGACTGATACAGAAGCGCAGATATCGAACGACTAGGCAATCCGGGCTGGAACTGGGACAATTATGACAAGTATACTGCACGTACCGAAAGGTCAGCCATCTTCTAAACCCAGCACAAGGCCTCATAATGATTGGTTGCCGACCAACTGATAGTTTTGTCGCACCGGATCCCGAGAAGCAGAAGGCCCACAATCTGGAACTCCGTGCATGGAAGGGTGGATCAGGTGACTCACTGAGTAACTCTGATGTGACGCAGCTTTGTTAATTGAAAATTCTCCATAGGACCACTTCTCACCGCGTTTCCCGGAAACATCCTTGCGGCAGAGTTGGATTTTCAGCAGGTTCGTCAGTTCCAGTACCAGCCATCGGAAACCTCATTGAGCGTCATGCAGACTCTGATCAACTGCGGTATTCCCATTGCTCCTGACCCTGTGAGCAAGAGGTTCGTCGCGTTCATGCAATGGCTGACGTACAAATGAATTTTTAGCTCGCTGGAAATGTTAGCTCCCGCGTCCTGTAAAAAACAACATCTACTAATGGTCCGTTAAACTGTAGCCCGCTGGTGTATACTTTGCGCCGAACACGGTTGATCCCAAGACGCATACCCGCACTTATTCAGTCACCGTAAGCTGGACTCGTCATTTCTATTTCTGTTTGCTCATGAGTGATAGGCTTTTTATACGCCAAACGCACACCGCGAGAATATAACTGTACTCTGCGGAGCTCAGGTCCGAAAGGTCCTCACTGCAAGCAGTGCTGACGGCCTGCTCGTCGCAGAGTCAGTAGAGTTCGACTCTGGAGGCAAGGTCCATGCCGTTAATGCTGCTCGTGAGATCATACTATCCGCTGGGTATGCCATATGTATGTCCTCCGGAGTCGGTACACTCAGACACTATCGTATCAGGGCCTTGAAAACCCCTCAAATACTCGAAATGTCTGGTATTGGACTGAAGTCGGTGCTGAACGATATCAATATTCCCGTTAAGCTTGACCTGCCCGTGGGAGAAAATGTTCAGGAGCACATATACGTCGGGATTAGTTGGGGTAAGTCTTAGCAAAACTTGTCTAGCATTGGCTGACGCTGCATTGCAGAGCTTCGCGAGGACGTGTCCTTTGATACGCTGGATATTTTACAAGACTCCGAAGTTGCTTCAAAGCATCTGGAGCTGCAGTAAGCATCCAGAACTCACTCTTGCGGCTAATCTGCAGCTGAATCATCATTAAGCGTCGCGGGAGAAGGCATATTCACCACTGGCATTGTTGGATTTGCCTTCGCCGGTCTTGACAAGGTCTCTGGGCGCGCTCCCGAGATTATTGCGCATGCTAGGAAAGTCATGGAGGATAGGAGTCAACTCTCGCCTGGACTTGTCGATCAATACGAGATTCAGCTCGAGAGACTTGAAGGGGGAGCACCCGGATGCGAGATCATCAGTATCCCCGGATTTATGAGCGGCCCTAGTAAGCTTTGCCGTCAATTACAGTATGTTAAACGAGAGCTGATATGGCTGCGTAGACATGCCAGAGAAGGGAAAGAAATACTTGACGGTTCTGGCTGCCAGTAACTATTGCCTCTCGCGCGGAACAATTGTATGCACTGGGCTTTTCTCGAAATACTTTAACTGATTGGGTTGCAGCACTCTACGACTTCCGACCCCAGCGTTGATCCTGCATACGGTATAATTTTATCTCTCCACGAGAACTGATGCGCTTACGTTAATTCATTATCAGATCCTCACTACATGCAGCGAGAAGTCGGCAAGTGCCCTACATACCCATTCCAGGTTCAATACGTGCTGACTAGTGGTCAGATGCTCATATCCTTCTCGACACTGTCAAGTTCGTTCGCAATATGTCTAACGTTGCCCCGTTCAAGGACATGATCGGTATGCATATACGATGGGATAGTTGCATCTGCTAATTTATTGAGCAAAATATTATAGTAAAGGAGGTAAACCCCGGCGCGGATATTAAAGATGATGCCGCATTGGATGGTACGGAAAACTCACCGTTCTCTATTGAGCACTGAACTTTATTCGTCGATTCGCGCATCCAGGCTGGATGAAGCAGACAATGGGAACTACATTCCGTAAGCGCGCCTCCTAAACGCGGTTGAAGAGTGTCCGAGTCATTATTGATACGTGGCATCAAAGATACGTGTGGCTCGGCTTCCATGCTTCCAAAAGACAAGGGAGGCGTTGTAGACCCGGATCTCAAGGTGAATAGTTACATTACACATCATTGCACATTTCTGGACTACCTAATTCATTCATGACGCAGGTGTACGGAACGACCAATCTTCGCGTTGTCGATCTATCCATTCTACCACTTCACTTTGCCGCACATCCGCTGGCTTCGGTGTATGCCATCGCTGAGCAAGGTAAGAGCTTCGCTCAGCACGTTTCAGGTTCAGCGCTGATAGTACTGTTTCAGCGGCGGACAAAATCAAGGAAGCAGCTGAATCCAGTGTTGCTTGATTCGCGGCGGGATCCGGAAGGTCGGTTCTCTTCGAAGTGCTTAGCAGGAAACAAGCGGCCGGGAAGGAAGTAAACACGTTCAAATATGACGAATGTCATCGTATTCTAGGCAATCGTACGAATATTTTGAGCGTTACTTTGACGAAGGCGATAATACCTCAACGCCTTAAGTTGACCGACAAATGAGCATAGGACTTGCTCTAGGTGTGTAGCTCTCCCTGACTATATGCATGTCATCCCACGACTTATGTAACAACCATCCTGTGGAGCTGATGTTTGCGAAGACAGTTGGGCGACCTAGTACCAGACGGAGACACGACGTTTGCATGAGTTTGATCATGAGTGCACACGGGGAGTATCGAAATGCGCCGTGCTATCCCAGTGAGATACGTGATAATAAACGCACTGAGGCTAGTGACTTTACTCGGTCGGAGTGAGCCGCTTAGCCACAACGGTAGATGGGTGAATAATGATGGACCTTCTCACTTAAGAGTCGAACTGGCCATGACAGAATTGCTCATTTAGTTGATATATCGCTGAAATGATCGAATTAATCCATCCGGCTCCTGTTCTGGAAGAGTGCACGTGTACGACGCTATCTCCTTGCTCTCCTTGACTCCTGCAGCGCCTGTCGCACACGCGGCTAACAGGGCGATTAATGATTTGCCACAACTGGCACAATTAACACCGCGCTCTCGTGTACGGTACGTGATTCGTATGTATGTGCGTCCGAGGTTTACTCAAATCACACATAGGACCTTAAGGACTCATCCAAACGTCTTGGCAGCAGTAAGATACTTTTAGGAGGGTCTCTAGGCCTCTATTATATATAATTAAGTGTTATTCCTGAATGGGAATTGCCAGAGCAGCCAAGAGACTTCTAAGAGCGGTGGAGATCTCGGAGTGAGAAATAGCAATCGACCGCGGCAGTTGGTATGGCGTCATAACGAGCGCACCGAGCGGCGGCGGGGAGTTTTCGCCAAGATCTCGCGATTTGAGGGGAAGAATAAGTAGTTTGGCATAGATCGTGGTATGTGAGATTGGTGAACCGCATTGAATACTCAGGGAAAGCAATTCATCAAGGATCAAGGGAATTCTGAGGGTCGTCGGACGGGAAGAGAACACGCTGAACTCGATATAGGGGTCGAGCTCCTACCTAAAAGGGGAATTTACACGCCCGAAAAGGCAGTGATGCTCGCGTGCCGTGTCGGGCGTCGGGAAGCGGGAGGCGCTTTGTAATCCTCTCGTTCTCTTACAAGGGGTCTCGCTCATGATATTCCAGCTGGATTCAATCTCCTGGTAGGACACCGAGAATGACCCTCAAACATTCTCGACGATGTCTCGGACTTGCTCTTCTTTCCGACATTTTCCGGGTTCCGCGATCGTCCAGCCAGTCGTGCCCGGAACAGGATACCATCTTGTTCCCTGCAGCTCCGTTGGTTCCAGTCTCACTCCGTATGACGTGTCTGCTTCCCGGGATATTGCATTCGTCGCGGGATTTCTTCGCCGCTCGTAAATAGAGGTTATGTACTGCCATGAAGTTGTGCACGAATCCCCCACTCCAATATCTTAGACGACCCCATCAAGCCAAGCACTCACATCTTCGTCCAGCCTGAAGTAACCGGGTCATCCCCCTGGTCTCAGCTTCGTCGTCGCCACGCATCTGTCTCGACACACGCTTCCATATGATCATGTCCGCCTTCCGGAGTACACGCGACAGACCGCCTCATAAGTAACTCGAAGCACGCACCTAGGGTCCGTTTCGCGCCAGTGAACACGCACACTCGCAGCCCTAGTGGTCACCCGTGTTCTAGAGATGCACGATTATCTCTACATTCTCGGCGTCGTCGCCATGGCCGCCGCAAGTCACGCGCAGATTCTCAACGCCCAGCAAATCACAGCAGTCAAAGCACGTCTCGCCGAAGGCGCAACTCACAGGTTCGCCTCTCTCTCCCTCTGCTTTCCCTCTCTTCTCACCTTTCCCCAGCTGGGAAATCGGCACCCAATCCGAAGCCCTCCTCGAACTCGACACACCCTCCTTCTCTGTCTTTACTGCCCCAGTACCTCCCATCTCACCTGCCCCGCGCTCGCTCAACGAAGTCCTCATCATCGCCGACCGCGTGCTCGCTCAACAATCCACGACGGGCACCGGGAGCGCCGTCTCGCTCTTTCCCGGCGACGTCTCTGCGGCCGATCCCGCCAGCGTCGGCATCGCCGTGCTCCTGGCGGGCTGGACGGGCGAGCGCGGGCACGAGTACTCCGCCGCCGCGACGAGCGAACGCAACTACCTCATCGAGGTCGCTCCTCGTACCCCGGACGGGGCGATCTCGCATCGCGCGGCGCAGGTGCAATTGTGGTGCGTTCGGCCGTCGCTCGTACGACTCTCTACGGACTGCTGATGGGATTGTGTTGGTGGCGGTTAGGAGCGACTTCGTGTACATGGTCCCGCCCTTCTTGGCCTACTACGGCGCCATCACCGAGTCTTCTTCTGACGTTGACGAGGCGTTCAACCAGATCAAGCTCTATCGCGACTACCTGCGCGACAACAGCGCCAGCGGGCTATGGAAACACATCCTCCTGGGCGAGTCAGGGAACGACGAGGGGCACTGGTCGACAGGTGCATCCTTTCTGTGCAGCAACTAACCGAGGCCCAACTATTACCTCTAACGCACTCCGCGATAATGCAGGAAATGCGTTGGTTGCGGCCGGCATGGTCCGCGTGTTCGCGACCTACACTCAATCCTCCTGGTACCTCGCCACAGCTGGCCGACGCGCGGAGCTTATCAACTGGATAACCGATATCCATGCCGCGATGTACGCACACCAGGTATACCCCCCTCCCCCCACTCTTCCTTCGTTCATCTCTCTCATCCTACTCCACACCTCTAGCACTCCAGCGGCCTCTTCCATAACTACGCAGACGACCGCTCGACCTTCCTCGACGCCGCCTCCGCCGCGCTCCTCGCCTCGACCGTCTACCGCCTCGCCTCCCTCACTGGGATCGAGACCTTCATCGCCCAGGCCGAACGCACGCGCGAGGGCCTCTTCGCGCCCAACCCGAACGGCTCGTTCGCGCACTTCGACGCCGACTTTTGGCTGAAGCCCGTCGGCAACCCGTACAACTACGCAGCGCCAGGTAGCCGGAGTCCGGAGGCGCAAGCGTTCGTGATCGAGCTGCAGGCCGCGTACCGAGATTGGGCGGGCTTGTCTTGAAGGGTGATCGCCATCGTCGCATGTTCATCGCGCAGATAGGTTTCGGACTTCAAACAAGCGTTGGTTGTTGCCGCGCTCCATGGTTACCCCCGCACATCGGTGTAAGGGAAGAGTTCGGGCCCTCATCCGAGCCGTTAGAGCAGTCCGAAGCCTATTGGGCGTCTATAATATTCTACTGGATGTTGACTCATACACGGAATCAAACCTGTTGCTTCTCTTTCGCCGCTTTCTCGAGCATGAGACGCAGTCTGAGCTGGTACATACCCGCCCTCGCCCGCTCTCTCTCCTCGTCGTCCCAACGCGTAAGCTGCTGATCCAGCCACGGCTTCGCGCTGATCACCCGCCGACGCGTCACCTTCGCGTGCTCGATCTCGTCCCCATTCTGCGCGAGGAGGTGATACGCCGCGGCGATCGGCGCCGCATCCGGTGCCGCCTTCTTCAGCGCCTCCGGGTCCCCCGCATCGCGAGCCTTCAGCCACCTCTCCCGCTGCGCAGCTTGGACGGAAGGCAGCTGATCGCGTCGGTTCTTGATCAACTCGATGCGCTCGCGCTCCTCCGCTAGCCGCGCCTCGAGGCCCTCAGGGATGGAGTACGAACCGTCCCAGACGCTGCGTACGAGCCAACCCATGAGGTCCGCGAGCGGGAAGGGCGTGAAGCTGACGGGCAGGCCGATGAACGCGAGCGTCGGGTTACGAGCCAGAATGCTGTGCGCCCACAGGCCTTTGATACGTGGCGGCCAATCTTCCTCGGATAAGGGTGGTACCGGCTCGCCGATCGGGGGAGGCGCGGGTGAGATAGGCTCGTGCGACGGACCCGCGCCGTCGTTCTGGAGTACGTGAACCCAGGGTATACGCCCGATGTGGTACCCAGTGCCGAGGAGGACGTAGTCGACGTTCTCGATCACGCTGTCGTCGTCCAGCACGAGGTCGAGCCGGTCCGCGGTCGGCATCTCGTACCGTTTGATGACGGGGACGTCCTTGATCCGTTCGTCCGGAAGGGACACGAACATGTGCGACTGCGCCGTCCGGATCGAGCGGTACACGGGCTCGTCTTGACCCAGGACGCGCTGGGCGGCGATGTGCGCCGCGGCTTCGTTGGCGCTGTTGCCGTTGCCGACGACGACGACGCGTTTGTGCGCGTACGGGGCAGGGCCGCGGTACCAGCGGGTGTGGTGCACGCGTCCGGCCTTGGCGGCTTCTTTGATACCGGGAACGGGGGGATATACCGGCCAGTCATACCAGCCGGTCGCGACCACAACCTGGAGGCATGAAAAGCGTTGAGTGATCGGAGGGTTTCGAAGGTTTATATATGCTCGTACCGCGTCCCAGTGCGATTCGACGACCTCACCACCGCGATTCCAGTCTCGGTAATTCACGCGCCACCCTCCAGGCTTGTTAGTCTCTGTCGGCGGGAGCTCCCACACCCCCTGCACCTCGATGTTACACCGGATGTGCGGGCGCAGCGGCTTTGCGAAACTTGCAAGGTACTCGTGCGTCTCCAGGAGCGAGGGGAAGGTCTCTCCCTCTGCAAGCGGAGGGAACGGGTGGCCTGAGTAGGTGAGGAAACGCGGGAGGACGTTGCCGCGGAGGTTGGTGTAGGCAGGAGAGGGCCAGTACAAGGCGTCGGTGGAAGGTGAGCGGATAGGCCAGACACCGTCCGAATGACCTGCTGGAAGCGACTGTTCGATGTCTGCGACGCCGGGATCCAGGTACCTGCACTGTTCGTCAGAACATCGCTGCTGAATGGAGCTGGGGTGGACTTCGAGTGAGAACTGACCATACCCCGCCGACATCTTTTCGCCGCTCGAACAACAATACTTCATCAAAAGGACCCTTCTCAGACCCTGGTTCGGCTTGAACCAGAGATCGAAGGGCCGCTAGACCCGTAGCACCTCCGCCGATAACCACGACCTTGTTCGGCTTTGTCTGTGGTAACGCCGTCCTCGGCATCGTCGAACGACCAGTACAGTTCAAGCAGATGAGGAGTCGATTCTAACGCGATCTGCTCTGATGAGAGCGAGATCTATATGGGCCGAGAAATCTGGCGGTGAGCGCTGGACGAGGATGAATTGCGTGCTTGTTTCGTCTCGGCGGCGTCGAGACCCGCGTGCATTCTCGTGGATAGCATGGTGGTGTGAGATAGTGTGCACAAGTCGGGCTTCACATCCATGGACTTGGTGAAGACACTCCGTTGAGACACGAAAGTGAAGCACCCAGAGAGGAGATGTGCGCCGCAGGCTAGCAATATGAAGTGAACCAGTCAGTCGCATAAATGGATGAACCGAACGCGCGACTCGGCGCAAGTCCCGGGTCCGGCGACTCGCGAGATACGCTGAGACACGCGAGGTTTCAAATATCCACCACCGTACACCCTTCCTACCAGGCACTTGGATGAAATCAACCCAGACTTGGTAAAGCTATCCGTATACGAACCTCAAGGGCCAGCAACCCCTCACTTGGGATCCCCTACGCGCGTTCAACTTATCAGTACATAAAGGTGAACTATGCTCTCCTTCGATCTGAACATTTTCACTGGGACACTGCTCCCGGACAAGCGCCTGAGCATGTTGCTTTGCTTGTCACGACGTATCCTACCCTAGTGAGTGCAATGCAGCAGTAGGCGTCAACACACGATAAATGACGGAGTGTTCGGGACATATATAAATAAAACTATACGGCCACACTTATCGAATGCCCTCTGTTTTGAAAGCGCTGTGAATAGAGTTCAACATCGGTCACAGCTGGCGACTTGAACCAGTGGACGCGTGTGCGGCCTGCCCCAGGTGCAGTCCCGTCTCAAGGTCAAACGATGTCACCTCACCGGTCGGCGCGAGGCGTCCTTATCATGCTCCGGTGGGATATTCGAACGAGGGTATGTGTGCGACGCAATGCGTGGAAGGCAAGGCAAAACTTCAGACAAAGACCACCCCCATCTTCGCTGCCATCTAGCCTGGCTTTCCCGTCACCTACTCATTCGAGTGGACCCTCCGACTAAGTATGCAAACACGATCGAGGATCCGACCGGAAGCCAGCTTGACTATGTGATCAGCGGTCCAAGACGGTCCTTGTTCTGGAATCCGGCGAGGCCAACCTGAACGACCCCAACATTTGTATGTATTCGTTCTAGCATCCCGCGGATGCTTCTCATATTCGACTCTTCGCCTGACCACAGTGCGTCCCGCATCCTTTAGAAGCCATTTTAGCAAAACTGCTTACGTCTGAGCTCACAAAACGGCAAGCTGTCCCGATTGTGGGGGTATAGTCCCTGGTTCACTGACTGAGAGCATTAGGTCGAGCAGAAGTTCTGCGAAGCACATTCGTACATCTGGAACCGGTACGACTCTCGGCCTCGTCAGCTAACCCGTAGTGATATTCTCTGTGCACAGCGGGAAAGGTCTCGGCGGTAGTTCTGGGATTAACTTCATGTTCGTTCATTACTTCCACCAGTCATTCTTGATTTCAGGACCTGGACGAGACCTCCAGCTTCCGATATAGATGGCGAGTCTCTTATGCCCATTACATAATAATCCGTTGACAGTCCTCGGAACGCAGACCTTCAACGACTCGGTAACCTTGGATGGAACTAGCTCAACTGAGAAAAATACGTTGCGCGTACTGAGAGGCGAGCCATATACAACTTCCTATCTAATAAAGTAACGCTCTTAATCCGAATAGCTTCGTATATCCTGATCCGGAGAAGCGGAAAACTCACAGCATCGAGCTTGGTTCATGGAAGGGTGGCTCAGGTGACTTATCCAGGACCATGACGACGTTCATCGATCTGATTCATCATCAGGCCCGCTTCTTACGGCATTTCCAGGAAACATCCTTGCCGCAGAGTTGGACTTCCAACGGGCTCGTCATATCAATGCCCCCATTTCCTGTGTCTTTCCTCAACTAGTGTTATAGACCTTAATCAATTGCGGTATTCCTGTCGCGCCGGACCCGGTGAGTCAGACGTTCATAACTTCCCTGCAGTAGCTGAAGCGCGGAACGAACACAAGCTTGCTGGAAATGTTAGTTTCTGTACTCAGGAATTGTAGTCACTGTTGACAATCACGTATGTCGCAGCCCGGTGGTGTGTACTTGGCACCCAACACAGTAGACCCGAAAACGCACACTTACACATATGCTCCTTCAATCAACCTCTTGGCAACGTCTACTATATATAGTACGTTCAGCATCAACCCGTGGCTTAGCATAAAGAGAGTAGAGTCGAAAATCTGAGCGCCGGAAGCGATGGACTATCATGATTTGGACTGCTCTGGGAAGTTATTGTTCCATGCTGTTTCGGCACTCGGATGGATGATGTCCAGCCCTATGACCCGGCTATGACTCTTGCGACGTTTCCCCCTCGAATTCATCCTATAATTCAAGAGACAGATGTGAGAAGTACAGCGAAGAGGGGTGAGAAGAGGACCGACATTGCAAGGTAGCTGTTCAAGTACAATTTGGTATAGCATACTTCGAGGGCGAGGAACAAGAGACTCTGTGGTTTGACGACAAACTACAGGAAGTTGAGATGGGTGTTCGACAGAACATGGAGGGTTAAGTTCACCAAAATGATGACCAAAACTGCGGTCACGCTAAGGAGTGATCAATCGGTTGCTTGGATCATAGAGAAGTGGCACAATATAATTAATACCTGGTGAGAGCACCTGTTCCTAACACCCATATAATTATGTTATCAACCACAGAGCGCGATCTGGCGCTTTCAATGACATCCAAAATTGTGAGTGAACGGTTTACTCACGAAGCGAAATCTGGACTGGATTTGTAGAGATAATAAGATGTAGCAATTGCCACAGTACTGTCTGTGACTATCGCTCCCGATAGCGGTAAATAGACATTAGTTGTCTGAGAGAGCGCTCAGCCCAGTAATGTCGTGCGTGCAAGTTCTTTGCAACATACGCCCTCGAGTTGCACTTGCGTCAAGGTCTTCATCTTGACTCTGTTCTCATTTCAGAACAACCGTAGGTCTCCGATAGGGAGAAAACAATTCACGTCTGAATGCCATTCACTGCACAAGTGTTATTGATATGATGACTCATACAATGGTAAGATAACTCACTCAAGGCACTAGCTGTGGGTATGCCTCAAAAATTCAGGGACTAGTGACAAGATTCACACGTTTATAAGCGCACCCCACCCCACTACGGCTGCAACAGTCTTTCTTGCAGGTCAGACTATGCAGAGCGACGATGTTTTAGGCGAACTTACCACCAGAACAGGCATAAACCTTCTCTCCTTGGAAACTGTTGCCGGAAAACGCATAATGTTCAGTTGACATCTGAACCGTGACTACACAATGCTTACATTTCCATAGCCTTACACAATACATCTGCGACACATATTTTAGTAGCCCAGTAATATGGTGTTGGATTAACATACACTTACAGTCTGTACAGAAGATATGAGGTCGCTTAGCAGCACCGAAATCTTTGAATTTCAATGTTAAGCTGAAACAAGATCACTGTAGCGTCCCGTTTCACATACTTTGAAGCTCCTGAGGTCTTTGAGCATATCTCTATTGTATACATTAAAGAATCATTCACCATATCGGGTTCAGGATGGTGAGTAAGTTCGCGCTGTTGTCGAACGTCGTGTGGTAGAGACCATGAAGATTGAGGGCAAATGTGAGTACGTCGAGGACGCCTGTGGTAGCGACCTAGAGACGTTATTGAAACTTAGATCAGTCGAGCAGAGATGTTAGGAATGTGAAGCAGACAAACAGCCGCCTTGGTCTGCAACGTGTCTTGGGGGAACCTTTTATAGAATATGTACCTGTAATTGCGGAAAGTCAATGCGCATTTAGTATTATCACATTGAAGCGGTTACAAACATTTGGAGACACATGATCCCTAATAGTACGCCGGAGAGGGAGACTCCGATAAAAAGCACGCCATAGGTGTCTGCGAGGAGTGACGCCATTGCGAGGACGGGGGATGGTGAGGACGTACCCTATATCAAATACTTATGGCGTTCATAAATCGCAGGTATGTAAGGTGTTGACTGTGGAAGACATCCCCTGGATCAATTGCGACCAGATCAATCATACAGGGCGCTTCGTAAGGGGTGGCAGTCCAAGATATCGATCACCTGTGTTGTCCAGAAGGCCCATCCACATACCTGAAGTTGCGATTGCGAGTTATTCTTGGATTCGGAATGTCTCCGCCCTATTCCCATCATCACAAACCCGTGTATAAGTAGGCAAAGCAGTGCCTGCTGCTGAATGGAAGATGATCGAACTACCCGATCTTATGGATATGCCCAAATGAGAGCCATAAGTCCGACGTCGTATTCTCCGGATAGCGGCTTAGTATAGTTTGCACGTATATATATCTCAGAACGTAGGGGATGGTCATAGCGCCTCATGATCCGTGATGGGTCCGAGTATGATACTTACGGATGGAAACTATTGTCGCGGCGCCCTTCGCCTACTACGGCAATACGCTCTTTTGAAGGTGTCTGTCACACCGACGTTCTATCATGAGCCTGATGTCCTGCATGTCATATTTCCCGCTCTAGTCATATCTTGCGCCATAGTACGCTGCGATCGAGGCTCCTACCTTCAAGTTCCTATATATCGAGTACTGAACAGCTATTTCGAAGTTGATGTCACTTGCATCCGCTTCCGAGACTCCTTTACCAGCGTGTAAAGGATTGTTTCAGCCGAACCTGCCGGATCCGTGACGGTGTCATCGAGGAAGGCCAACTCACGACGTGCAGTTCAAAGGCATATCAGCGGCATTGTTCATGATCAGCAGCGGGATTCTTGGATGATTTGTCCTGCGTACGCACCAATGTATATATATTTGCGTGTGTATCACCTCTTGCATCTCTTGATGACATGATAACGACAACTGTTATATGAAATGAGGAAAATCAGAGTGTATCGTGCACCAAGGATGTCAACGGCCTGTAATGCCGCTGCGCAGCGGCTGCACTCGCGATCGTCTTCGATGGCAGACCGTGGAATCACCGCAATTCCCAGCTAAGTAGATCGTGTTCGCATGTGCCCATGCACGAGATATGTACGTACTGCGTTGTGGGGCTTGGATGCGGGGACTCCGCTCTTTGTGCGCGGTGGAGGCTGGAGTATTATTGGACTTTAACGTGTCGCCTACTCGAATCTGGAGGGTTGAGCCATGTGATAATAGAAAAGAGAGTACCACTGTAAGTACGGAGGGACTTGACGACGCACAGCATTGAACAGTGGCGCGATATCATGAGGGCTCGCCCATCAGCGCTGAACGAGGGGGCTACTCGATAAACACTTCTTGGCATGTCATAATCGCTGTCATGAAACTCGTGCCGTCTCCTCTCGGCTCCCGCAATGATACACCGCGTGGACGATACGGCTCCGCGCCCTGACGCCCCTGTCGCTTTGTCCATTGTCCAACTGCGACGATGGGGACCCAAGAAATCCTTCCCGAGCCTTACGCTGGCGCAACCTCACAGCCGTCTTTTCTCGAGGGGGGACACTCTGCCTTGCGCTCGCCGGCATCATCTTCTTATTCAATCTCTTTGCGCCGATTTCATTATGGAACAATTTCGGAAGAGGAGGTGACGCTGCCGCGAGGATGCAGCGGCTTCCGATCCGCGCGACGGAGATCTTGGCGCGCTGTGCTGCGACGAAGGTAAAGGCGGGGATGAGCGAGGTTGAGTTGGACGTGTTTTGGAAAAGGGAGGAAAGCGAGCGATGGGATGGGGGAAACGCGACGCTCATCCGGAACGCGACCATCTGGACAGGTATGTCGCATCCTCATTCAGACTTGCGTCTGCGGAATGTTCGGATCCTGATTTTTCTCGTACGCTAGGTGCGCAAGCTGGCGCGGAAGTCCTCTACGGCGACCTGCTCCTTTTGAAGGGGGTCGTCAAAGGTGTCGGGCACATCCCCCGCTCCAAGCTCACGCAGTTCAACCTACCTCCGGCCCTCGCAGCACAATATGCCCTCGAACAAGCCTACTCTAAGTTCAAGGAGAACCTTACGATTGTCGATGCCAGAGGACGATGGCTCACACCTGGTCTCGGTACGCCCTTCTTTGCACCTCCTTATCCCAAGTGCTCGCTAACCCTGGAGCTAGTCGACCTGCACTCACATATCGGCCTGTCGTCCGCCCCTAGCCTCGCCGGCGCCGAGGACGTCAACTCACCCAACGGACCAGTGCTACCCTTCCTGAGGTCGATTGACGCGCTCAACACGCACGACGATTCGCGTGTGCTTGCGCTCGTGGGCGGCGTGACCTCCGCGCTCGTCCTCCCTGGCTCAGGCAACGCCATCGCCGGCCAGGCCGTCGTTGTTAAGTGGCGCAAGCGCCGTGGATTCGGCCCCGGCGCGATGGTCGTTGAGCCGTCGCCCGAGCTGCACATCTCCGGCTCGGCTGCGGAGTACTACACGAACAGCACACCGTGGAGGTACCTCAAGTACGCATGCAGCGCATCTTATCGTAGCATCGGATTGACTGATATGCGCGTGTTAGGCAGGCGTGCGGCGAGATTTTGCGTCAGTATGGCACGCGGATGGACTCGGCTTGGTCGTATCGAGCGGCGTACGAAGAGGCTCGCAAGATAAAGCGAGCCCAGGACGAATACTGTGCCACCGCTGAGGCGGGGCTGTGGAGTGCGATTGAGGGCAAGGAGTTCCCGGAGAATCTGCAGTGGGAAATGCTCGTCGACGTGCTGCGCGGGCGGGTGAAGGTGAACAACCACTGTTACGAAGCTGGTAAGTGATGCATGGCGTGTCCGCGAGCCTCTCGTTAATATCGTCTGCATCGGTACAACAGTCGACCTCGACGATCTCGTCCGGGTACGTTGCTTATGCTCTGTACTGTTGTGTAGATGAGGCTTACAAGCATCACAATAGTTGACGAATGAATTCAAATTCCCGCTCGCGGCGATCCACCACGCGTCCGAGGCATGGCTCGTCCCCGACCTGCTCAAGCAGACGTAGGTTCCTCAGCGCCTCCAATGACTTCGTCCCAATTACACTGACTAACGTATCCGCGCGGCAGGTATGGGGGCCCATCCGCGGTAGCGATGTTTGCTACCACCCATCGGTACAAGCGCGAGAGCTTTCGCGGTTCGGAGTTCGCGCCCCGCGTGCTGGCCGACCACGGGATCGCCGTCGTTATGAAGGTGGATTTCGGGCCATCTCCCCATGTCCTCCGTATGACTGAACCTCGTCGTCGCAGTCCGACCATCCGATCGTCAACTGCCGCTACCTTGTGCACGAGGCGCAGCAGGCGCACCACTTCGGCCTCGCGCCGGATCTCGCGCTCGCGAGCGTTACCTCTACGTCCGCCGCCGCCGCCGGCCTCTCGCACCGTCTCGGTGTGCTTCGCGAGGGTGCCGATGCGGATGCAGTCCTATGGGACGCCCACCCGCTGCAGATTGGCGCTGTACCTCTGGGGGTGTCCCACTTCTATGTTCCAGGCTTTAAAGAGAAGTAGATGCTTTCAGGGATATGATGGAACTGGACCGTGAACTGCTTGTGCCGCCGGGGGCATCGGGGACGTAGGTCACGGGTATAATAAAGATAAAAAGGAAAAAGAGAGACGAACCTAAGCCATGTCGGCGAGGAACTCTGGAAGGTTGTTGAAATACAAGTCGGCCCCGGGGAACTCGGCCTTAACGAGCTCCCACACCCACTCAAAGGGAGTGCCGTAGGTGATGTCAGATCCATCTGTACCTTTGTTGGAACCGCCTGTGAGCAGGGCAACGAATTCGCCGAGGGTGGAGACGATAAGGGATCCCGAGTCACCGCCCTTGGAGAAGGTGCCCGAGTCCTGCTCGTGGGGGAGGATGGCGATCTCGAGCGACTCGACGTTGCCGGTCGGGAAGTATTGTCGGACAAACGACATAAACTTTGTGAGTGTTCCGACGGTGGTGTTGGTGGTGAATCCACGCTTGAGAACACGACGAACGCGATCGCCTTGGAGGTTCAGGGTGGTGGGGTGGTTGATTTGGTCGGCGGTCAGGATGCCTCCGAGAGTAAGGAGACCGTTTCCAGGATACTTGAACTCTGAGGGGACGTCCACGCGCTCGTAAATCAGCGACTTCAGCTTCGCCTCGGACATCTCGGGACCTGGAAGAGAAAAGGGGAGGGAGAAGCACAGCTGAGATAAGCGACTTTAAGTGAGGATTGAATATCAACGCACCAAGGCTCAAGACGTTCCCGATCATAGACATGAACTTGTCCTTGTAGAGCTCGATGACGCAGAGGTCGCGCGTGTAGCGGTAAGGGGCGACGCCCACACCAATGGGGGGAGCCCAGCGGACGAATCCGATAACTCGGTCCTTGGCCTTGCTCCACTTCTTCTTGATATCGACGAAGAAGATTTTGAGATCGTTAATCTTGGTACGGGTTTTGACCAGCTCGCTCTCGTGCTCGTCCAGCTTCCTCTGCGACTCGACCACGTCGATTCCGTTTTCGACCCGGCCTCTAAACGTCGTAATCTTCTTGCGGAGACTCTCGGCAGCGTCGATAAGTGTGCCTATCAGAGCTTGGATGGATGCCAAAAAGTTGTTGAACGCTAGAGAGCCCATGACCAGGACTTCCTTCTTCTGCGCGGATTCTAGCCCAGTAACAAAAGTCAGAGAAGCTCTTGAACTCATTCAAGGTCGCAGATGTCAGAACGCACCATGGTACCGATACTCGTCGTTGTCTCCACTGAGCACGAAGAGATTATGGCGGACGGTGATGGCGTAGAGTTTGTTCCCGACGTGGAAATAAGGGCCCAGAGTGCCCTGCATTGTCGTCTTACGACCGGCGATAGGAAGACTGAGGGCAACAGAGACATTGTCAATGACGTCCTTGAGAGAGTCACCGTCTTCGGCAGGGGGAAAAAGGGCTGGGCCGTGAGCGAGCGACAGCTTGTAGGTCGACTCCCTGAAGGCGATGTCGACGTTCTGGGTGCCGAGCGAGTTGAAGTAGGCACGGATGTCGAGGGAGGAGACATGAGCAACGCTACCGGTGAGCGTATCGGGCAAGACTGCGATCCAGATTGTTGGGTTGGTGTAATGGCGGTCTCCGTCCTCGACGGTCTGGATGCGGGGGATGTCGTCATAGTTCAGCTCTTCCTCTTCCTTCGCATCGTCGTCCTCGTCGTCCTCGTCGATCTCTCGGTCCACTGGCTTCTTCAACCAAGTAAATCGGACGAAATCGACGAGCGCTACTTTGATGTTCCTTTGGTTGAGCAGCATCACGACCTAAGAACGAAACATGAGCAATGAAACTATTGCGTAACAAGAAGGCCACGCACCTGATCCCTAACCTTATCCCACGTAACATCCGTACCAAGCTCAAAGGTATCCGGAACCGCGACAATCCTCATGAGACGCGTGTACGCCTCAGGACCAGAAGGTGCTTCAAAAACGTCCTCGGACGTTCTGTAGATGAGCTTGGGTCCGCGTCCCTTAGGTCCCAAGCCAGCGTAGTAAAGATGGGCCTCAATTTTGGGAACGTCATACGGGCTAGGTTCGGCAATCGTGGCACTCGAGACACTATCGTCGCTAAACCAGAGGTCATCCTCAGAGTTACTGCCCTCGTCGGAGGACGAGTTGGCGAGAATAAGAGCCTTTTCATGACACTCGTTGTCAAATTCGGCCGTTTGGACGTACTCGTCGAGGTTGGGCTCGACGGCAACATCAACGTTGGAGTAAATTAGCAAAGACGAAGAGCAAACAAAAGGAAAATAAGAAGGTACTCACGGTTTGGGTTAGATACGGTAGGATCGATACGAGCAGACATGATAGTTGAAGAACAGTTTTCGACTTGCGCAGGGCTTTGGTGAGCGAGTTGAGACAAGTAGTATGACATTATTTATCGCTGTAAAATAACGTTGAGTGTTCTGTGCATCGTGATCCGTGATCGCGCCTGTACACCTGCTATCCAGCGATATCGAGTACGACGAGGGCGAGCCAACTCCAGGGCGTCGACAAACCGATGACTCGTTCATACTCATTCTTCTTCATCTCCTTGCACCACGGAACTTCAATATCAACACGCCTTTTCGCGTAAATGAACGCCCCACCATGAACGTCGTGCCGACTCCTCTCGGCACTCACGATGATATACGCATGCACCGCGTGGACCACACGACCGCACCCCTGACGCTCCTCTCGCTTTGACCGTCGTCACAAGCTCGACGATGGGGACCCAGGAGATACTACCCGAACCTTTCGCCCACTATCGGCGGCGGCGGCACGGTCTGCCGTTCATCTCGTCTCGTACCAGCATAGCCTGCCTGGCGTTAGTCAGCGCACTGTGCTTCTTCAACTTCTTCGCGACCTCGTCGTGGAACGCGTTTGCAGGACTTGGTGAAGGAGGCGATGGCTCGAGCAAGGTGCAGCGCGTGCCGATGCGCGCGTCGGAGATACTGGCGCGCTGCGCGGCGACGAACGTGAAGGCAGGGATGAGCGAGGGCGAGCTGGACATGTTCTGGACGAGGGAGGAGAGCGAGAGGTGGGACGGGGGTAACGCGACGCTCATCCGGAACGCGACGATCTGGACCGGTAAGCGATCAATATCCTGCTATATTTTATGTCGGCAGGCGTCTCTTGTGAGATGTCGCAGCCGCTGATTAGGACCGTATGCTAGGTGCACGCTCCGGCACGGAAGTTGTCTACGGTGATCTGCTTCTCTCAAAGGGCATCGTCAAGGGCATCGGACACATCCCTCGCTCCAAGCTCGCGAAGTTCAATATCCCACCTGCTCTTGCGGTAGAACACAACTTCAACCAGTCGTACTCGAAGTCCAGGGAAAATCTTACAATCGTCGACGCCAACGGACGCTGGCTCACACCTGGTCTCTGTACGCTCTCCCCTCTCGTCATATCCCTATCCTTGCTAAGACCTTCCGCACAGTCGACTTGCACTCGCACATTGGACTGCTTGCAGCGCCTCACCTCGCCGGCGCCTTTGACGTCAACTCACCCAACGGGCCCGTCCTGCCCTTCCTTCGCTCTCTGGACGGGCTTAACACGCACGACGACGCGCGCGCGCTCGCCCTCGCTGGTGGCGTCACCTCCGGACTCGTCCTACCCGGATCGGGGAATGCGATTGGTGGGCAGGCTGTCGTCGTCAAGTGGCGTAAGCGCCGAGGCTTGGGCCCGAGCGCGATGGTCGTTGAGCCCCCGGCGGAACTGCACGTCAACGGATCCCATGCAAGACACTACACGAACAGCACGCCGTGGAGACACATGAAGTGAATTGGCTTATCCTTCCGTTCGTCAATGTCGCTAACGGAGACTGGTTGCATAGGCAGGCATGCGGGGAGAACCTACGCAAGTATGGGACGCGCATGGATTCGATCTGGTCTTTCCGTGCCGCTTATGGCGAGGCACGGAAGATCAAGCAGGCCCAGGACGATTACTGTGCCGCGGCCGCGGCCGGGCTGTGGAACGTCATCGAAGGCAAGGAATTCCCGGAGAGTTTGCAGTGGGAGATGCTCGTCGACGTGCTGCGAGGGAGGGTGAAGATTAACAATCACTGCTATGAAGCTGGTGAGCGCCGACATTCGTCATGACTGCGTGAGCTGCTGGTGATGTCTCTCCTTTCCTACAGTCGACCTTGATGATATCGTCCGCGTACGTTACCTCAACATGACCTCCAGTGTTGATGATGGCTCACGTGTTTGTCGCTACAGCTGACGAACGAGTTCGAGTTCCCGCTCGCGGCGTTTCATCACGCATCCGAGGCGTGGCTGGTGCCTGATCTCCTGAAACAGACGTACGCCATCGCTTCAACATGAGACCTGCCCTGCACTCTGCTAACATGTGCCTCTGCAGATACGGCGGTCCACCCGCGGTCGCAATCTTCGCGACCAACCACCGCTACAAGCGCGAAAGCTACCGCGGTTCTGAATTTGCGCCGCGCGTGCTGGCTGACAACGGGATAGCCGTCGTCATGAAGGTAAAGATGCCCCACGTACTCCTCGCCTTCTCGGATCATGGATCCTCACCCCTTGTTTTCGTTAGTCTGACCACCCGGTAATCAAGAGCCGCTACCTCGTACACGAGGCTCAGCAGGCGTACCATTTTGGACTCGCGCCGAACCTCGCGCTCGCGAGCGTGACCTCTACGCCAGCGAGCGCCGCAGGGCTCGCGCACCGCCTCGGCGTGCTGCGCGAGGGCGCGGACGCGGACGTCGTGCTCTGGGACGCACATCCACTCCAGATCGGCGCGGTGCCGTTGGGAGTGTGGGTGGACGGCGTGCGGGAGGTGCCAGCGCGGGAGGAGGACGGGGGAGTGGGATGGGTGAACGATTGGGTGGGCAATGATGGGGACGCGGATGTGGAAGGGGAGAGGCAGAGGGTGCCGAGTGTCCCGGACTATGATAAGGAGAGGGAGGAAGCGATTCGATGGGAGGGCTTGCAGCCGCTTGCGCCGAAGCAGGAGGCGGGCACCGTGGTGTTCAGAAACGTGGGCGAGATCTGGCTGAGAGAGGAGGGACGTGTTGAGAAGAGGGACGTGGGGGGAGCGGTGGTCGTCGTTGCGAACGGGAGCGTGGTGTGTACAGGCTCGTGCACGGCCTTCGTCCAGGAGGCGGACGCGATGGTCGACCTAAGAGGCGGCGCGATCGCGCCCGCTTTCACGGCATTCGGTGCGTTGTCCCCTCTTTTTTATCGTGTTTGATCAGCGCAGCTGAAAGTGTTATTCTCAGGATCTCCCCTTGGCCTCGAAGAGATCCAAGGCGAGCCCAGCACGGGCGACGGTGCGCTGTATGACCCGTTCATGGCAGACGTACCGGCGGTAATGGGCGACGTCGCAGGCGTCCTCCGTGCCGCCGACGCGCTACAGTTTGGCACACGGAACGCTTTGTACGTTATCTGCTCACCACATCGCATAACTTTCGGCGCTGACGGAACTGGTTCTAGAACTGCCCACATCTCTGGAGTGACCAAGGCCGTTTCGTCCCTCACCAAGCGCACTCTCTTCGCCGGCGCGCTGTCGCTGACGCCCTCTGTGTCGGTCGCGTTCCGCACGGGCGCGTCCGGCGCACTCGAGCGGGGTGCGGTGCTAAACGAGGCGACGGCATTGCATGTGACGATACAAAGGGCGGCACCGTATGCATCCGGCGCGGCGAGCGTGAGCGCGCAGGTGGCGGCGCTGAGGCGGCTCCTGTTGGGTGGAGAGGAGCGGGGTGAAACGGGGCTGTGGTTCCGGCAGGCGGCTGAGGTCAGTTTGCCGTCTCACTGTGGCACACCTTATCTGATGATGGACTTGGTAGGGACGCATCCCGCTCGTTGTCGACGTGGGCTCGGCGGACGTGATGGCAACGTTACTACGACTGAAGGACGAGGTGGAAGAGAAGAGGGGCTCGATGATTAGGATGGTGTTCGCTCGAGCGACCGAGGCTCATCTGATCGCGGACCGATTGGGTGAGCTCTAATTTTGATGCAGCTTGTCTGGAAATGCTGATTCATCGTCTGAACGTGCAGCGGAGGCGAAAGTGGGCGTGATACTCGTGCCATGGAGGCAGTATCCTGAGACTTGGGACGACCGCCGAATGTATGCGCCCTTCTGCTCCAATTTTCATCGCTCACGTTCTCATTCGTTTATTGCAGTCTCCCCGGCCCACCTCTGACAAACGCGACGGTGCTGAAGACGCTCCTCGACGCGGGCGTGACCGTCGGCATCGCGCCAGGCGACGCGTGGCAGGCACGTAACACGCGCTTTGAAGCGGCGTGGGCGGCGCTCGAGGTAGGTGAGGAGCGGGCAGTGGAGCTTGTCAGCGCGAATCTGGACGACCTGCTGGGCGTCTGGGATGGGATTGCAGAGGAGCAGAGGACATGCGAGTGGGTCGCGTATGAGGGAGGGGGCGTGCTAGATTTTGCGAGTAAGCCCGTCGCGGTGGTGTCGCCCGAGAGAGGGGTGGTGGATCTGTTCTGAAAGGATGTGTATGTGATTTCCGTGCGCACATATGTAGGGTATCGTCTGTGCGCATATATGCATGTTTTTGTCGCGCAACGCATTGGGTAACAATCTCGAACAGTTGGGCAACGCATAGACCCGGGTTTTAGTGTTCCATCGATATGAACATGTCTCACCTTTTGTTTGGGACATCGTCAGTAGAGAATATCGACTCAAGGCTATCGAACACGAGGGAAAGGTGGAAGAGAGTTCAACAAGCCTGAGAGCCTGGGAGAGGGGCCCAATCGAGTATTCTACCTACCTACCTACCTCTCTTTGGCACGATCGACGGCGTACGTAATTTGGATAACACATCCCAATATCGTACATTCAAATCCAGTCTTTGGATCTTTGTTTCACCAAAGATACCTAATAATTCTCCGCCATGACCCTCACCCCGTCCCCGCCCAACCTGCCTGCCTCGGTCTGCACGGCCCTCTCAAGCGCCTCGTGCACCGTCAGATACGCGCTCACGATTTCCTCGCCCAATACCTCCTTCACCACTCCATCTCTCTTGAAAGCTTCCGTGCTTCCCATGGGCTGTTCGGCACGCGCTCCTTGATCCCCTTCTGCTCCCGCTCGTCCCATTGCAGCCCGTTCGGCCCCGCGCCTTCGCACGGCTCGACCTCGAGCAGCGTCTCGTCTTTGATCCCCTTCAGGCCCACGCCGAGCATCGCCGCGAGCGCGAGGTATGGGTTGGCCGTGCCGTCCAGCAGACGAACTCGAAGTCCCGCGCGGAGGGCAGACCGCACAGGCGGAGGGGCACCTCGCGTGTTCCTGAGATTCCCCACGCGACCCAGGTTCCACCCGAGTGTGGTCGCCGTCGCGAATCCGGTCGTGAGAAGACGGGGTAGGGAGGGTGAGCGCGGTGAGAGCCGGGAGGTGGGCGATGACGGAGGCGAGGAAAGCGCGTTCGGGGTCGGAGAGGGACGGGGTGCCGGAGGCGGGCTTGGGAGAGGTGAGATGAAGCGAGATATGGGCGTGCGATGAGCTACCAGCTACGTGAGGAGGGTCGTGAATTAGTCTGGTAAGAGGAGGAGAAATACGGGCAGCGAGACTCACGGCCATCGCGATAGATGCGAGGTGCGAACGTCGCGCGCAGGCCATGCGAGGCGGCGACGTTGGCGATGACCTCGCGCGTGGCGATGAGCGCGTCGGCGGAGTCGAGCGGCGTCAGCGGGCCGGTGACAACTTCGAACTGGATAGTGCTTTAAGATATGCCCGTCGAGAGAGAGAACTGCGGCGGGACACCCATCTGACCGGGGAGGAGCTCCGAGTGGAATGTCTGCAGCTCGATGCCGGTGTCGCGCAGGGCGATGGCGATGGCGGTGAGGGTCTTGAGCTCGGGCGAGCCGGAGGCGAGGCCGCGCGAGACGCACCTGAGTGCATCGGGTTAACGGAGTCCGAGAAGTGGAGGACAGTGGGGCTGGACTTACCAATCGGCTTCGTTGACGGGCGTGATCGGGTTCGTAGACGAGAGCAAGGCGAACTGGATCTCGAAACCGATGAGGAAAGTCACGCCTTGCGCGGTGGCTTGGCTGTTGGTTGCCAGAATTGGTATTTGAAGGAAGGCCAGGTCGATCTGAAACTTACTCGCAGACGCGCTTGAGCAACGCGCGAGGACACAGAGCGGAGTCGAGTTCAGGGGTGCCGAACGAAATGCTTGCAGGGGCCGACGGGACAGGCTGGGGGTGCGAAGATCGTCGCCGTGTCCTGTACGGGATGAACAATGATTATAGTACAAATATATGAGAGAGGACACTGACCTCGGTGTAGGACGCAATGCGAAGCGTGGACGTATCGGGGACGAAAAGGTTTTCGCCGTTGCTACCAAAACCTTCGGGGAAGGTGGAGAAGACGAGGCCGAGCGCGAGGGTGACGAGGCCGAGCGCGAGGGTGGCGAGGGCGACGCCTACGGAAAGTAATATTGATTCAGCAAGGATGAGCATCGGTGAAGCATGGTACTATACGCACCCGGTCGCGGGCTGGCGAGGATGCAGTCGGAATACGAGATGGGAAGCACGCGGTAACGGGTGAAGCCTGCGTAGTCGACCCATACGAGACGGACGAAGCGGAAGCCGCGCTCCTTGGGTTTCCAGAGCTCGGGAGCAGTCCAGGTGCCATGCTGGCCGATCGTGGAGGGAGTGTAAGTTGCGCCGTACGTGTCAGACATTTTTGCGTGCTTGCTACCTGGGATATACGATGGGCAGAGATGCTTGAAAGGAGGGGTGGAAGAGGTCAAGGTTGGATTGTCTTGTATTTATGGGTGGACATGATCTGGCAATAGCTCGACAAGGCCGGATGCGAACGCGACGTGTATCGGAGCGAGTGGTGCATGTTGACAGCGTCGAAGGAGGATATATAATATTTCCAGCCAACGACCGAGCTCCGCGACGAGAATATGACGCAACTTCATTATGGGATTGACATCGAAGGACGAGGCGCACTCGTCTGCGCGCATTTACGGCCCAACGACCTCGGGTGACACCAATGATGTGTATCAATATTGGATACTGGGGCTTCCAAGTCTGAACGCAATGTTGGTCTGGCGAGAGTGGCTCCTCGGGTGTGTTTCCTCACTAAATTGGCTCTTGAAACCGATTGGGCCCGGGGAAGTCCGTATCACTCGTGGTCTCCGGCGTTGTTTACGAATTTGCAAAGGACATTAGATTGAACATCAGCGTTCGGAGAGAGCAACGTTCAGGGATGTTTCCGAATTCTGAGGTCGTCGCCGTCGGCCAGAACAACGCGCATACAGTAACAGCACCCTTGGCGGACACCTGGCCACTCCTGCCTTCGTGTTCGAAGCCTCTGCTGGAACCTCGATGCTACCACAAGTACTTAAGAGGAATCTAGGATATGCTTGCATCTATGCTTTATTTTTTTGAATTTCTCCAGCGAATTCAGTGTTGTTCTTTGAGGTCGTGTGGCAGAATGTCGCTCTCGGTCATCACACTCTGGATTCATGCGCCCGTCAACACCGAGTACTGCAAGCCCAGCGGCCATAATCTCAGCTTCTATGTGCACAGATTTACATAAGTACTCCGCATATTGACTGACGTATCGCCTGCAGCAGACAACCGCCGTACGCATGCACCCCCACCCCCCTTGGTTGTGTGAAACGAGCTGTGGGCTGCGATTAACTTGCGGTCCAATCACGGGCTTCTCGGACCATAGATATCGAATATGCTATGCGCCTGCTATGTTTATCGCACATCTTCACTAAACCAGTCGGCGTGCGAAGGAGGGGGTCAGGTAGTGAACGAAGCTATATCCATTGAGGTAGGTGCCCGATTCCTTCGTTATAAATGCACCACGAGTTGATTGCATCCTTCGAAGTCCGCCAGCCAACTGAACATATCGCGAGCCTGATATAACATCACATTTATAAAAAGCTTGGATGTGGGAGGAGAACTCCTATTTCCGACCGTCCGCTCGCCCTTCTCGCATCGCTTCATCCGTACGACACTCCGAGAATACAGGCCTTTTATGCGCGCCCTCGGCCTTCCAGCATCTGTACGTCAAGGCTGTTGAGCACAGCTAATGATACTACAGGCCTCATCATCAACCGCCTGCACTGCCCGCAAACCCTGTACGATCCGATATAGACGATCTGTCTTGCTTATCATGCGACCCCGCCGAGGTTTTGACTGCCTCTCTTGTTCCTGCTCACCTCTTGAAAAAGCTGTCTTGATGGACTGCTTGACGGATCTGACGCCGAATCCCGAGCTGAGCGGCGTTGGCGTGAGGCTATCCCTGTATTTGCAAGGCTTCTTCATGATGTTGAGTGCGACCAAACTCGACTTGGATATGTAACCATCGCTCTGACCTGTCACACTAGTGACGTGCTCCCAAGAGCTTGGGTCGCTACGCATCAGATCAGATACCCCCAAGGCGCTCATCGTGACGAACATTTCGATATGCATCTCATCGCTCTTTTTAAGGCTTGGGACCCTCACTCTTATCGAGTACGTCTCATTCTAGAAACTTTATCTGGACGTTATCAGAACTTAACGGGTTCTTTTCCAGCGCGTTATCGGCCGCGTTTCTGTTGACGGGATAGTCGATGTGTATCTTTGTGTGTCTGCCAAGATGTACCTCGGACGAAACGGAAGCTATTTCGCATCGAGGGAGCATATTCATGGAATCTTTGGCGATATTCCATCACGCCTTCGTGTTCTCCGTGATCATTGCGATACCAGTTCACATACCCCATCTCGGCCCGTACTCAGCCTCCTTTGAGGAGATCGCCTTAGAGGCGCCTTTCCTCTCTCCGGTGCTGCACGGCGGTTGGCAGTTCGGCGTTGATGCGGCGGTTATCATTATGCTCGCCGCCATCGGTGACGCGATCTCTCGCATCGCTCTGATGTGGTATCCTCACCACCTTCAACAATCATGGGCCCGTGGCAAAGCCTGCCTTCTCCTACGAATGATGATTGACATCCTTGTCGAATTCGGCGCTTTCGGTTGTTGTGAGAGCTTCCTACAAACCATCGGCTCGTCATCCTACTCTCAACAGCCCGATCACGCCTGGACTTTCGGACAGGTAACAAGAACTCGTCTTCGATTTTCTCTCTGCTGCTCGTCGTCGTTCCTCTGCCAACGATGGTCACCTCCGAATGTCCGTGAAGCGCACGACGATTGCAGGTTGCACCGAGTCCTGACACGAGAATTTTTAGGTGTGCGGGAGTGGCATCGAGCACGGCAGGCACATATATGGATGCGGCAGAGATTTCCACAGGCCGTTCTGACGAGACAAGGGGCTGATAGTCGTAGGAAGGGTCAGGCAGGACGGTATATCCAATGACTGCAATTTCTGTTGCAGATATACGCGGAAACGTTCACTGCAGTGTATTCCAATTGCGCACAGACTATGATACCAAGAAGCATATTGTCAAATATACACGCTAGGCTCAATATTCAACGTTCTGGGACGATCGCTCTCCTGTCAACATTCTTTCACTGGCAAAGATCCGAGAGTGCAACCTGCGCTTCGGGTAAACCGCGCAGTTAGTTCACCTGCATGATCTTGTACACGTCGTCGTTCTCTGCGGCAGACGACGAAGGTTGTGGGTCGTCCTGTTCAAATTGTCCTCCGCTTGAGCATCCGTCGACAATTAAGAGAGGATCTGTGCTCACTTTGACCTCGTCGCGAGTTATACGAAACGGCGGCAATGGGTAAGCACTGCCGCGTCGCCCGAAGGAGCTGGTGTCGATGGTCGAGCTTAGATTGTTGAGAGCATGTGGGCTTCCTCCATTCCTCAACCTCAGCTTCTCCCTCGTGTTCATCCTATGTCACGATTCTCGTCAGTGTATACCGGCCATGTCCTTCGGGCATAATGCATGACCCACATAGCAAGGAAGCTGTTCAGGTACAGTTTTGTATAGCATACCTCTACCGCAAAGTAGATGAAGTTCGTTGGCATGGTCGCAAACTAGAATTTGGTACAGGATGGGTTTGCGATGTTATTTTCTTATGAACGATTGTACCAACCAGAATAAGCGTTACTACCGCTCCAACACTGGAGAAGCCTACGTTGAAGTAAGTATTCGAATGGTTCGCGTACGTACATACCTCGTCAATGCACCAGTACCCAGCACCCAGAATATCAGGGTTTCAAGAACGGAACGAGATCTGTAGGCTCTGATAAAATTCTGGTGCAATATTGAAGGAAAATAGAGCTTACGAGGCGAACTCAGACCTGGCCCTGTGCAGATAATGGCATGTGCATGCAGCAATTGCGGTATCAACGATTGCCGCTGTTATCAGTGGAAAGTAGATGATGGCCTACCGTATACATCATATTATGAGTCCATAGTCTCTTTCTTACAGTCATTGCGAACTTACTTACACGCATGTCGATGTCTTGTATAACGGTTGTCTCCATTGCGCTTGATAAGTTGTAATCTACATCAGTGCCGCGAGGTGGCATACGGAGATAAGATGCCGTACCATTTTATAGCGTTTACTGCATAGATTGGGATTGGTTCAGAACGGAGAACTGCAAGATCCAGGGGATTTTACGTACGGAGTGCTGAAGCTTTGGGCATATTCTAAGTCAGGAAGTGCCTATTCCATGACGTAGCAACTCTTACCCCAGCCCGCCAGTACGCCAATAGTCTGAGCTCCTGGTTAGTGATGTTTCGGAATGCAAATACTCTAGACAGACCACAAGGCACGGGAGAAGCTTCTCTCCCCCTGAGACTGTTGAAAGATCATGAGTCTGTATATATCACGAACATAAGAAAATATTACTTTTCCAAAGCCTGATGCAGTACATCTGAGTGTCAAGCCAGTGAGCTATGAGCGTCGTCGTTATGAAGCTTTTCTATACTAACTGTCTGAGTCATAGGGATAAGAACATCACTCAGAAAGAGTGCAGCCTATTGGCCCGTGCATGAGTTGCACAGTCTCAGCCGTATAGCTCGTTCTCACCAAGATGCTCCTACATGCTCACAGTCACAATTTGACTCATTATGATGAGAATATATAGCCAACTGACCAGATAGGCAACAGAAGTGCAACAAAGCTTCCGTTGGTGGAGAACATGTAATGGTACAAAGCGTGAATGTTGAACGCGAAGGCGAGAACATCAAACAATCCCATAATGGCAATCTACCAAGCCCGGTATTAATTGAGTGACACATATCTTGCGAGCACTCTACATACCATGACCTTTGTAAGGCGAGATTCTTGAGGGAATCTGTCGTAAAACAGATACCTTGTGGAGAAAATTTAGAGCCTCTTGAAACATCGAAAACAGGAGATTCACATTTGCAGGCACGTAACTCCAAGGAGTACACCGGAGATTGAAACCCCGACAAACAAGACGCCGTACGTGTTATCCAGAGTGATCATGGCAAGAATATCTAGCATTCACCGGCGATGCTCTAAGTCCCATTGGGCATATATACGCAGTGGAGGAGATGCTGTCCTGTTGGCAGTCCGTGTCACGCGCCAGCGTCTGATGGGCTCACGCAGTCCATTGCCACGCGTACGCTTCGGAAGCTCAAATACACTGCAAGGGGAGTAGAATGTTAAGCCGGTACGCCACCAAGACGTCGAACTAGGCTCCAAGTACAAGTATTCACCGAGGAGAATCTGATCCTGTGATCGCCGTCATTGGAATTCTCGAAGGTGTGCAGGAATTCTGCCTGATCACTGACTACCTATGGAAGCGCTCGCGGGTAAACTGTTATCGCTGCGAATTGTACTCTCTCATGTTATATGGAAGCGTCTGAACCGGGGCAAATGTGTGGCCAAGGACAGCATCGGCGGAATCGGCACCCGAAATCAACGTCAGTGTGCCTCCGCGCAAACGACCAAGCCCCAATCATATTAGGGCAGGTCCACAGTAATCCTCCTGGGAGTATTCGCGTCCAGCGCGGCACGGTCGAACGCGTTTCTGCCACTATATATACCATGGTACATGCGACTCAGTGTCCCACGGTCTAACGCGGACATTCATTTCGATAAGTCCATGCTGAAGTTAGTCCAAGGAGAAGGAACACATGACCTTCATGTGCCATCTACATAAACACTGTTGAGATCACCAACCTGACCATGATTCCGGAGGTCAAGTAGGTTAAAGTGGAGGCAGATCGTAGGCGCTCTCTTTCGGAGCGCCCTCACAATTAAATTCGAAATCGACCACGTCTCTGTTCCTCATGCGCAGCTTCTCCCGAGTGTTCATCCTGTAATCACATTATAGAAATATGTTAAAAGTTCGAGAGCGCGGCGTACATTGCAAGGTAACTGTTCAGGTATATTTTGACAGCACACACGTCCAAGGCGAGGTAGACGAAGGTGTCCGGTTCGACAAGGAACTGTAACCCAGGAAAAAATAAGCACCTTTCGACTCCGACGCTCGGCACTCACTACCACGAGGATGAGGATGGCGCATATGCTATTGAAACGAAGAGTCGATGTACATCAGCTGAAATCTGTAAAGTTGAGCGTTTACGGCCCACGTTGTCAAAGCGCCGGTTCCAAGGACCCACACGATGAGAGTCTCGACGATCGAACGTAGGCTGTTGAAGCAAGTCAGGATAGATTCCTGGTATCCGGTTTCACTCACGGGACGGACTTGGACCGTGTACGATGCAGATAGTAGCACGTCGAAATAGCAATCGTGGTGTCCACCAGTATAGCGGCCGAGAATGGCCAATATATGAGAACCACCTACGCACGCTAAGTGCAGGGAGCTGTAGCTGGACGCAATGTTTCGCTCACCTTTTCATTGAGCACCTCTAGGAACGATTGCAACTCGATTCTGTGTAGGGACATGCGGGTCAGCAGCGACAAGCATATGATACCAGTTGCAATGAAACATACATTCGGACATCCATCACTGTGGTATTGGTATATAACAGTCAGAGAAAGAAAGCATGGCTTAAGAATTGGCCGCGTACTCACTAATCGCACTCTCTGTACGGCGTAGTTTAGATCCGTCAGCAACTATCAATCAATACAGTAACTTGCCCCATCCCATAAGAAGTGCGATCGTCTGTGCAGAACACTGTCAGCATGAGAAGGGTGCGTATGCGCATTGGCGCTCGTACCACAATCATGGGAACTAGCCAGTCGCCGCCGGACACTGACATGCGCGCAGCTTGTGAGAAATGGGTAGTGAGGGGTGGTCGTGCACATACGCTTCCATAAACGAAAGCAATACATCTGATGAGTTCCGGTATGATGAGTGAGCAGCACTTGAAGGAAACTCGAAGTACACGAACCGTCTGTACAATCGGGACGAGTGTATGTCCCAACACAAATGAGACCTGTGATGATTCCAGTTAGATGAGCGAGTAATACTGTGGCATCGCTTCGCATTGAGTACCTTGAGGCTCCTGAATCAGCGACTCAGTTACAGCAGTTGTGGTACCTGGCTTTAGTAGGGTGCTGACCAAAATGGTAAAAACAAGGCCTCCAGAGCGCCACCGATGGCGAACGTGTAGTGGTATATAGCATGGACACTGAAGATGAACGTTGCTATATCGAGGGTTACCAGGAGAGAAATCTAGGCAAATGATGAGCACCGAGACTAACGCTGCGCGAGTATCAGGTGACATACGACGAATTTAATGAGTGCGGGTTCGTTTGGAAACCTATCGTGGAATAGATAACTGGTTACGAGGTGAGCGGAAAAACAGTCTAGAGAGTGATGGTACAATCACCCTTGGAGACAAGATATGCCGAGGAGAACACCGGATACCGCAATTCCGACAAACAGGACGCCGTATGTGTCGTCCAGCGACAAAGGGAAAGACATGGGCTCAGAGTGCGGCGGTGAGCGCCGGTTCATCGTAGACCATCTTCTTATATACTATTCACCTTTTGCCAATCGATTTTCAACGACCTGGCCCGACGAAGGTACCAAATGGCTGTCAATGCGTCGCGAACGATCGATCTGTCAGATATTAGCTTACGGCAGCGATTACGATACGCTAGCCTTCGACGATATCATCCGTTCTCGGCGTTAGCTTGAGCGTTACTACCGCCATAACGTGGTCAGGTAGCAAAGCAACCTCTAAGAAGATCAGCTGATGGAGAATCCTCATTTGACGATAATGAAGAACCTACGGGCCGCCACGTACGCATGGCTATCCATCGGAGGCGGGGCAAGCGTAGCTCGATTTCCGACGAGCCCGGTAGGTATGGTGCATCGGAGAAGACGCTGCATTGACATAGGAAATTGATTATGTTCTGAGGTTTGGCGGTACTTGCGTTGATCCGTGCACCCTGGTGTAAGACGTGGTCGGACTGGGTTCGGATCAAGCCCTCTTCTGACCGTGGGGCTTGCTTTGTATTAGTGGGAATGTTGCCACGCGCGTCGCATCCTTTCGTCAGGGGTACTATGGATGTACCATCAATGCAATTTCGATTGCATTGATGGTTCAAAATCGTCATTTCATTGCTAATCCACCCAGAAACTAGATCATATGGTATCCAAAACCATGTAGCAGCTGTATGTCAAGCCTCAAATATTTTGGTACGCGGGATGCCTTGCCAGAGCGATGCCGGTAGGACGTGTCGATGACTCTGCAGATTGCACAATGGGTCCCCCAAGGCCGAGAAGCCGAGGCCGCGACCTTCTGGCGGGGAGCTCCTGCAATCTGACCCTGCTTTGTCAGCATTTAAAGCGGAGCTTTAATTGCATTCATGGCACCTCCGCCAGTAATCCTTGCATAGCAAGCACAAAGTTGCAGATATCACGTATCGGGATAGACAGACGTACCTTCTGTATAGTATAGGGTATAGTTGAATATATCCAGATTTTTATCAGTTCCGATCCCTTGAGCCGAGCCGTGTCTTCATGCTAGAGCATGCTTGGATGGTTCCCCAAACGACGTTGCGCATTTTCTGTAGGCCCATCCCCTAATGCTTCGCTCTGTTCCTTTGGCACATATCATTAGATAGTACTGTATATGCACTCAATTTAATATGTAGGGATTAGGATGAGAGGGAGCCCCGCAGTGACGAGATTTCAGACCGATTGCATTGATGGTACACTATTGCATTTATGGTACATCCATAGTACGCGGAGCAAGGGCTTGCTCCGAACCTACCTCCGCCCGTGTTGCATGCGTCACATCGACGTCCCCTTTTTATTGATTACCTTCCAGTCCAGTCCGATCTTCTCTATTCCCCTGAAAACACTACGCAATCGCGCCCGCTTTGACGGCATTCGGTGCGTTTTCCCCTCTTTTTTCTTGTGTTTGATCAGCGCAACTGATGGTGTTATGATCAGGATCTTCCCTTGGCCTCGAAGAGATCCAAAGCGTGCCCAGCACAGGCGACGGAGCGCAGTACGACCTGTTCGTGGCACACGTACCGACGGTAATGGGTGACGTCGCAGGCACCCTCCGCGCCGCCGATGCGCTACAGTTTGGCACACGGAACGCTTTGTGCGTTACCTACTCGCCACATCGCACAACTTCAACGCTGACGGGACTGGTTCTAGAATTTCCCACATCTCAGGCATATCGTCTGTGCTTCTGTTAACAGGATCGTCGATGTCTATCTTCGTGAGCCTGCCAATATGTACCTCGGACGAAACGGAGGCCATGTCTCATCGAGGGAGCATATTCATGAAATCTCTGGCGATCTTCTATCACGCCTTCGTGTTCTCCGTGATTATCGAGATACTGGTCCGCATACCCCACCTTGGCCCGTACTCAGCCTGCTTTGAGGAGATCGTCTTGGAGGTACCTATCCTCTCTGCGGTGCTGCACGGCGGTTGGCAATTTGGCATTGCTGCGGCGGTTTTCATTATGATCGCCGCCATCAGTGACTCGATCTCTCGCATCGTTCTGATGCGGTATCCTCACCATCTTCTGCGATCATGGGCCCGCGGCAAAGCCTGCTTTCTCCTACGAATAATGACTGGCATCATCGTTGAACTCAGTGCTTTCGGGTGCTGCGAGAGTCTCCTCCAAACCATCAGCTCCTCGTCATACTCGCAACAGCCCGATAACGCCTGGAGCTTCGGACAGGTAGCGAGAACGCCATGCATGGCCCAAGCCGATCGGTACTGACTCTCGTCTTAGATTCTCTCTCTGCTGTTCCTCTGCAAACGATGATAACCTCCGAATTTCCGCCAAGCGCACGACGATTGCAGGTGACACCGAGACCTCGTCTCACGAGAATTCTTCGCCTCCTGTCGTCACTCACGCCATCTCAGTGTCTCGACGGCTAGGCGATGATTGCCAGTGAGGATCTTCGTGAGCGCTACGCGATGGGCAGCGATAGTGACTTTGAGGTATTCTCTCTTGCGACGTATATCATTGACCCTGCTACCTTCGCTTTACTCTGCTTTTGTGCAGTCGACGACCATTTTCAATTCACTGACCCTTCAAAGGCAGTAACGGCAACGCTCTCGCGTTCACGCGCACAAAAATTCTCTGTCGTCTCGAAATTGGGCAGGGACGTGCAGTATCCGTGCACGTCACCGCCCTTTGTCACTGTATCCACGCCGAAGCTCACGGCGTCGGAGCGGTGCAACACGCCTTGCACAGTGTTTGCACAAAAATATCTTTAGCGTCGTCACCCCTGCGTGCACATCAGGAACACAATCGATGCATTGTCAATGGCAGATCCTAGCGCATCTCAATGACGTTTCCAGGGCGTATCACTGACTTTATCACGACGCATGTAGCTACAAAAACGGATATCAAGTACTCGTATTGGGTACGCCGGTGTATTTCGTCTCGTCAAGTATCAAGACTGATTTTCCAAGGTTCTTTCCCGTCAGTTGATCCACGATGGCTTCTCCCGCGCTTTCAAGGCCATGATAGATATGCTCCTTATACTGCAGCTTTCCGGATGCTAGTTGTTGTGGAACAGTTCCGTAGAATTCTTCCGAGTACTTTTGGTCCCAGTCGACGACAATATAACCTTCCATCCTAGAATGCCAAATTATTTGCGCAGAGAAAACACGCATTACTCCACTTACCGGATTCGTTTGCGGTTGAGAAGCCATAGGTTCTAACCATGTGTTAGCTGACATATTAGGGACGAATGAAATAAGGTCTGACCTTGATCCCATACGACTCTTCTGTGCTTGTGTTGTACTGGCTTATCATTCCGCAGATAATGAATCGAGCGCGCTGCGCTGCGTTATCAATGGCAATTTCCAGTGTTCGTCCACCGACTCCATCGAAATAGATGTCAATTGGACCTTCTTTCTCGAGTTCGGTTTGAAGATCGGTTGTGCGCCAGTTGAAGACGTGATCAGCTCCGAGGGATTTCACGAAAGCTACCTTCTCGTCGCTTCCGCACGACGCAATCACCTTCAGCGATTTCAATTTTGCCATCTGAACCAGCATGCTAAGCATGCGATTTAGCAGACCTCGAAGACAAATTGGTGAACACTCACTGTCCCACGGCACCAGCGGCGGCCGGTATGTATATGACTTCGCCCTGCGGTCAATATTGTTTCAGGACAGTTGTTCAATATGCGTGAAAGAACGGGCCACGTGCCGCCTTCGGATCAGATATGTCCTTCAAGGCATAGAATGCAGTCTGTCCCGACATGCCCACGGCACCAGTAAAGTAGCTCCACGGGAGGTTGTAAGGATTTTGCAAGATCTTGAGAGAAAGGGCGGGCATGCCATGGGACTGCGAGTCACCGCTAGGGAAGATTGCATAGCGCTGAAAAGCTACATCGACGTTCATCAGAATGACATGTGGGGCGGACAGTGCATTAACTTACGCATGAAACCATATACGTGCATCCCGACCTGGAACTCTGTAGCATCCGATCTCAATACCCTTGCGACGCCAAATCCAGTGATTCTACGGAAATGGATTTTAACAGGCCGGTAATGAGCGAGTAGGTCTGTTGTGACGCATACATCTCCCCGATCCTAAAAGCAGGCATGTCCCCAGGAGTGTCAGGCTCCCTCATGCGGTTGCGCATGTATGGATCAACGCTGAGAGCAATTGCCTCGACGAGTACGCCGCCTTCGAGGCTTGCTGATTCCAGGCATAGGTGCTCGTCAATGCAGCGGAACACATGTTTGGGGTCTGGGAGGCCGCGTGGGATGGCGTTGAACACCAATCGAGGATTGTGCAGCTGGGTCATAGTCTTTCGTATAGAACGAGGGAACGTCCTTCTAAGGTAGACGGTCTGAAAGTTGCCCCAAGATTATATAGTCGGTCGGCCTACCCATGCACGTGGGCGCATGTCTTTTTCGGAGCTCCACATCAAGCTGTCACAGTGCTCCGTGTGATGGAAACCTTACGTTCTGCTTTCCAGTGTTTCTTCATCTTTTCTGATGGTAGGCTGTAGTGCGAGTTCCCGTTTCCTCCGGCGTGGCGCCGTGATGCAGGTAAATGGTCACACAAGGCACTGAAATAGCACCATATAACCCGTAGTAGACGCTGTGAGCTCCATGACTCAGCGAAACATTCATGATTCGGCGAAGCATACGGACTGTCGCCAAAGATCATAAACTGCAACTGTTGGTGAAGGGCTGTAGCTCTTGCATTGACGAGGCCTGCGCGAGCTATGCATTCCCCATGACGATGAACTCATTGGGTAGCTATCATTAATCTGAACTGAGGCCTCGCTGTCACTGTTCAAGAGACTTTTATTTCCCAATAAGCGCGAAACCTGTATATGATGATGTAAATATGTGATCCTCCAATCAAACAACGACATCAAGACACGTATTAGTAGCATACGACATGTCCACTTCCCAAGAGACGGTGGAGAAGTACAGAGTGCGACGAATATACCTCGTTGGGTAAATGGACTCTAATTGACGCTGGCACGTTGCAGATTGAATTCAAGGTCGTGGATTTTACCACCTGACTCAGGCGGAATAGTCTCGTCGGTCTCGTCGTCCATGGCCAATGTAGCTGTTCCATTCGCGGATGAGAAAGCACTGCGGCTGAGCTGGTGCGTGTCGCTCCTGTTCCTCTCTGTGGTTTGTGTCCGAGTGCGAAACTCCAGAGTACCGTTGACGGTAGTGCGGATGTTCGTAGATCCCATAATGTCCCTCCGAGCGTTGACTGCAGCAATTATGGCGGTTGGTACAATGCCCTGGGAATGCAGTGAGTACCAACCCCATATAATGTAATAGTAGTGACATAGAGCTCACCGTCAGCTGCGGCATGCACTCGTAGATTACGTATAAGGCATTATCTCCGTTGATTCCATCTGCAACTTCGAAAAATGAGAACTCTAGAATCTTAGCTCCCGCTATAATTGCTCCGGACTCCAGGACGAGAAGTATCACTTGATGGTAGTAGTCACCAGAGCTTGATAACAGACGTTTAGATCGACGATACAACCACCTGTCCATGGTCAACGTTAGTACAGATCTTATCCGAGAATAGTTAGGTCTTGATTACCAGATTCTACCCGCCGTCAGTAGGGTCACCACAATGTTTGTCGTGAGAGAGCCAGCAAACATAGCTGTCCCCCATGATATTGCAGCGCTGGGTCGTGGTTTTTCGAGGAAATATTGCCCAATGGCACCGTACCCGGCAACTGCATCTCGATCATGTCATGTACGCAAACAAGGGAGAGATCTTAGCACACCTGCTGTCCCCAAGAGAAGTATTATTGGAATTCCAACAACGTAGCGATGCTCGGTCCAGACAACAAAGCAGCGCCAGACTACGACACTGTCTCCTATCAGCAACTACAGTGCATGGTGTGAGTAGAAGCACATGTGGATCAGTGGGGACCTTACGTTTGTAATGTAGGCCAAGTCCTTGATCCGGGTGACGGTAGTCCCCATATCATAAAGATAAAGGGAGGATCCCCCAGGTTCACCGATGATTATAAAAGCCACGATCAATCTCCTCAGAGCCAACGAGATATGCACTGTGGCTAGAGCGTAGCTGATTATCCATGTCAGTGAAGCACGTCACAGTGTAGGGTTGGATGAGCTCATACAGCACGATGACCGCTCCCGTGGTGATACGGTTTGGGGATGCAGCTCTCGTCTTCACGCCGCGTACTACTGAAGTAATTGTGTATATGAAAAGAACACTGAAAACACCTTGTCTTACTGATAAGCAAAGTTCGACGCAGAGATTTAACATGAGAGTTACCCCAGAGTGCCGCCGCACACCATCCCCCAACCAGATAAGCCTCATCCACTGGAAAAGCTGCCATGGATACGAGACAATGTATACCGGGAGAAACAGAGGCGAAGTTAGAAGAGAGGATATATAGGTAGTTTTAAGCTTTCGAAGGTGGTGCGGTATGAGACGAAAGTAGCTTTAGAAGTGTTGGACTGCGTTTATGCGCCAGAGATGTAATCATTATACGATGCGGTGCGACAAACTTCTCACCGCATTGGAGTACATGGGACTGATTCGCTGCAAGAGAGTTCGCTGATGCATGACCCGTTGAGGGCGCCTGAGGGTCAGTATGACGCAAAGTCCGGGGCATGACAAAAATGCGCTCCATCTCGATTATTATGAGTGAACAAGTGAGCTTCATAATCGAGCGACGAAGCAGCCGCGAGTAATACGTCGGCTATAAAAGTATTCAATGCTGAAGGTGGGGATACAGATTTAACACGGGTACCTATCAAGGCCCGTTCTGAATGCATCCGATGATGATGAGTATGTCCGGCGGAGCCGGGTGAGACAAACAGTGAGGAAGATCCGGTTGGGGGAAAATAGGCCGCAGTGCCGTTGCGTCCCCGTGGAAAGAAGGTGCATGTGCGTAGAATCCCATAAAGGACGGGCGTCAAAAACACGGGTTTCAAACCTTGAGCTTGTGCTGTGCCACGTCTTATCAGAGCGGCGCCATACACGACGGATAGCCCAACATCAGGAAAACCTCTCCCTGACATTATTTATCAGATATCCCCAAATTCTGCACAAATTCTGTATTTCTTCTTCAATTTGAACAGATTTGAGGATATTTGATTACATGTGCCAGCAGATCTGGGTGGATTTGCCAGCAAATTGACACAGATTTGCAACTAGATTTGATTGACTTGCATCAGATTTGGACTGATTTGGGTTTGCACCTATGGAATGGTGATAGTAGGTGTCCCAAGGACCAAGACACACAGACTGGCACCTCTGAATAATACCAGGTCTTAATGAGTTAGTAGATAATGGTATGTTCATATATTGGTCACCGATATACCATCTCTATTTGAATTATAACTGATTATCATTTGAGAAAATCTTATAGCTGCCCCCCAGAACCAACCAAGGAATGGAGGGCATCTGATCCACTGGGAGAACGGTCTATGGACCAGTCTATGGACTGTCCTTGGACCATTCCCATGGACCAACTGCCACCTGTGCATGTCTTGTCCAGGGCCACGGCATCATATGGCATTGTTGCCATCACCACCTTTAAATCTACGGCAATGCCACATTAGCATGGTCATCCTGCCCCTCACCTCCATTCCTGCCTCCCTCTTGCCTCCTGACCCATACATGGCTACTGCCCGCCCTTGAACAAACAAGGCCACTGCAACAATACTGGTTCATCTCTCTAGTGCCACATGTGGCTATGTATTACATTCTGCCTCCCGCCCACTGCTATACTGTCACCTCACATCATTTGTATGTGGCTTCACTGACAGCTATAATGTATATAAGACACACCTAATGACATGTGTGCTTTGCACTCCATGCAAGATCTAACCTACGTGTTGCACTAGGACACAACAATGCACAAATTACCTTGAATGTTGTTGTCACTGCCATGAATTATCAGTAGGACAGCATCTGAAAAAATCTTGATCTATATAGCTGCCCCTCAGAGCTATAGTCACTATTGTAATGCTATGGGTACTATATAGAATTAGGTTAATTGCTATAGAGTGCTATGAGTGCTATGTAGATGTTGGTCAGTTGCTACATAGTTCTATATAGTAATTAGAGGCAACATAGCTCAGTGCTATAGCTACATAGTGATACATAGCTCATAGGTGCAATCAATATAGCACCCATAAATATGGGATGAATCTGTATAGTAATGATAGCAGGTCTCCCAATGCACAAATACCATGATTGAAACCAGACTTAGGTCTTGAATGATATTATTAGTCACTCTATATACTATTAGACTGATACATACTTATAACTATCTACAAAGTGATTAAGTTTGTGCTCAGGGACAGTGGTCCAAAGCGGACTTAGACGAATCAACGCGGCTGACATCGGTCACGTGATTAAATCGTGACGTGGTTGGTTGACTCGAGTCAGCTCACTCCGCCGCGCATGCACCGGACGCAGCGCTTGCAAGTGCGCCGTCCGCCCACCCTGCAAGTGCGCAGCCCGCCGCGCTCGCAAATGCGCTGAACGCGGCGCTTGCAAGTGCGCCGTCCGTCGTCTTGCGCTTGCAAGTGCGCCGGCCCACCGCGCGGAACGTCCGCCCCCTCCTTCGCCCAACCCCCGAGCGGGAGCCGCCAACGCGGTCTCGCTGGGGGAAGCCTCCTTCTCCCCCCACCCTGGCACCCCCCTCGACCTGCCCCGAGTGCGAGCCGCCAACGCG